TATATCTTTCTTTTTTTCTTCATCATCGAATATGAACATTTCAAAGAGATTTTACATACTGTACAATGTAGTACCTTAACTTTAACTTTCCTAAATCCTCAACTGTTGCAAAATGGAGGATTTTAAAGGATTGAGGCTTTATGGCAAAAATGTGGCTGGATTTGAGATGTGCACTGTGTCAAGGAAAAGACCAGACCTTGTGTTGTTTATGCTCAGCCGTGCATGAATAAGGGAATAAATGTGTGCTCCGGAGGTTTTTATCACTCGTTTAATACCGCTTAGAGTCTGGGTGCTGATAATTACCCGAGCCGGAGGCGAGGGTAATTATCAGCACCCAGACTCTAAGCGGTATTAAACGAGTGATAAAAACCTCCGGAGCACATATTTATTCCCATTCATAAATACCTTATCCGTAGAAAAATTTCAAATAATTCGTTCAAAAAATCCCGATTTTGTTCAACAAGTTCACTTTATGCTTTTTGAAACATCCCTCTAGCAAAATAATGGAGTGTTCAGCTGGCGAGTAAGATGTAAACAACCCTTTTATGGAGATTGACGCGCGCGTAACATGTTCTGCGTGATGTCACGCAGAACGCACCTGGGGCGTTGCGTTTTGAATTTAGAACTATAAAATTCTGACTCGCTTGTAGTGTTGCGCATGCCTACGTGAGGATTGTGAACGTTCAACCAATGAAACGGTAAGAGGCACTGAATTTTTAGGAGTCCACATTTTATTGTGACACTGGAAAAGTGTTTAAGACCAGCTAGCCATGTCTTTATCATCCGTTTAATACCGGCCACGTGACGGGCTCTCGACCAATAGGAATACCTAAACTGTCTGAGGTATTTATGAATATAGGCCTATAATCACTATATTGTACATGTACTTGACATCCTCCACACTGCTCCAGGTTGTCACTGGCTCTGCCTCAACATATTGACAGTGATTGCTGGAGGATTTTGCAGGATTGAGGCAGTGGTCACCCCTTCAAGGACCACACTCAAGAAACTGACTGAGGGTTTTGGAGAATTGAGGCTATACGCTATTTTGACATGGAGGCAGTTGCAGTATTTTGCAGGATTGAGGTTACTTCCTGGCAAAAATGCCGAGAGAGTTAGGGCTAATAATGTACCGGTATGCGTGTGCATGAAGTGTGGAAGAAAAAAAAATGAGGAACCGGTTCACGGTACTTGGGCCTAGGCCTCTAAAGGCAGTGGACATTTAACCGGATCCGGCTTTCTTTAAGTAAACAATAAGCAGCTGAACATGCGCAGTGACTGTTTTTTGGGACCGTACCGATCATGGCGGGAACCAGTTCAAGCTGCCCTAGTTCCCAACTCGCTATTGTCGCACTTTAAATATAATGCAAACAAGATCCAGTCTACTCATTATCATGCATAATTGATGCATCGCGCGCCGTAACAGAATCGCACTTGGGACCAGTTACGAACGCTGGTAACCTGGTCACGACCACAACGCGTTGTTCGAAGGAGTCGGAAGTTTAAGGTGTCCACGTACGCGAACGGGAAATTTCACCTTCATCCGGATTGTAAGTAAACCTGAAATGTAGTACCTCTATCTTAAATATCTAAATGTACTTGCATTTTGTACATGTAGACGTACCTCAGCCCAGGTGGCATATGTAGTAGTTCAGTGGCCGTTTTGAGGGTGAAATTGGGTGTTTTTGTTGGTAAACATGGCAACTGTTTTTGTTTTTTTGTGCTATTCCAGAAGTGATGGCATGTACGGCGGCCATCTCACTCGGACCCTACTATCGCCAGACCATGTCCAAATGTTAAAAAAGCCTAAAAGGCGATTTGTTGGCTCAAAGTTCATTAAGTTACTCGGACTACACAAAACCAACACTTTCAACTGTCCAATCTGAATGTCAGTTGGAAATTGTGCATTTATTCTTTCAAGCATACAGTTACTTTATTTATGGGGTGCAATGCCGTACTCTAATCTGCCGCCATACACATCAATTTTCACCTCACCCTGTCCCGGCAATGTGAATACATTTCAGGAAAAAATGTATTTTAAGAGCACATTTTGGATGCACACAGCCTTGGACAGCAGACGTTGTAGGCCGCCATATTGCATGTGCATGTATTGAAAAGGGCCCCCCCCCCCTCCCCTTTCCCTACCTACCCTATTCTGACAGCCCCTACCCTAATTTTTATTTATGGGAAAAATGAGACAAAAATACAACCCAAACCCATCAATTTCTACCTTTTACCCTTGACTACACGCAGATGCCTGATCGTACACAAACAAATTAGAAAAAAATTTCCTACCTACATACATGCACCCTATTTTCAGATGCCATGTTATCGGAAACAGAACTTTTTTTTTAGCCCAATGATTGAAGAGTCTAGTCGAGTCTAGCATTGTGTACCGGTATGACATCGACAATGCATGAGCCAATGATAGTGAAATACCTCATTATGAATATTTAATTGAATGGGAAATTTCACTTTTCTATGAAGCCCGGGAAGGGACGGGCGAACGAGTTAACAATTCGTTCGCACGAATTAGCAATTCGTGCGAACGAATTAGCAATTCGTGCGAACGAATTAGTAATTCTTTGGAACGAATTAGCAAATGACAAAAAAAAAATTCCACCCAGTCCCTTCCCAGGCTTCATACTTTTCGTCCGGATCGTAAGTAAACTTAACAGTACAACCATCTTAATCATTGATGTCTACTTGTACCTCAGGTGGCATATCTAGTAATTTGGAGGCCGTTTTGAAGGTGAAATCTGATGTTTTTGTTGGGCAATGTTGGGTTTTTGGGTCAAGGACAAAATTGTGTTACTCGGCATATACCGATAACCTTGGACCCTACTATCGCCAGACCATGTCCGACTGTTAAAAAGGTGATAAGTTGGGTCCAAGTTACTCGGAATATGCATTGCCACATCACATGAACATGATGAAGAAATTATAGAGGAAGGAAACAAGCAAACATTGTCAGCCAAAAACACAATAAAAGCACTGTGGTTGTACTGGAGCAACTCAGCCTCAGGTAGCCCCATAAATGTGGCCATTTACATACCTCCATAAATAAAGGCCACACTTGGACCATTTATCCGAACATGCGTCAAGTTTTCATTTCACATTTAGACTTTATTTGTAAAATTGTAGTTTATTTATGCTTTAGAGTGCACTCGATCTCTTTAAAGCGATAGAAAATTAGTCCCCTCTTTTTCAGACGTCTATATTTCGTGTAATTTCCAGGTTCATTTACACACGTTAACGTTTCTAAATTCCATTTCCAACACGAAATTACACGAAAAATAGACGTCTGATATTTTGTTTAATTTCCAGGTTCGTTTGCACGCGTTAGCGTTTCTAAATTCCAACACGAAATTACACGAAAAAGGGGGACTACTTTTCTATCACTTTAAAAACATGTTATATTACAGCAAGAGGGCAAGTGTGCTTCTAATATTATTTACTATTCATAAATACAGTTTACGCATTCCTATTGGTCGAGAGCCCGTCACGTGGCCAGTCTTAAACGGATGATAAAGACATGGCTAGCTGTTCTTAAACACTTTTCCAGTGTCACATGAAATTTGGACTCCCATGAAATCCGGTGCCTAAACGTTTCATTGGTTGAACGTTCACATTCCTCACGTATGCATGCGCAATGTGAATCAGTATTTCATGGTCCGAAATTCACACTAATACCAGCCCAGCTGCGTTTTGCGCGACATCACGCAGTACGCACAACGTGCAAGCAAATGTCCTTATAAGGCAACGAGGTGTGGAGGGGCATTCCATATTATAGTCAGAGGGGTGTTTCGTAAAACATAAAGTAAAATTGTTGAACAAAATGGTTGGCAACGTCTAGTTTTTGGCTTGTTTTGATTTTTTGACCAAAAACAGATTTGTTTTTTGGAGTAATTGCAGAATACCCCGCCACTCGGAAATACACCCCTAAAATCACTGGCTACGAGGTTGGAATCACTGCAAAAGAAACAATTCAAGTCCATGCCAGCTACGCGGATACTGAGTGGGGGTCCATTATTTGAGAACGAAGCAACACAAAATGAATGGGAGTTCCTGAAAAAAATTCTAAGTCCAAACCAACCACCCTGTTGGCGGCTACGAGGCTACGGAGTGGGAGTCCCCTTGAATATGCTTGAGAACGAAGCAACACAAAAGGAATGGGAGTTGCTGAAAAAATTCTAAGTCCAAACCAACTACCCTGTTGGCGGCTACGCGGTCACGAAGTGGGAGTGCAATGGAGCATGACGCATAGTACATACAAGTAGCGCTGAGAATGTTTATTGAGGTCAATCAACCGTGACCTCGTAGCCGGCTACGAGGTGGATAGATCGAGTGGCGGGGTATTCTGCAATTGTGCCTGTTTTTTTTTACCGAAAAGGTATTTACGAATGGGAACAGATATGTGTTCGGTCGGCATTAAACCATGTAAACACTCTGTTTAAGACCGGTGGGAGTCTGGACGGGCATGATTGATGGGTGATAATTACCCTCAGCTTCGCCTCGGGTAATTATCACCCATCCAGACTCCCGGCTCCCACCAACTGACCAAGGCACCAGTCTTAAACAGAGTGCTATAACTTAGTATAATTTATAAGCCTAATAATGAAAAAAAAAAAAAAAAAGTAATAGGATTACCTCCCGAACACACATTTATTTCCTTAATAAAGCGTAATAAACTACAACTAAAGTCTAAACTAAATGTGAAAATGAAAACTTGACAAAGTTCTACATGTTCGGGTAAATGGTCCAAGTGTGGCCTTTATTTACGGAGGCAGTAAATTGGCCACATTTATGGGGCTATATGCCTCAGCTCAGGTGCACACGACCCGACTGACGACACACCTTCTCGCATGCCGTTGTCAATGTCAGATCATTTTTGCAAGCACACTGAATCGTTTTCTCGCACAATCTGACAATGTCGGGCAAAAAATTATGAAAATACACAAATGAAACTCGTCATTATAAATATATGAATGTCATATTACCTGATCAAGTGCAATTTATTTCTAGAAATATCATCATTTTGCCGGAAATGTGCTGGATCTCTTGCGGAAAAATACAACCTTATGTTGAATATTTACTCACGTACAACACCATCACTAATGTTGAATCTCTTGATATCTCGTGAGTTGCGAGACTTGACGAGAGAGGCGTGCGCCATGTTTAGGTCAACAGAGGGCGCCCTTGAAGATTGACGGGTAACAAAATCGGCAATAATAATAGGGCGTAACATTCAACATCGGAGTTGTATTGTAATAATTTTAACTAATTAATTTTTTATTCATAAATACCTTCAGTTTACTGAAACCTGAACTTTCGTCCCATATATGTCGTGTACACAGAGCACAATCACCATTTGTACATATGAATAATTAATTAGCCATCATTCCAAAACCACTTGACCTATAGTCATGAACTTGATGAGTTGCTCTATCCATGTGCCGAGTTTCAAAATTTTTCGTCACTCGATGGTCGAGATCTTAGGGGGGTGGAATCCCCGGCTGAGAGATGGTCAAAATAACCCGGCCCAATTTTTGGGGTTAAACGGATGATAACGAGCACCAACCAGAAGTTGATATCAGCGTACCCGTCCGCAACATCGGTCCCAATTAAACATCTTGTTCATGGGCGTCGCCAGGATTTTTTCTAGAGGGGGGCAAAAAATTTTTTGCCAAAAATGGCTTGTATTTCTCAACACATTCTCGATTTATCAGTTTTAGAGGGGGGCAGGGACATTTTGCCCCCCCCCCAACTCATTAAATTTACACCACTTTGTCTTCGCGCCTCTTTTTCTTTTTCTTTTTCTTTTTTTTTCTTCCTTTTTTTTTTTTTTTTTTTTTTTTTGCTTTTCCAGGGGGGGGCAAGTGCCCCCCTTGCCCCCCCCCTCGCGACGCCCATGATCTTGTTTAAAACCATGCAGTCACTCACATATTCATTCCTAACTCACATCACATGGATCGTAGAACGCATGAAATCTTTGTTCTCCAAAAGTAAATCTACTGCGACCTCGCTTTTGTTTAAAAATAATATTCCAACACAGCTATCATGTACATCGCTGAATTTGCTCACGTCTTTCACTCAACTCGGAGCATGTAGCCTGTCATCCTGCATATCTCCGGGTCACCCCTGGGCAAGAAGCACTGGCCCGATAGTCTCCCCATTACGGGTCACGTCAAAACATCACGGTAGTTTGGAACTGTCAGCCTGTGCGTCTTGGAGAAGGCAGTTCCGAACTCAAACCACTTGGGTCAACCTTAAGACATTGCTGGACATACTGATGATGGCAGGCCCCGCTGGAAGGACCCTTCGGCACGACTTCCTCCCCCTCCCCCTCATTTCAACCCCCTCCCCGTTTCATGAAAGCGATCTACCTTCCCCCCCCCCCCCCCCCTCCTTCACATTTTGAATCACTTGTTCCGTTCGATGATCTACATGTACGTATACCTTGTGTGCAGGCCGATCTGCCGGCCAGCAGTCAACCGTGGGACTGAGGCTTCTCTCTATTAAAATTCCAAACAGTGAAAAGGTCACTCCATTCGAGCATTCGAGTGGACATTCACTTCCACAGTCGGAAACTAAGCCACGAACGTTTTAGAGTGAAATTCCTTCGATCGTAAAGATCGAGTTTTCACTCGAGCTTCGACTGCAGTGGTTCTTTTTCAGACTATTTCAATCGAAAATGAGAGTGATTTTCACTCTAAAACGTCTAGTCCCTAATTTCACTCTTTGGAATTTAGAGAGTTCGGATTTGTCCTCATCAGCCTGGATCCAGCACAGTTGCGGTGTGTTGAGATGGTCACTGAGGGCCTGGATCCTATAATACAGGACTCTTTTGTAGCTGCATATTTAGACACGATTTAGGGACCGCCGCACTGCATTCCTGGCCGATATACCACTATCGATCACATGCAGTCGCAATTGACCTACTTATGATTATTAAGCGCAAGTAAGAACAAGCACAGCATTGGCACGACGCCTAAAAATTAAGCAGCCTTCTCAACTGTGCCAATCCTAGCGATCCGACAATCCTCGATCCCAGTTGCCCTCCTTTCGGCGCCACTTCCTAATAAGCTGGATGCAATGCGCTATAGGTGAAAAGGTGCTATCATGGACCAACGCATATCACAAAGCTCCAGGACCAGGCCATGTACCCACTGTACTGAGGTCCTCAAGCTACTTACACGTCATTTACATTATACGTCATGAAGTTAGTCTGTTAGAAGCTCCCTCAACAGTGAAGGATGCTAACGTCATCACCATGTACAAGTTGAAGGGAGAAAAAGTTAGTCCGATTGTAGTAAAACATTGAGGCATCATCCTCATTAGTTTGTGGCAGGGATCATGCTTGCCCGTCTCTTGTCTCAAACATTGATACTGTACTTCCCAAGTCGCAATGCGGCTACCGTGCCCGCTTTAATTACCATCGAAATGAAATTCGTTGCCCGCCGCATCCAGGAGTATTGTTGGGAGCCGCAACGGGAATTCTTTGCTCTGTGGATCTCACGACAAATTTGATACCGTCAACCGAAATTGATTCTCTCGAAATTGGGCGAACTGACTTGGAAAGCGGAGCACAGGTAGCCTAGTCTGTCAGCAAACGGTTGTATGTGCAGATAACTGGCATCGTTCCAAAACCTCACGTCAGTTTCGCATTTTTAAGTATCCCTGACAATTAAGACTCTGCTCTGTTGTTGCTCTGCTCTAACAGATGCCCTCCTTTTGGATATTTTAATTACACTGATGAAGAACTTGATTTAGCGCAGTAACAGGAGCCAAGTTGTCATGTCTTGCTTGTAAAATACTGCTGCCCACTGCCGGGTTGAACTGCCAGACACGGTTAACGAACGCCACCTCTCCGAGTTTGAGATCAGACTTGTCCTCCTATATGGGGGAATTGCCAACCACAGCTAATGAGCTCCACCTCACGTCAGTTTCGCATTTTTAAGTATCCCTGACAATTAAGACTCTGCTCTGTTGTTGCTCTGCTCTAACAGATGCCCTCCTTTTGGATATTTTAATTACACTGATGAAGAACTTGATTTAGCGCAGTAACAGGAGCCAAGTTGTCATGTCTTGCTTGTAAAATACTGCTGCCCACTGCCGGGTTGAACTGCCAGACACGGTTAACGAACGCCACCTCTCCGAGTTTGAGATCAGACTTGTCCTCCTATATGGGGGAATTGCCAACCACAGCTAATGAGCTCCACCTACACGGCTTTGAAATCAGAGTTGTACCTCTCCTAGTCCTAGATGGACTGCTACCCAAGGCTGACGAACTTGGTCTACCCAAAGCACCTGGTTATAGCGTCAGGATCCCGCGGACACCATCTGTCAATCCGTGGAAACGGACGACAGGAGGAGCCAGATAGTATAGGATTTGGTTAGGAGAGGCTAATGGTAACGCGCACCGTGGTAAACAATTTGGGATCTTTTGTGGGGGAGGCCCTGCTCAATTCCCCATTTCGTCCCCAGCACATCCTAACCCATTCGATCGAGAACGGTCGGTCGGTCCGTCCGTCAGTCGGCCCGTGCTGACGTCCGTTCGTCCGTCGGTCAGTCAGTCAGTGAATGAGATAGGCACAGCGAGGACACTAGACTGATCCACTTGGACCAGCAAAATGTATTGGTATCAATCTTAAAATGTATTGGAAAGGTCTGGAATACCGTCACTGTCTTAAGTCAAGTGCCACTCCGGGGGGTCAGCAACAGTGCATGTCAGACAGGAATGCCAAACTACACTGAGATTCATTTAATTCATTTTGTTTTATTGGCATGGTAATTATAACCTAACACTCTTTGTCTGATATGTGGGACATTGTGTATATACCAACCCCAGAGACACAATCATGGCACCCTATATGTAACATCGCCATCGTGATAAGTCCGTGGAAATACACGAAAGGTCAATTTGTTTAATTCTTATCCACCATAAATATATCGTCAAAGCATTATGAGTATAGGATGCAGTACGTGTTTGGAAATTGGTACTCCACAACTTCTCCAATAAATCTAAACATATCACAATTAACAACGAAATGCTGAAATGATCAGAAAAGCTTTTGTACTGTATTAAGTACTTGTGTCCACAACCTGAGTTTCACCATGGAGCTAGCTCTATGGTTTCACTAATAACTGCCGAAACTTTTACACCCAAAGTAGTCTTAATGATCTAGGATAGTGTTCCGTGCTCTATGGTTTTCAGCGACAAAGGCAAGTTGGCTTCTTCAACCTGGCCTCGATTTGACTAAAGTTTGAGGACTCAAGATTGTTTATTGTTGGTCTAACGTATTCACTTAATATTATCGTCTTTGATCACTGTGTATACAATTATCTCACCTAAAGGCCAATTTCATAGCAGGCAAACAAAGGATTTGTCAACAGATAACCAGCCATTGATTATGTAGTTTTCCCAGTGTTTTTATTCTTCAAAGTACACAAAAATGTGCTGAGCATATTATTTTTTGCTTAAAAGATCTACGAAATTTGGCCTAGGGCTCAATTTCACCAAGCTGCTGAACAGTAATATACCTGTGCTATATGTAAAACTAAAAGTCAAGAACCACTCTCAAGTAATGTCTATTGCACGACATTTTGGCTGGTAAAGCTGTTTCTGCTAAGCGAATTATTTTCTGTGCTAGGCATAATTCTGTTCTTATCAGATCTACGAATATTTCTCCAGGTCCTTCTGCCAAGACAGCTTTATGCGAACTCGGTCAGAAGATGTTCACCGAAGGCCTTCATGGCTTCGAAGGTCTCCAGTCCGGACTCTTCGATCTGAGACGCCGGTAGCAGGAAGCCGTACCGTCCGGTATCTCGGAGCTCCATCACGTAGGAGTACTTGGCTCCCAACACGGCGAAACCCCAGTCCTCGCTACAGCCGGACGCGGCATCTGCAAAAAACACCAACAAAATCTCGATGATCGTACCGTGTTGGTGCCCTACAGAAATTGTAGATAGCTCTGCGTGGATTGTCAACACCCATTTCAAACTGGTATATCCACAGTCGTGCCGGACCCAAATGTAAATAGGAGCGACTCGAGAGGACCCACTGCATGGATTTTGTTATTCAGACAAGCAAACTCTATTGTATCAATTTTCCAGATCCTGGAATCGTTTCGAACGACTGCAACGTTTGAGCTTTAGGCCCTATAGTGTATAGATGCTCCTTATTACTTGTTTTAAACGTCGCAGAATAAAGTTCACAAGTGAAGTTGGGCGCGACTCAGGAACGGCAGTCTTAAACTTGCGGTTCTGAAGTGTCGGGGAAAGACCCGTTTTTTACTAACCGTTGGATTGTATACAAAAACACATAGCGTCGTCCGGGTCGACCGCCTGAGCACATGGCAAAGTTGTGCTGATAATTGTCACTTTTTGTCATTCTCACCGTTGAGGGGGTTCTATATAACGCGTTCACACGCCTGAATTTTTGAAGCAGCGGACGCGCATACATAGGCCTTATTATAATTATGTGTCCTTGTCCCGTCACCGATGACGGGTACGGCGAATGTACTTTCGGACATTCTTATCCCTAAAGCTTAAATTTGGGACTGTCTACCTAGGTATTAAAGCACATTATTAAGAATTTCCCATCAAATATTTATTCAGATATAGGCCTACTTACATAGCGTGCGTGCGGACGGGCCGTAGGTATACGTGGTACCGTACACAGACTTCAAGGCGGTAACAGTTTTGACTGAAGCTGCGTCCTGCAATAAAACGTAATGCACAAAATAAAGTGGCTATGAGTTTCCAAACGAATTTCATATAAAGGTTGACCAGCTTATGGCCCTAAAAACTAGCTGAAATTCGCTGAAATTTCTCTCCAACTTCTAAACCGGAGTATTATCTTGGTCTTTCCTCTTTGGGTTTCTTCAGGCTTCCGAACTACAGTTATTTAGGATGTGTTCTTTGTCTCTTGCCTACTAAACAAATATATATATATATATATATATAACTAGCCTAGGCATAAACACCCTAAATCTTGAACGGTTGATTTCAGCTGAGAAAAGATCCTTATGGCTTTACCTCCTAGACCTTACCAGTGCTCTCAATAATGCTATTAACGATGTTTCTTCTTTTTCTTGTACAGAATTACCCAAATTGACCGATTAACTGAGGACGTACGGAGCCTTAGCCTATTTCGGGATGAATCTAGTGGCGAGCACTTGAGTTCTATGTATCTGCGTTCATCATGCCTGTTTTGGTATCAGAAGTGGCACGTACAATGCCTTCCGTTGAAACAAGTTTCATGTGTATAATGTTTATGATGTTTACTTACATGGTCTGCGCTCTCGACTGGCAAAGGAGCAAACTGTGAGTAGGACCACGGGGAGAGGAAGAGCTGCGAATACGCGTGGAAATCGATGAAACTGACAAACTTCTGTCTCTTGGCTTGATCCAGGAGGAAGGAGGTGGTACCGGCGATCTCTGGCTCTGAGTGGGCGTAGGGTCCGTGGTAGGTGTCCTGGCACTTACCGGAGCTGGCTCCCTGACCTGGGTGCGGTAAAATACATAGGTCAGTCATTTGCTATACCCCCTAGAAGCAGATCCCACTTCTGACACCATGTAATGATCAGATGGATTGCGTTTAATAAAGATAACACTTGAGTATATTGAGCCAGCAACCGGTAAATGTATTAGTGTTAAATGAGCCCTATGAGTTCATACATTAATTGCACCCCTTTTTTCAAGAATATAATGGGGCCTGCCGGCCTGGTGTACAAATCTGAAGTACTAAAGTCGCGGAACTCGGCACAGAATGCATCTTGTGTTTTTGTTCGTTGCGCAATAAAAGAACATCTGTGCCAGGTTAATGTTTAAGGTACCGGGTACGACATCCGCCTTACATTACAGAAAATGACCCCTGCATCAAAATGGGTCTCCATCATGACAGTACCTCACAGCTAATTGTGGTCAAGTCTTCAATCCAAGTGATATACTAATCGTTCGTCTCAACACGCAAACTGTTATTTTATACATCCTCAGTATGAACTTAATTTTTTTTGACTTGTGGATGGACTTGAAATTTGACCAGTGTGATAGACTCGACTACAGCTCTGCTTCAAGGTGTCCTCCGCTCTTTAAAGCCGATATTCACTGTAAGAAAAAGCCACTTCATCAGATGTTATAAAGAGGAACACCAAAAGGCAAGGCAAGGCAAGGCTTGATAAGGCAATGCAAGGCAAGGCAAGGCAAGGCAAGGCAAGGCAATGCGCCTCCTTATAGCCTTAAAACAAAACGTGAAGATGCGACAATTGTTCAACAGAATGTGAAAAGACACCGCATTCCCTATACATGTATCGGCTAGTCATCTAGCAATACTATATCTGCGATGCGATTCGTGCGTGTTTGTTAGATCATATCCTCATAGGTCCCATATACTGTTAAAAGAACATGAACAAAGCATTTAGCATAAATGCATTTTCCTTGAATCGGCAATTTTGGCTCAACTTTGTGTGTTTCTAAAATCCAATTTCATTTCTGCAACAAAGCAGTGAATGTGGGCCTCAACCGTAACCAAAAATACTGGAGGGCTTTTCATCTGATTCAACCAATACTAGACTTTATCATACATGTACCTTTAAGACTTTGATAAAAAGTTAAGCGTATAATTTCAACGGAGGATGAATTAATTTATTGACACTATTATAATAGCATTACACTTTAATAGTATCAACTTGATTATGAAATGACCAACGGGCATTAATTACCTCACAGCCGGCCATGTCACTTTTACGATAAGAGTGGTCACCGTTAGGCCTATTCTTGAAAGTTCACAGATAAAATTACTCTCGCCACATGAAATATAAATAAATAATTTTTTTCCACATGTTTTACATTTTGGTGTGAAAGGGAAATTCCGTAAGCAATGAATGAACAGAGACTGGCGACAATCTGGCACAAATTCTTTAACCTGAAAATCTGCAAATGAAGTCGAGGTTCCAAGCAGCGTTTCCTGACTCCAAAAAGTATAATACATGTATATGCAACTAGAAAGCACTCAGAGAGCGCAAACCTCCGCCAAGGCTAAACAATTCCCCGCCATGTTGTCAGCACACCCAAAAGAAATACTCGCATAAAATGGTGAAGAATCCTTTTACAAAAATCCTGCATCCAAACCCAGATCCGGATCACTTCCAAATCTAATCGATTTGTACTTGTACCACGGGCCACCCTAAAACAATTTTCATGCAAATTCGTCTATAACTTTTTGAGTTATCTTGTTAACAGACAAAAGCATGTGAGATATTCAATCGTCTCGACAGGCTCTAGTTCAATCTAGTCAAATTATATTCGCTAAACATGCCAAAATCTGTCGGTCGTTACATACCTGCCCACTCGTGGTCGTAGTTTCTGTTGGGGTCGGTACCGACGCAGACTTGTAGGCCAAACGTGGAACGGGTCTTACGCCACAAACGATCCTGTATAAATATAAACATTCGAAAGTAACAATACTTATTTGACCTGATATAAAGCGATATCAGTGTACTGTTGCGTATACAGAAACATGCAAACGTTGTAGTGTTTGAAGAACATTTTAGTCCTATTTAATTGTAGTATCTACATGAAACGTGGTCAAGTTGTCTAAATGAGATTACTGCGTGAGCCAACTAGAATAAAGTTCGCTCATTCGCCATTTGCGATTCAATGCTAAACATTCTTTAGGATTTTTCTCGAAAGATGTATGTTCAGTTTTGCGCATACGTACATCGGTCCATGTGTACGCGTAGCCATCGACATTCAGCGAGGGCACAATGTAGATGTCGAAAGTATCCAGCATCCTCGTCACCGTGTCGTCGTTTCCATATCCTTCCGCCAGCTACAGAGAAACATTCATGCCATTTTGTAATTCACAGTCAACTGCTGTAATAAAAATCTGACTAGAAATCTGATGTCACTTTAAACCCGGGCCTAATTCCATTGCTCCGACTTCTAACAGGGTTTTGTTATAATTGTGAATCCTTTTTTTATGTATGGAAGATGGTGTCAAACCTGGGCTAGGTTTATAGTTGATATTTTGTAAACAAAATCCTGCCATTACGTTGTTGCAACTTATACATACCAGTTTGGCGATGTACATGACAGTGGCTGGTGAGATCCATTCCCGAGCGTGGATGCCTCCTTGCCAATAGATGGCGGGCTTGTTAAATCCAGCAGACCCCATCTTTGAATGAAAATGAAAAAGATGAGATTCAGTAGCAAATGACCACAATCCCCTCTCTAATGTCTTAACTGCAAGTAACTGCAGTATTAAATTAGCATCATGCCTAAATAATTACTACGGATGCAAATAAGTGTCCGAAATCTCTTTGGACGAAATGTCTAAAATTGGTAGACATTTTTGACCCTCTAATACTAGGCCCTAGGCCTAAATGGACGAAGTAATTTCACAACATTTCGCACGTTCAGATGTCATTGGGATCAACATGGGATGACGTTGTTTAATGAAGTGTTAATTTCAGAATTTTACCGGCCAGGCTCTTGGGTAATTTCAATGATTAATTAATATTACTCGATCTGAGTCTTTGTCACGATAGACCTAGGTAAAAGCAAATGTCTGAATACCTTGATGGCATTGATGTCGCGACCTTCAAAAGAGGTTGCAATCTGGAATTGCTCCACAAGGCTGCTGTGCTCCGCTGCGAAGTCAAACACCCATTGTTGGATCTGTCAAAAGAAATATTTCATTAGAAAAAAATAATAACTGAACCCTCTATCACAACGTCGTATAAACCTAACTAAATTATGTAACAAATGCGACACTTTGACGTTATAGGACGTAAATTATGAAACCATGTAATGCTAGCGTGAAACTTTTAAGGAGAGATCAAGGTTGCAAAGAAATCGGGGTGTTTTATTGGGGTGGGGTGGGGCTGTGACATCATGATTTATTTCAACATATTATAAAGTAACTCGCTGATGTGCATCGGGTTAAGGCGAGCGGAGCCTTTGTTTAAATAATTGGGCTTCGATATATTTTCGTCGGTAAATTGCAAAATCGAGATATTTATACTTATCTCTCCCAACTGCAAATATATATATGTCAAAATTCAGCGTTATTAATGTTTTTGTCTGAATTGTGATGTTTCCGGTGTAGCATGAATTTAGGTTTTATGAAATACAGACTCATTGGTGGTATTGCGCATGCTCATGCATAGATAATTAGGAGAGGGACCGGTCACGTGAGAGGGTTTAACCAATAAAAGAGAAAAAGAGTCCGATTTTCATATGACACCGGCAAAACTGAACAACGCGGCGGAATAGCAAACATTCGTTACTCGCCTCGTCGTAAGTGTGATAGACGTTGTAGTTGAATGCCATGGCACTAATACTGACGTCAAGCTTCATCTGCAAATCAGCCAGAGCCTGGACGTCATCGATCATGACGTCATAGGAAAGACCACGCCTCGTCAAGGTTTCCTTGAGATAGGACAGGACGGTGGGCGGGACCATGATGTCCACGGGGCGGTCCAGACGGCCCGTGTTCTGCCAGAAATCCAGCTGTGGTGGTGACACAAATTGATAATTAAGTAAACAGTTTAAAGTAAAGATACAACATTTGCAAACATCAGAAAACAAAATGATCAAATTATCACAAAATACCTTACTGGATTGTCAGGGAATGACAGTCTAAAGCATCCTGTAAAATCGTGGCTCCTGGAGTGCTGACATTTCCAAGGAAAACTGTATTTTTCCAACGCTGGGCGGCCGAACAGCGTTGGAAAAACTGGTTTTTTTTCTCAAAAACTGCTACTAATTTTTCATTTTTAGTTATTTCGCATTTTCTTTACAATTGATTACACACCTGTGAAGGGGTACAAGTCTGCTAGACTGATTCTTTGACCTTACAATTCCCCAGAGTCTTTACATTTCTCTGTTTTATCTTAAGTGGGGTCATGGAACCAGACTACAAGAACATGATTGGCTTTCTTTGTTTTCCCAGCATCTACAAGCCCAAAACGTGAAACAAGTCAGTTTAACAATATTTGCTATAACATACTAATCCTCCAAATCCATTTATTTCTGAAAATTGCAGCAAATGTTGTACATTCCCTTTAAAGATGCTGTAACGACAAGGTCCTCGAGTGAACTGTGATAACACAATTCCTTGTCATTATTTATCTCCTGTTACTTGTAAGCTGACTTGTGTAAAAGTGTTTTTAGTAATCCAACAAGTCCCCCAAATAGTGGATTTTGTATATGCGGTTCTCAATTCCATGCAAAAGGTTTCGGTCAATAAGGATCCTTGAAGTGGTAAAGAATACATGTATTTATTTGCTAGCTGTAGGGTCTGCATTTTAGAAGAAAGCAAAAAAATTATTATATCAAATTAAGAAACATAAAATAATAAATTAATACTGAAAAAGGCCACGAATAATAATTGCATTGTATGTTATTATACCTTAGATCTTCAAGCGTGTTCAAGAGAATAATTTGCGTAAACAGCTCTTTCATAATACATAACGTGGGTTGAAATTTGTTCAACGAAGAGTAAGTTACAAATTAACACTGAATTTGAGCAAACCTGTCGTTAATTGCCTGAATTCGCCCGCAAGATCAACAGCACAGTTGTGTCAAGCCATTAACAGGCCCACTCGGTGTTTGCTCATCACTTGCTCCTCTATTACCCTACGTTGCTTCCGTTAGTTTTCGAGCTTACGACTATTTGTATTAACAGGTTGGGCTATAAAACAATCCGGGCACGCATTCAATTTCATCACGGAGACCCCCTTCAATGGCGAAAGCATTGTGCTTGCTTTTGTTCAGATAATCCGTTACGGGGAAGTTGCTTTGTTTCACCTGACACAAAGTTGTAATAGTCTTACCTTATCGACCAGTCTCTCTTTCATCGCATTCAGCCATTCGATTTCAATGGAGTCACGTGGCTGTACGCGCAGCGTCTGGTATCTATGAGACAAATAGAGCACGGTGTGTAATTATCAAATGGGTTATTAAAATACATGTTTCAAAATTGTATACCTTTATGCTGGTCCAGAGGACCAGCCTAGTGTCCCACTTATGTTTCTCTGACTGACAGACTGTCACTTGTGTCTTAGCCTGAGGCCTGGTTGTTGAAAGGTGAATAGAGTCGGGCAGTGCCATCATATAGGCATACGGTTACGGAACAGCATATACTGCCATAATAGACATCAATGATAAATAGCTGTGACCCACTTCTCGTGATCAGAAAAATACAACTCTCCAAGGTGTCTGAGACACCCATCAAATTAAAGCTTATTTCATTATCTTTCATTTTCTATTCAATTTATTTTGGGGTAATCAATGACTGAAAACAATATCCAAAGTTGATCACCTCTAAAAAGAAAAAAAATGATGCCTAGGCATATAAGCTCCGTTGCAAAATACAGCAAATTTAGGGCCTAATTTCATCACAATTTCACAAAAATCCAGTGTCGCAGTACTGATCATGGCTTTTACCCTTCTTTTTTCAACCCCCCAAGTTCATGGCCCACAAAATGCTCTGATTGCACTGAAACAAAATTGAGGACATACACATCGTGATTTGGCCCGCGTAGGCAATGTTGGGCCTATTTACTGGCCTGAACCCTTACAGGGCTACTCCAAACCATTGCTTTGAGCATGCATGACAGGACTTCTAGTGAATAGTCATTCTGAATCGACTGATTAAACACGACTTTTGCGTTCCATCCATGGCATCAAATGGCCAAAGAAGATCACCAATACAGAACTGTACAAGAGAACCAACGAGATCCCTTGGAGTACTGCCATTACCCGAAGACGTCTTAGGTGGACAGGCCATCTCCTGAGACTACCCGAGGAAACTCCTGCCAAGCAAGCACTTCTAGAGGCAATCCGCAAGACCAAGCTGCCAAGAGGTGGACAACGAACCACGTGGCCGAAGAGAGTAAACAAGGACCTGACAACCACGGGGTCAACATCAAAGATCGACACACCTGGCACGTGGCATCAGACAGGGAGCAGTGGAGGACACTTACAGAGTGCGCGATGTCAGATCTACTTGGCGCAAGCGCCTTGATGATGATGATGATTTTAGTCGAGCTATAGTAAAGCAGATTCTGTGGTAATTTGGTCCAAGGGTCTAGGTAGGCTCCTGAGGAATACTTTTTGGGCAATGATAAGGCCGCTTTTAGGCAAGTCTAATTCACAAATTTACAGTGGATCGGCCAGTCAGTGAGTCGATCATTGAGATATACAAAGAGGAATAAAAACGTGGAGAAAAACAAACTCCGGCTCGGTCCGGATTCATCGCCTAATAAGCAAGCGTCTCATAATTATTCAACTGTAAATCTGTGGCACGCTGCCTATATAGGTACAAGCGTATTGGTTGTTTGCTGGTTCTCCAATCGTACTATTATTATCAAAGTACTGTTGTCGACACGGTTTTCTCGAAAAGTGAATTGTTTTACCTTGCTGTTCGTGAAAGTGGTCGAAAAATATCAAATACAAACGAGCCATGTATCCTTTACATTTAGAAATTAATCTAGAATGTGTACATACCAGTGTTGGAGCAAAGGCTTTGACCCTCAAGGCCAAGGCCAAGGCCAAGGCTTTGACCATCAAGGCTAAGGCCAAGGCCAAGGCTTTGACCCTCAAGCCTCGAGGCCAAGGCCAAGGCTTAACCCTCAAGGCCAAGGCCAAGGCCAAGGCCATGACCACTGATATAGAACTAATTATAGTCACATGAGTGACACATCATCACGCAAGGGCGGATCCAGAACACAATTTGGGGGAGGGGGGCACAGAAATTTTGGTCCCCCCCCCAATAAAGTGGGTCCAAAAATTACGGCTTGGGCTTCGGGGCCCGCTTTAATATTAAGGGACCCGAAAAAATTTTGGATTCGAGATGCTCTGTGGTGCGATTTGAGGCAATTTCTGACCATTTTAACCGATGTTTTTTTAGGAAAAGATGGTGGTGTACTCTATTGCCTGCCTTTATTACGACGTCACATAAAAAAAAATGGTTTCGTTTTTTTTTTTTTGGGGGGGGGGGCATGGCCCCTTTTGGCCCCCCTGGACCGCCCTTATCATCACGAATTGCTCATTACGAAGAACAACATTTCTTTAATTGCAATCAACATGCTCGCATAGGCCTACACCGTTTTATGACTGCACTGTACCTATTAAAGTATAAGTTCAGGTCTTCAATATGGTTTAACTAAACAAAATAATGATTTACTTCTATATTGACACACAATTCTCCCAAGTGTAACAAAAGGGGGATCCAAGAAACTGATTTGGGAAATGTTTATTTGCTGGCCCAACATGGTCAGAAATATCAGCATTATCTAAAACAGATACATGCAAATCTTTAGCACTTATCAGGGAGACATACAACCAATCAGATCTATTCCATAGTTATATGCAATTAAAGTGATCATCTCATTAGCCCCACAAGTGTACGGAATATTTTTGCAGCAAATCTACTACAATGGTAACAAAATGTGATGCTACAAAAGTGGAAGTGTGCCCAACACACAAATCTATAGGGCGCTTCCCTCCTCTATGGTAATACGATTAAAATGGTAACAGCAAAATTTCGAACAGATTTATCTGGAAAATGCAAAAATCTATGGGCCTTGAAGAGCCTTGACTCAAAATTGCAAGGCCCTGAACCCTCAAGGCCAAGGCCAAGGCCAAGGCTTTTGACCTCAAGCCTCGAGGCCAAGGCCAAGGCCCTAAAATCCAGCCTTAAGGCAGCCTTAAGGCCAAGGCCCAGCATCAAGGCACTACATCACTGGTACATACCCATCGTAACGGACAGCCACACAGCCGGCAACGAGTGCAAGAAGTACAAGAACCTTCATGATTTCGAAACGTCTTCAAAACTCTAAAGACTACAGTACATTTAGAGCAGACAGCCCCAAAAGAAATGTGTCCGAGAGTTGTTCCGGTGCAGCTTTTTAAACGAATTGATTATAATCCGCTTGAAAAGGAACTTAGCTTCCAGTGATAACGGGTTTTTTTAGTGGACTTATGCGAATTCTCGGTGAAGTTATTCTGAGCTTGTTATTAATATAGGCCTACGATGAAGAAAGGAAGACTTCTTGGTTGGACTAATACCTTCGATACAATAGACAATAATGCATGTAGATATAGGCCTATATGCCTAATACAAGTGAGAACGATATAATCCCTAACACACTGTACATGTGGGAAAATATCATCTGGTGTAACAACACGTAACTTTGACAAATAATGCTGGTAGCATAATTAGTTTGTTTGAACAACGCTGGGAGGCCTTTAAAAGTATGAAGTTCCAATAGAATATACTAAAAACTTAAGCTGGTACAAGATTCGGCGATTAATTATACTGTTCAAAACAAGACTGCGAAGTTGACCTTAATATTCTCACCTTTGAACGGGCGCCTTCTATCGGGTCTTGCGTAACGCGTTGCTGTATTACAAAAACATGGCAGCCAAATTGACCAATCAACAGCTTAGCCCACATTTCTGATCGAAATGACGTCATATTTTCTAAAGTCGACTCCGATTGGCTGGAACGCGGGGTCTCATAAAATTTGCGCACAAGGATATGATCAGAAGGTCGTAGTGGTGTGGCTCTGCACACGTGAATTTCTGATCCTCAGACTATATATATTTTTGAAATGTTACTGTGGCCATTTCCCCGCAATAAAAACTAAGGTCTGTCCCTTCCAAAAAAACCCGACAGCGATATGAATGCACATTGAATTCACGTGACGTCGAATTTCCGATAACGGTTGTCATGAACGAGTTGACGATCCGGGAACTCGATCTGTGTTTTGTTTCCTCTTGCGCGGTACGAACAAAAGGGGCGCTACGGTGCGGCGCAGCAGTTTGACAACGAAGGGTGCAACCCTGTATTAAAATTCCCATAGACACTTGTGCTAAATGCCAATACTTCAAAATTCTTTTAAAAATACTCAGAACTCTCACAGGTATTTAAGCTGCACAGCAAAATGATGATCATCATGTCATCTTTCATTTTCTTTTCATTTTTTGGTGGGTTGACCACTGACTTTTCGAGATATTCTCACCCAAAGACGACGACCCCTATTTTCCCCAGAGCGGAAAAGTAGGCATCTTGAAAAACGATCCCTCAATAACATGGCAAAATAGTGCCACTTTTGAGCCCAATTGCATCCAAAATGCTCAGAATAATTTAAAGCCCCCAGTCCGGGCAAGAGTTTTATTGCCATATCTCTTCAATTCCCCAATTGGATTACTCTCAGAATTACTCTCTAATATAGAATATTTTGAGGGTATAACTTTTATTCATGAGCTCGACGGCGGATGGGTTAAGACCTATTTAGGGCCTACCGGTGTACATCCCGAAGGGATTGGGCCCAAATTATTTGGGCAAACTTTGAAACACTACGGACAACGTACATTCGAGTGTGCTATTTTATTACCGTATAAACATTGAATACCAGGTAAAATATCATTCATCCTTCATGCTAAGCCCTGTTTGCATTTTGTCGCACGTATGAATGTATTACTTCGAAGTACATGTATCATGGTGGCACTGTATTCATGGCATTGTTTAGCCTAAATTCCCGTCACAATTATAATTGTTGATAAAAAAACAACAACTTGCTTGTCTGACCCATATTAGAATATGACCCATAGGCTTTAACGTAGTCACCATGTAAGGCAATGTAGGCCTACTGAGTACTAGTAATCGTGATATAGCAGTTGGCATAGACAGACTATAGATTGCAATGAAAGTTTAAACCGTCACAGTAAATTGGCTATAAACGAGGAAATGCAAGATATCCAAAAAGAAAATATTGTATGTGTATAGCCTTCAACGCATATCATTCTTCTCCATTTTCACCATGAAGGGATATATTCACACAAGCGTGGCCATGTATTACAGCCGGCGGCAGGTACTGCCAGGTTGGCGTTCATGGCCCACAGTAACGACCTCGCCGCATGAATAAGCAAACTGTAAAGCTATCCTCGCTGAACTATTTTTGTGGCGAGACAGAACTGGAAAAACGTTCGCCTTTCTCCACACTAGTTAATAGAGGGGAGAGTCGCCATCAGTTTGATCCAGTTTTTGATGCCGTTAAAATACGTCTCTGATCTAAACTCTGAGTTTCGCACGAGGAGACATACCCATTGGGACACGCAGACGACAATGATACCAATAATCGTACAACTAGTGACGCTCCTGATGACGGGTGGAAACTTGGTTGGCAACTGCATGGTTGAAGGTGAGTGGCTGTGGTTATACACTTGGGACTCTTGTACTCATGGACCTTGAGTGCTCAAAAACATGCAAAACGCAATCAAGCCAACTTTGCTCACTCTTTAGCGGACAAAATCCTCTAAAATTATCAAGAGGCAAATACAAGGTCCTGAGTATTTCAACGATCAAGTTTGAAGTCTCAACTCAACTTTGAAAGGAAACATTTTTTGTCCTCAATATTTTGCACCTGGGAGAGAAGTCAAGTGGTATCAATGTGAGGACAAAGACTAGACTAGTACATGTTCAACCATGGTCCAACGGTTTGAAAAGACTGACCTCTAATTCATTAGTCTGGTGGCTGACTATGGAGAAAATAATGGGAAAAAATGTTGCAACCTGACGCCACTTTTTCTTCATATATCATCTCAATGAAGGTCATTGCAAGGAGCAAGGTTGGATAAAAATGCAGTACACTGATGCCACTCTTTTTTCTCACAGTCACATCGTTGGAAATATTCACGCCCTAAACTAAAGCATCGTTCCAACTACAGCATTATATGGGATTGTCTCAAGTAGAGTCGGGAGACTTCCCAGACTGGGATCTTGAGTGCAGAAAAGAATGCAAAACAAAATCTTACCACTTTTATTCACTCAACCGACAAAACTCTCCAAAATTTTCATGAGGCAAAGACAAGGTCGTCAGTATTTCACCAGCCAAGTTGGAGGTCTCAATTCAATTTTCAATTGGAGACTTTTTGTCCGACATGTTCACAGTGTGGATTCGTAATTCTGAATCCACACTTTGTAACCAGTGTAGGCCTACCATAACAGATTCGTAGTTCCGAATCCACACTTTTAACAATAGTGACGTCATAGCAATGGTTTAAAGAGACTATAACACCAGTTGTTTCTTTCGACACAGTTGATTAATGCCGTACTAAAGGGGTGTTCGACTGGTTGTTTCATTTGGCAGTCTGTTTCCTTGTATTGCATGTTTTCACTAACTTAAGTTTTGGGACTCTCATACACAGTATTGAGAGTCCCAAAGTTACGGACAGGATATGCCCCAACTGTAGGGGAGTGTCCCATTGGGCCGGGTCATTGCTACACTAATAAATACAGACTACTGAAACAAGGGATAGAGTTTAGTATTCTGAAAGTATAGTAGGTCTTTATATTGACGCCACTTTGCTGATAATGGTTTGGACACAAAGTAGGCCTATAAGGGAAACCGGGAATATTTTCAGATCATTTCAGTCGAAAGTAAGTAACATACATGACGTTAAAATAAGCTAGACTTTGAAAACCCAAAGAATAAAATTCATACAAACTGAATAACAAAGAGAAGTATGCCGGGTCGTCTGTTCGTTTCACCCGGGCGCATTCCTTTATCAGAGGGAACACACTCTCTCTTTGTGGTAGCGCACGTACGGCCTCAAGCTAACAACCGTTTGGGAAAGTGCAATCCAGGATTTTCGATATTTGCAAGCTCACCGCTCACCAGATGGCCACTTGTCACACAATCATCGGTTGTTCTCATCATTTGCGACGCGTAAATTGTAACATTTAAACTTGCCATTAGCTATTATGACTAATGTGCACGCATGATGATAATTATACAGCAATTATAAAAACAAGTATGTATGGGTATAGGCGGGGACATCCGGGAACTTCTTACATTTTGCCTTGTCTAGTTCCTAGACTTTTTTTATTTACAACTCAACAGTTCTTGGGTCTGGAGTGATGAATGGTAATGCACCTATCAGATGTCTCCCTATACCCCTACCCCTACCCTACCCCCCCCCCCCCACGCTGTCCGGGTCTTATGTCGGGGTTTGGCCACGTTTTTTAAGCCCCAGGGTGGACATTTTGGTCTGGCATTTTTACCATTGGTGCACTAGATTTGAAAGGCAGCAATCAGTTCAGTGCGCTCCACCTTTATATATCGGATATTGTCACTTAAATTTCGCGTAGGGGTGGGCGATTTTGTCACTTCAAAAGTGAATCCCCATCACGTCTTAGGTGGGGCTGCCTGGAGGGGGGGACAACATTGATACACGCATAACTCATCACAAATAACAGCTTAACCAGAAACTCTTTAGGACCGTTGTGCTCTTACTTTGAATGGAAAAGAAGCAAACTGTCACCCGATGTTCACAACCACGCATACAATTAGAAAACACGACAGAAAGACGGTTCAACTGTACCATTTTGGGCAATAGTTACAGAGTTAGACCTACGTTATTGCTGACACAGAGGGCTCGCTTGTGTAAAAAACAAACAAAGGGGGGGGGGGGCTTGATCCACTATTTAAAATAATCCTATTTGGGGGATTTGGGAATATGTTAGCCACCGCATGCATGGAACCAATCTAAATAGGCCTATTTATGTGAGACTTTCATCTACACGTGTCATGGTAAATACGATTATGGTGGGGACCGTCGTGTTTACGGTTATTGCGCTGTGCTACTCCAAACCACTTTACACAGATCCTTCGCATTACGGCCATTTTGAGGTATATTTATGTGCTTTTGTATTCCAAATGGATTTTTACGAGTAGGGGCCTAAACCTTCGTGTAATCAAAAAACACCCCATAGATGGCCTCTCAGAGCAAATGGTCTATTGTTAATGCGATTTATCTGTTTGTTGCCGTTTCTAGCCCAAACCAACGCTGGCCAGAAATTCGTATTTGCCTTCGCCGAGAACTACCGGCCGAATGCCGACCCGACGGTCCTCATCACCAACATGTCACCGCTGGACCACGCCATCGTTAGCGTCACCATCAAAACGCCTGTACACGGGCTGCTGCAGATTGTCACGCTGCAAGGGTTCGGTCACACGGAGCAAGTCCCGCTGCCGAGGGACATTGTCCCGGTCAGTCCTGAGTTGGACATGGTGGCCGTCATTATCGAAGCGAACGATACCGTGAGCGTGTACGCCATTAACGACGCACACGATCGCTCCATGGATGGTTTCACCGTGCTACCCGTGAGCTCCCTGGGCACTGAGTACTACGTGGCGTCCTACACTCCCTCGCTACGCTCCCAGATCGTTATCGTGGCCATAGACGATGAAACTGAGGTTGAGATTGAACTGTCCAACACCGTCATGTACAAAGATCGCAATGTGAAGGGAGGGGATACTATCTTGGTGGACGCCCAGCAACATGATGCTTTCTTACTGAGCGGACGAATGGATCTGACAGGGACAAGGATTTATGCGAGATCGAATCATCCCATTGCCGTGCTGTCCGGCAACCGATGCGCGTTCCTTCCAATCGGTGTCAATTCCTGCGATCATCTGGTGGAGATGCTACCGCCATTCAGTCAGTGGGGGAGGCAGTTCGTCGTCATGCCATTCATTGGCCGATCCACGGGGATCATCTACCGCGTCATCGGCGGCCGCGACGGTACCGAGATCACTGTGAACTCGCAGAGGATGCGAGTGAACCAGGAGCACTACCTGGAGTTCGAACTGGCGGTCGGTCAGAGCGACTTCGTCGAGTCGCACAACCACCCCGTACAGGTGGTGCAGTACACCAAGGGATACGACGCGGATGGTGTGAGTGGCGATCCTGCTATGAGTATCGTGCCTCCGATGGAGCAGAGCCTCAACACGGTGAGGTTCCCGACCTACAACACCACCAAGGACATGCAGACCGTGCATAACTACGTTAACATCTACGCTCCCTGCGCGGAGATGTACTACGGCAACTTGACCATGGATGGCGTGGTCATCCGCGAGTTAGTGTCGGCGGAGCAGCGCATCGTCAGGGTGGATAGCTCCGCCTACTGCGGCGTTGGGCTGTACCTCACCCACGGGGTGCACACCATCGCGCCGGCAGCTCAAGGAGGGGAAAGCTTCATCGCCCTGGCCTACGGCTTTGCCGACATGAACTCGTTCGCCTGGCCCGTGGGTCTGGGGACCAAGGAAATTACTTGCCTGTATCCGGGACTCGACGGGACTCAACTGGAATACTCCTGCAGCAGGACGCTAGTTGTTCAACGCGTTCCCTGCAATATGTCGGAGGTTGTCGACGGCGAGGAATGTAAAAATGTAGATTGTGTCCCAAATGGTAAGCATTTTAATTGTGTGCAAGATCCAGCCTTCGGTAACTCTCATGGCAAATGTATAGCTGGCTTTTCTTGGGAAAAGATCGTTCACATACACCGGAAGGTACGGAAGGATTTTGCAGGATTTAGGAAGTTAAAGCCGAGCCGGCTCAATCAAGTTTAACAGTTTCACTTAAAAATCAATATAAAGTTCTGGACTTCAAGAGGGATCCTGATAGTTAACGGTTAAGGAAGGACGACGACCCATGCGATCTATTTATCCTCGTGTGATCTATGGCTTATTCTTGTAACAAACAGATTTTGTTTTCTTGTAACAAACAGAGTATGTCATCTATATCGCAGCCGGGTCTGCTGTCGTAGCCCTTATCCTGGTGAAACTCCTCAGCCATTTTGTCATCCAAAGAACAAAGTAAGAATGAAGTATACACTGCAAAAACTGTAGTGTTAATTTAACACCATTCGGTATCTATATAGGACAACACCAGTAAAATTTAACACCAGATGGTCCTATAGATACCAATGGTGTAAATTTAACACTCCAGTTTTTGCAGTGTAGTGTGTTTAAAAATAATACATTTAGAGAAAAAATATTTAAAATACGACCTCCTACTTTTGTTTAAATAAAAATTTACATACGCTTAAAGAATGGTTATTTCTCAACACAATGCTGTTTTCCCTATTTCATTTTGGACACCTACATCCAGAGATGTAGACAGTTAACTGGAAGGGATGATATGTCAATGTGGTCCAATTTGCAGCAAAGTGAATGAAAGGAGATCAACACGCAAGCAATTGCTCTTATATTGATTAGGAACAACCTAAACTTATGCTCCAATGATTGTAAACGAGTTAAATAATCAATGAATCATAGGTTCCAACTAAATATTGATTGGCAAATAGGTAAGTTGGCCAACGGAGAGATTACTGGCATGTTAAACTAAGGTTTCAGTCATGAACTCTTCATTTGTATTTGAATGCTTGTGTGTAATCTGTAATCCTCACTACGCTCAATAGCTTCCAATGGCATTCCATAGACAGCTATAAAAATGGGTTATTTTATTAAAACATGCACAACTTCTGACAGCATGGATCAATTTTCAGTATTTTTTTTCAAATGAGTGGAAGAACATGCTCTTTAAAGACGTGCTTAATTGGTGTATCAAATTTGATTGCTTTGAAGAAAAACACTTAAATTCTGGGTCACTTTCTTTGTGACTCACCCTGTATAGCCAATAGCACAATGCAATTCCAGTACGGTGTATCGGTGCCAAAACGTACAATATTTGCTGTAGGCCTAAACTGAATACCTTATCTGTTCCCTTTTGGACAGACCCCCCAAACAACTAGCCTTCGGGCAAATCGGCTTGAAAGACCAACCACCGGAGATTGCCATCCACGATGGGAGCACGCGGGATGACTTCCTCCATGGTGACAGCAACCGCGACTTGAGCGAGACATCCAAGACACTTCGCCCGCCGTCTCCTCCGCCTCAGCGGCGATCATCGATCAGGTCAGAGAGGGCCGAGAGAATGAGACGCAGTTCCCGTACTCCATCGCCCTCACAAGGTTCCCGTTAGCAGGAGCTACGCTGAACGAAAATTCTCTGCTGATCACGACATGGCTGTCTACTCTGAAACAAATCTCGACCTTTCGTTTTCATTCTTACACAACGGTCGCCATGTTTCTTGTTGCCTCAAAAACATGTTTTCCTGTAAGACAAAATAAAAAATAACAGGCAATGATATTTTGATTAATAGATCAACTTAAATAATGGTTAATACATGAGGCCTTTTAAGATGTACAGGATGTTAAAACATCTTCTTTGTTAATTTTCTTTTTGCATATTAAAAATTAAGACAATTTGTGACAGGCTTAAAATCAATGAAATATCGGTGCAAACTTACACAGATTTTTGCAGAATTATATTTAAAAGGTAACCTTCACTCTCGGTGGAGCACATTGGAAAGTACGATTTGTTTTGATAAATCTTACCCCGAGGAGCCTAACTCTTCAGGCACGAAAAAGGCTACATGGAACACGCTCTCCTATTGGCTAACAAGCTCCATGGAAAAAAAGAGACCTCGTACAATACATTGAGAATCATGAATATTCAGTGTGTAGGAAAACGTCCAAAGTCTACGCAGACAATCTGATTGGCTGATGACATGTGTCCAAATAGTATAAACGTAGTTTGCCAGGGTAGTCTAGGCCTATACGACGTAGACAAGTAAAATCACCTGGGCTATAGCGTGGAATATAAACCTTATTAAAGTGGAAGCCATTTTCGATCGTGTTCCCTGAATCTATTTTATAAATTGTAAACTGTTGACTGGGATGGTTCCAGACTACTTTATGATTGGCGTGCGTTCCAAGTCTCGCTTTCGATGTTTTTATTTTAAATGTGGCTTAAACATTAATTAGAGTATGTTAATCGCAATTTAGAAGATTCATCAGAGTGCACTGGCATTAACTTTTATTTGATTGCTTTCATTTCTCGCAGGTTCCAAAATTGAAGAGTATTGTTTCGGTTTGCGGTAACACCATGTGGTAATAACTACTGTCGCTCAGTAGTTTTTAGTTCTGATAAGAACTTGTCCTGCTTATTACCAACTTTCGCTAAGTAGTTTTTAGTTCTGATAAGACAAGTGCTACTTAGTTCTACACGAATTTGTCTTTGGTCTCAACGTTTCGACTAGCATGATCTAGTCATCGTCAGGGGACTGTGCATTAACTCCCCCAACTCGTAGGTTGGCGTAGCGGTACTTTTCTCACCTTCCACCGCTGTGACCCGGGTTCGAATCCTGCCTCGGCCAATATATGGATTTGGTTTTCAGTCCCTGCCTGAGTCCGTGGGTTTTCCCTAGAACGTCATTCTGGGGATTTCCTCCCACCTCTAAAACTGTAATTTGTTCTCACTGTCTTCTCCCTACAGGTTTCTTTACAGGCTAGATCGAGCTACACAGTGCCTATAAGGGCGCTTTTGAGGAAGCCTTGGTTTCATTACCAGAAATGATTAATATTAATAATATGAATATGGCTGACTCGTGATAGTCTTGGGCCTATAGACCATTTTCATGTTGCAGCCATTTGATTTTTTTGCCATTCAAATCAATGTAACCAAAGCGAGGCTGGAGGGAAAAATAGTCTGGTTCCTTTTTACACAAAAACACTATCATTCAGTACTGTTATTGGATACAGGGAACATGACTAAAATGGGAGAAGCATGATATAGGTCTATTGAGGCAGCTGCTCAAACAACCCAACTTCGTTCTCAGGCTCTTCTTGCAACCTCGAAGAAAATAGTAGACAACACTGTGATTTTATTCTCGATGCGTAGCCTATTGCGTGTTTTAATGTTCATTACGAATTACTATGTCCAATCCTACTCGAAAACTATATTCTCTCTTTTCAGTTTGCGTATTATCATAGGTAAAACTGAAATTTAAATTGATAATAATTTCACATTATGTAAAAAGGTATTTGGATAATATGCAAAATGATCCAGTACCGGGCGAGAGCAGCTAGCGGAAGCGTACTGCTCGACGCCACAGGGACGAGGTTGGAAACAACCATTTTGGTGTTTTCTTGTAATATAAAATTTATTTTGGTATAAACTGTAATTGTCTTGTCTTGCTGTATGTAATTTTGACCCCTTTTTCATTTAATAGGCTAAAAGCCCTATGCTCAAACGTTATTCCGTGCTTATAAAGCAAGTCGAAGACCCCAAGGTGTATCAAACGGTTGACGTTGTAAAATTATGTAAATGTGTTCTATAAATTGGAAATTGCATTTTTCTTGGCCTTTAATAAGGAATTATAAATACGATTTTTAAAAACTGTTTAATTATTGTATTTAGACGACATGAGACAATAACGAATTATGGAAGTGTAAGGTTATGTATTCGGACTTATAAGTCTGTTTAAATTTAAGTACAAGAATTATATGGACCTACGTAAGGCAGGTAAAATGGATTTGATAGGGGGCATTTTGTTGCTGTAAATAAACGGCGTAGGCCTAGATGTGAGCGCAATATGAGAACTCCAAATGACAATTGAACTTTTTTTTCAGTGGTTCACCGGCAAAAATAGCGGCTTCAGGTAACTTTTCTTAAGTGTTGTTACTAGCTAGATGCCGGAAAGCTTGTTCAGCTTCAGTTTAGCCCATCGATCTATACTGCCCTATATTCACACGTGCTATATTCAGGTGGTAACGGCGCTTGTCAGTGAAAATCTGGCGAGATGTTCTGTGGTAGTGAATTGCGGATCTTCATCTAAATTGCAGAATTGTTTTGGCGTTTTGTTCCTTTATAACCAGGCCTCAATTTCAGCCACTTGAAAATTTATATAGTTTTGTTCCCTAACGTGGCGCACTTCGAAGCTTGGCAACTTTCCTCGTGTAGTGTTGCCAAACCTCTTTGTTGACAAACCTCAAATTCATGCAGTAAAATACTGGTACTTTTACCTTATTAATGCGTGCTATTTAACCTCTGTGAACAATTTCGGTTTCATAAAATTTAATCCGAAATTCAAAAACGGTGGCGTCCGGAAATTGGGCACAAATTCGCGGAGTGTTCCCTAACGTGGCGCACTTAAATAAAACTCGGAAAATTCCAAATTAACATTTAAGAATTTCTGTTAACTTGAAAAATTCTGATAAATCATTATTATCTCTACTTACATACCCAGCCAGATGTTTGTCAGAAAATCATTTTCTTATTTTTCAGGGTATTTTCAAAGGGTTCACTTTGCACTTGAAAATAAAATCGGAAAATAACGCCAAAATAAATTTTTCTTCTAACTTTGTTACGGGTAAATAAACTCGCGATTTATGAACAGGAGTGTTTAGAACTTGATGAAATTTCACTTTCTGTGAAATTTCAGTTAAAACTTTTGCTCTAGGTAGGCGCTACAGGAGAAAAATCGAAGTGCGCCACGTTGGGGGCCGCGCCACGTTAGGGTACATCAACAATATATGCATCAGAATGTTATAATTAACAATTGTTGACTGCTGTGATGTGATATGATGTTTTGACGGGTGCTATGCAACCCCAGAGAGTGTTCAAAACGTCATATCCCACATGACAGCAGTCAACAATTGTTTTATCATACCTCTGTCTTGGATTCTTTGGAGTTTGATGAAAAAAATCACGAAAACAAACAGCAAGTACTGAAGTAGTAAACACAACAATCATGACAATCGAACGTCAACTCACGTGCATGTCGCGTGCTCGAAACAGCTGATCGTCTGCTGCCGAGTTCGCTGCTCCCGCTCATGAGTGAAAACATGGTGAAAATAGCTTGGGTACCAACGATAAAAGCGTACATACATATAGCACACTCCCTGTGGGATGATATCACGTACGTGAAGTGTGCCATGACTTTTTTATAAACTTAACACGTGATCGTTCCACGCCAATGAAAATATAGTATTGAAGACAGAGGTATAACAAGTACTGATAATCTTGCCAATCATAAAAAGTATGTGACGCATGCGCAGTGGTCTCTGCGTTACGCTGACGCTGAAGGATGCAACCCTGCAAATAAATTCCCATAGACACTAGTGCTAAACGCCCATACTTCAAAATTCTTTTAAAAATACTCAGAACTCTCACAGGTATTTAAGTTGCACAGAAAAATGATGATCGACATGTCGTCTTTCAATTTCTTTTCATTTTTTGGTGGGTTGACCATTGACTTTTCGAGAAATTCTCGCCCAAAGAAGACGACCCCTATTTTCCCCAAAGCGGAACGGCAGCCATCTTGAAAAACGATCCCTCCACAACATGGCAAAATAGCGCCACTTTCGAGCCCAATTGTATCCAAAATGCTCAGAATTGGAAGCCCCGAGTACGGGCCAGAGGTTCATTGCAATATCTCTTCAATTCCCCAATGTTATGGCTCCCAGAACTCTCTAATATAGAATATTTTGAGGGTAAAACGTTGATCATGAGCTCGGCGGATGGATTTAGGCCTATTTACCGGTGTGCACCCTGAAGAGTCTTTGTAAACTTTGCTGTTTATTTCCCCACAAAGCAAGTTGGAAATACGCGTTGTGAAGCGAAAATAATCTGCTCACAACATTAGTAACTCGATACATGCAGAAAGAAGAACAAATATTATTGCAGACGGAAGCCATTCAACAGGACAACTATATACACCGACTCGGTATAATTCCACTTAAATATTCCACTTTTATTTGAGTGTATATGGGATCACAGTATTCATTCTTCAATTATAACAAAAGAGGATCAATGTACAGAGTATAATTATGGCAAATAATGTACCCTAAAATCTTCAAACGAAAGAATTAAAATCCATTTATGCAAGTATGCCACTACAACCCACCTCTATTTTGATTGCTATAATGCTATGCGTACACATATTCCACATTACTTTGAAATGCCATTCTATGCCAGACGGTTTTGAACCAAAAAAAAAATCATATACATTACCGCCAGAAAATACATTTTCAAGTTGTAAAATGAAGCAATGTTCTTATTACATGATTTAAATACTTAGTAAGTTCGAGTAGAAATAATCACAAATATAAAACGAAGTTCAATTCTGTATCATATTTAAAACTCTCACGTGCCGGTAGTTTATACCTTTGGGTAAACTTAGAGGTACTAAACTTAACGAGAAGCGTAATACAAAGCTGAAATTATCACATTTCGAAAGTTGCTCAGAGAATGCCCACTTCATTTCTCTCAAGAAGTTTTGTTACTCAATAAAAAGTTAGCATTGGAAACGGAGTGTGTTATCATGTGAGCGAAGTTGCCCATGGTCTCCTCTACAGGCTTTTTAATTTCTCAAAAAGATGGGGGACGGAGGTTCCACGACTTTCCATCAGAAATAATCCAGGAAATTTCCAACGGGTTTTACTAACTCCAGTGGAACAAAGCATGCTTCATTTTTTTTTACGGCAACATAATCTAATTTCTGTCACTCTAACTCGTTTACAGCAACACCAGACTCAACATTTTTCGAACTTTCTCGGACGGAATTTCCGGTGCCAGTTTTGTTTGTAGTTTTTATAATACGGTGAACTCTCCTCGTTAAAAACCAATCTGATTTAAAGGGAAAGAAATACAGCTTTGTGCACAGAACACACACAAAAAAGAGCCCAACATTTTGTACGGACAATTCTGCACGATTCACAAGAGTCCTGAAGTAAAATGATGCTTTTTACATATTGCTGCAGTATCTCGCTCAACACAAAAAAAGATAGTGCTTCAAACCGAGTGCATTGTATCTAACTTCCACTAATTACACAGAATAAAACAACTCCTGGCTTTCTATGATTATCGTTGTAAATGTGTGTCCAGATGGCATGGGCATTTCTAGGGTTTCAATTTCAAAAGAAACTAAACTCCACACGCACACTACCGGAATGGACCGATCCAGTAAGCTCCGCCCAGTGCACACGTGGGCAAATTAACACGTGCTCCTCTCCAATGCCACGCTGCATTTTCCTTCCGCGCGCATCATACGCGCGTGCACGCATGTCGGACTTTAGTGCACGCGCGTCAGACATAAATCACGGCTGTGATTGGTCAGAACACCATGGGGCGGTGCTTACTGGATCGGTCCATTTATGAACTATTACAGTAAGTGGATAGTCTTGCATATAGGCCTTCTGTACATTCAATATTACATTACAGATCACATAAAACGGTATGCATATAATTATTTCATCGAAGTTTACAGTTTCAAATTTCATTACAGACAAACTTCCATTCCTCGACACACAACACACAACCACACCAGTTTTTTTCTCGGTATTATTACACCCTACAACTTTGGACATTAGATATAGTTTTGCTGATGATTTTTTTTTCTGTACAAGTTACAGCAAATTTCGCTGGTACCTGGCGAACTCTACTTGGGAATTCTCCTTTGTGTGAATAGTATTAACAATTAACTACTGTATCAGTTGAACTAGCCCCACAAATAAATGTGGCTCAAAAACCGATATTCCTCCGTTTGTGAGCCACACAGTGGTCCTGTGCTATTTATGGGGAAAAGTTGATTTTGAGGAAATCCAATTTCAGTTCTATTTTTTTCACTTGATATTCACCATGGAAGATACTTGCCTGCTTATTAGCCAGCAAAAATAAAATTCTGTTTCGGTAGTTGTTTAGTTATCCTGTAATTTTATGGCAAAATTTACAGTGAGTTTGTCCAAAAAAGAGTGCAGTAACTTTCTCTGGGTCACAGGTCATGTACACTTGACCTTTTAATTTTCCCTGGTTATTAATGATGTAAGTATCTTCCATATTGACTATGAAGTAAAAACAAAAATAGTCCCGATTTCAATTTCCTTAAAATCAACTTTCCCACAAATAGCATATGACCACTATGTAGCTCACAATATGGAGGAAGTCCAGTATTTGAGCGCCATTTATGGGCTACAGTCGGGCCAGGTCACATTTCTTCAAGGGATTTTGATTTTAAGATGGACAAATGTATCTTCTAACAGTCACAATGGTTTACTATTGAGCGAACACAACCGAAACAACTGGTACTGCTGCTACTCGCAATCACTGACTTCCAAGCAGTGAAATGGCCGGGAACCAGCTAAACTTTACAGTACTTGAAATCTAACGACTGCCAACAATATGTAATAAATCAAGTCTCTTATTATCGTCGGATATGTAACATTTACAGGAAAAAAACCCGACAAATTTGCTTGCATATCACTGACTTCTTCCACTTATTCTTGCTTGGTTTAAATAACCAGAACGGATAAATTATAGTAGTCTTTGACTTGCCACGAAATGTTCATGTAGTCCAGAGAAGATAAAATTCAAATTAGACTTGTTTCACAACTTTTTTTGGTAACTTACACTATTTCCTTGACCATTAAAACGAGCATCATCTACCCATCAATTTTGAAACCTCACTCGGTTTTGACATCCTGATGAATATGGACATTACTTAGGTGATCCAACAACAGCGAGATACTAATTTTTTATTTGTGCGAGACTTTTTAAATGCCTGTAACTCGAAAAGTAGCCCTAGCAACCTTGGGCACTTCTTGCTAGATTGCTTGACCAACAATAGTCTGGAAAATATTAAAACATTTTTTTCTTAAATATGTGCAGTGGCTTTCTATTGCACACACGGAATCGGACACAAAATGGCTTCAAAGTGCCGAGCACAAGTTTTTCAAACCATCACCACAATGCTACTTTAAAAGTGCAATTCATAAAATTTGAGTATTAATCCATTGAAGAGTTTTTTAAACTTGTCCCGAGGAAAATACTTTTGAGCCACGCTTTGCTAGGCAATGAAATGGAAACAAACAAGTTTTCCCACCAGGCATTTGAAACTAAGCCCAGACGCAATAAGCCAGTTCGGTATCTCCTTCGAACCTCCCCCCCTGCCCTGCAAACAGGACACTGGGATACTCTGATGAGCTTCACATAATCTTGTGAAGGAAGTGGCCTATGACCTATGTATAAAGCATCTGGCTGCAGCTGTTCAAGACCGCAGTTAGACAATGTGCGCAAATGCTATCCGAAAACTTCCCATAGAAATGCGCACATTCCATACCGGAGGTGATTTCTGTTTCATTGCCGACCATGTGGACAAAATTTTGAGCGTCGCATGATGCAATCCAACCGTTCGTGATTCGAAACGGAGCCTGAGCAAGTGACGGGAATTGTAAATTCACAACACAGATAAGTTTTACAGAATTTCCTACATTATTACGCTTTTCAATGACCAAAAAAAATCTCTAAACTGGAATAAAAGAGTAATGAATCAGTCTTAACGGCCATTTCAAACCTTGCAGAGTCATGACCTTGATAATTCGCAGGTCACTGGCCACGCAAAATCCAACCAATCGGAGTGTGAATTCATCAGAGTATCCCAGCGTCCTGTTTGCAGGGCGGGGGGTACGAGCGAAGGTATCTCGATGAAGTAGTCCAGGTCAAAGGTCATTCAAGATAAACTCACTGACGCGATGTAACGCAAACACCCATTCTGCTCGTAATTAACGCGCAAGTGTTGTGCAACCGTCACTTTGCGAGTTTAAGCGCCTTTGATGGGCGTTCGATTATCACAAATGACATGTGACCTATATTATCATGCACAGTTGAAATACGAAACTGGCTTATTGCAATATGTTATTACTGGTGTCATATTAATGAAAAGTTCTTCAGTCCCTTTTAAATATTGACTCATATTCGAGCGATTCAAAGTACAGGCAAATGTTGACCTAGATGTGAAAATTGCCACACATATGTAAAAAAAAAAAACGCTGAAAATCATGTAAAGTTGGTAAGAAGCTGTTTGGTAAGAAGCTGTGAAAGCCAGAAAATGCATAGACGTCGTGCAATACCAAACTAATTGTCATCAAAATTATAAACTAATAATCAATCCTTGTAGGGGAAAAAAACAACTTTCCAGATTCACTAAAAAGAATGTGCTTCTGTGGGGCTAGCGCCCCTTGAGCAAAGATGTTAACTCTTTCAGTGCCCGCGAAATTTGAAAAGTTTAACCCTAAAGCGCCCAACTTCGAGCGTTTTTGTTAATTGTTCAAAATTCTGTAAAAAAAAAAAGTAAATAGGTTTTACTCACTAAATTTGTTGTTGTTACTCTCTGGTATATCCTTGATATATTGGTAAGTCAAAAGTAGTCACAAACATAGTGATACACCCTGAAACACTGGCCTGAACACAGGGAGATTCCGCACTTTTTGCAGAAAATACGAGATTTAGTACTGCGCCCTCTCGCAAGAACTCGAATGAAAAAATAAATACAGGTCGTACATGCATGAAAATGGTACCATTAGAAAGAGCAAGAGCGCCCCCTTTTGATAACATATTTACTCTACCTCGTACATGTACGAGGTTTGGCAATTTTAAGTACGAACATTTACGGACATTACCTCGTACATGTACGAGGTTGGCGCTATTGGACTAACAAATATACCTCGTACATGTACGAGTTTGGCACTGAAAGAGTTAACAAATTGGGGAACTGCCAACATAGGGCTGGATAGCTCAGTTGGTAGAGCACCGGAACGGTAATCAGGAGGTCACAGGTTCAAACCCCGCTCCAGTCCAATTTCCTTGTTCAACTTTTCAAAGTTTTTTTCGTTATAGGAAAGACTACACAGGAATGCTGAACAAATAACATTTTTTTCTTTGTTTCGAATAGTTAAATATCAATAAAAAAAACCTAACTAAATATACTCGCCACTAAATATACATGTATCATCTGTTGGGTGTAAGGGTGTTGCATTACTCAATAATGTTGCATTCGGATTCTGCTCATACAACACTGCGTCAACTTGCAATAAGAGTCGTAGTTCTCATCTGGGTTGTAAGTGCTAATCCGGTTCTTAAAGGGAATGTACAACATTTGCTTTTGCTGCAATTTTCAGAAATAAATGGATTTGGAGGATAAATATGTTATAGAAAATATTGTTAAACTGACTTAAGTCACGTTTTGGGCTTGTAGATGCTGGAAAAACCAAGAAAACCTATCATATTCTTGTAGTCTGGTTCCCTGACCCCACTTAAGATGAAACGGAGCAATTAATACACTTTGGGGAATTTTAAGGTCAGAGAATAAGTCTACCAAGCTTGAACCCCTTCACAGGTGTGTAATCAATTGCAAAGATAAGTCAGACTAACTAAATATAAAAAAGTAGGAACAGTTTTTGAAAAAAAGCCAGTTTTCTCCAACGCTGGTCGGCCGACAGGCGTTGGAAAAATACAGTTTTTCTTGAAAATGACAGCTCACCAGGAGCCACGGTTTTAAAGGATGCTTTAGACTCTCATTCCCTAACAATTCAGTAAGGTATTACATGATAATTTGATCATTCCGTTCTTTGATGTTTGCAAATGTTGTATTTTCCCTTTAAGTGTGACGTAATTTCTTCACAGAGTAGCTTTATAACTATTGGAACCATTGGAAGTAGTACAAAGCGGCATGGTTTTGCCAATGGGCGCTAGTAATCCATGGTGCCCGCACGTATGACGCAGTCACTTATGAACCGGATACTCACACAGTGTTGTACTCATAGAGCTATATTAAATTACTAGAGCGCTGACTCATGTACAAAGTGATGCCTGCTGGGCTCATCCATGTTCGTGCACAAACCTACGGACAACTCGAAATTTTGTACAGCTTTTGTACGGCTTTTTGCATATCTGCGTTTGTATTCTATACAGGTGAGTTACCGAGGCTGATACGCCCAAAACCGTAACACACGATCAGTAAATGAGCATTTCATTTTGCTCTACGCGAACAGTGCAACTCGTGCGCGTATATATCCACTGCAGATGTTACCGTGACGTGTTTCTTTTAACCGTCATAACGCTCTTAAGTTGTTATGTGAACATTCTACCTGCGCGTTGCATTTTTAGTACACTTTCAAAATTCAATCCATCAAATTTCTTTATGCTCTACAAACACGCATATGAATTCAAAATGTCTGCGCCCAGGACGGCTTTCAAAGCGTCTCCGCACGCAAGAATGAGGAGTTAGCGCTCTAGTACTTTAAAATAGCTCGATGGTTGCACTCTAGTTCAAGCATAAGTACCAATTAAAATACAGCCGAGAGTCCTAACCACGAATGTTGGCTTGTGTGCCGCGTACGTTCTATTACTGACAATTCCTTTTCTCACTGGGTTGGCAGTGGTTTAATAACGAATGTAGTGCTGAATAGTGTCATATTTCTAACCAGAATTCTGTGGTTTAGCAGAGCCTTGCCATTTGGCGAGTATCTCATTCAGTATTGAGCTCGGCAACATGTACGGACTTTAATCTCTATATGTGGTACTCGTACTCAAACTCGGGTCAATTTTTCACTCATTTTCATGAACATGAGCGGATTCAGAACACAACTTTTTTTTGGGGGGGGGGGGGCAAAAACACTTTTTGGTCCCACTTGGGGTCTGACCACTTTATCCATTCTTTTTGAGGAAAAGATGGTGGTGTACGCAGTGTCTGCCTTTATTGCGACGTCACAAAAAACCCAAAAAATTGATTCGTTTTTTTTTTGGGGGGGGGGGAGGGGGCCATGCCCCCCCCCCCACCCCTTCCTCGGATCCGCCCTTGCTCACGAAAAACATTCGATAATAGCATTGGGTAAACAAAATTAATTGCTGTACAGCGTTTAAATAGAAAAACCAAACTAAATTTACGGATTTTTTTAGGGCACTTTTACACTTACATTTTACTTGATCGACAGTCATGACAGCATAAATGGAGACTTGAAAAGAGGCTATTTAAATCACTAAAAACATGGTTATTCATTGTTTTAAATATCATTATTTTGGAGGCCTTACATTAGCAAACCCCGCTCTCGTATCGTTCTCCACTTGGAATATGGCGAGTCGTCTAAGAAGAAAGCCGGTGATCACTTCTCCTTTGTTCCTTTCAGTTCCCCTCCTTTCCGCATCTGTTTATGGGTAAAAATAAATTTTTTTTACAGATGTCGCGGTGCTGTTTCATCATATTCCATTTAAAGGTATAGTCCATCATTTGTAATTTGTGCACTTTGTTCGTTTGAAGCAACAAAAGTGCTCAAGATCTAAAGTAGGGCTGAGTCAATTCGAATAATTGAATATTCGAATATTCGACCTTCCAATCGATCGAATATTCGAATATTCGGTTATTTGGCCATTCCAAATTCCCTCAAAAGCAAAAAATGCCATACAGGTACATGTAGTCAACGTACGTGCGCACATCAGCATGCCATGCATGATTTCTTCACAGGTAAATCAGGTATTTGACAACAATCAGTTGTTCTTCAGTCGTCAGTAATTTAAAGATTAACAATAACCAGAGAAGCTAGAGTGAAGGATTCCTTGTTTGCATGGGGGACGTATTAAGCCGTGAACCCCAAACACGGCGGGTGGCGTCAGCTATTGTGACTCTCCGACCCTTAACTCGCAAACAGGAACCGAGCATAACTATTACTGGAAGCTTCTTGAAGTCTACAAAACGGTATACTTCCTAGTCACAGTATTGAGGATAAAAAATCACTTTTATAATAATAACTCGCACTTTTGTCACCAAGAATTGAGGAAATCATTTTATATCATTTTAAATAAACTTATTCTCAACAACCAAAAACTCCAAGAAAAAAACCTATGATATTTAATGTCTTTATTCAATGAAATATGGGTCTTTGAATTGTAAATGCATATTTAAGTTTATGCAAATAATGGGCGTGGGCGCGGCATACACACACCCCAGCTTGACACGTGCAAAGCAGTATTTCCTTGTTTGCCCACAGGGATGTATTATAAGCTGTGTACCCAAAACACGAAGGGTGACATTTCAGCCAAAAAAAAAAAAATCGCCAGCCGAGCTCCGGCAGGCGCATTGTTGGCGGGCTAATTAGGGCACAGGTGCGCTGACCCGGTTCTTTTGTCTGGCTAAGTGCGTGCTCTGGAGATAAGTTTCTAACAAATAGGCCACTAAAAGGTTTGGATATTCCAACTTGCAACATTTTGATACATTTTGTCTAGCTGTGGTTTTCTATGCTGGGAATCAGGGGTACGGTGCGGTGAGTTGACCGCAAAGTCTGTCTGGCAAAATAAATGAGAGCTCTTTTGAGTTTGAAATCCTCTCTGTTGTCTGCCCTTTTTCTTGCGTTTTGCTCGACTTGGAGGACATAAGCCAGAGGTTCCCGCTATTATTACAGAAAGTATAATTGCTGAACTAGTTTTTGAAGTGTTTATGTATGTTTTATTTGTGCAAATATTGGGTGCAATTAGCAGACTAACCCAGCGAACAAAGCTGACGGACAGCGAACGAAAATGTGTTCGATAAAAGGGTGCTCTGATCAGTTGAGAGAACTAGATTATTTTGTACATGTACATGTATATAATTACGGAGGCATTGAGGCGAACATCTAACAGCCATAATAAATTTACCCCTAAAAGTAAACAAGAAATTCTTTTAGAAAAATCACAGAGTCCGTAACGTAAATGAAACAAGGTTTTCAAAACGTTTTAATGTAATGTTCATGACAAGTTTCTACAACACCGCCACGTGCTGTGGGCAGCATACTGCGTGCAAGGCGATTCCCTATAACCACGTGCATTCGACACGATTGAACAGGCGATGGAAAACTTTGGGGGGAATTGGCTTCGCTGTATCAGTGTATAATGTACCGCTTCTTGTGCGACCAGTACGTCCTCAAAATAAGTACATGAAAACGGAAAATACAAAGGCCCACACAGAAAAAAGAAATCAAGTTCTTTGCATGAGATTGCAGAGGTCTTCTACATCGATGTTGGCATGCCATTTTCGCGATGTCAATAGCCGATCCAGTAAGCCCCTCCCACTGCGCACGTGGGGAAATTAACACGTGCTCCTCTCCAATTAATGCCACGCTGCATTTTCCTATGCTGCACACATGTACATGTAACACCAACGCGCGGGGAAACTTGCCAGGATCGCATCGGGGAAAACAGCGGCGGTTTTCTTTTGAAAGTAGGGATTGTAAGTAGGACAACAACAAACAAAAATACGGACAACGGAAACGTTACTACTCATGCTAGAAGTTTGATATGAAAAGGTGTCAGGAAGTGTTTTGTAAAGACATGAAAGACAAAATGTCTTGTTTATCTTGTCGGAAGCATCAGCGATTGATGTTGCAGTCCGGCGTTAAAAAAATGGGTTGGCTTTACTGCAAGTGCAAGCACTCCCAAAGCAGAAGTAATAATTATATGTATGGCATTATTGCTTGGCATATATACAAGCTACTTTTATGGGTTTTTTTGCAGCAACTTGAAACTTAACTTTGAGAATTCACTTTTGTTGTTAAAAAAAAAGTTTTTTCCACTTTTTTATGTCATTGCATATCACCACCGAATATTCTTATTCGAAAATAAATATTCGAATATTCGATTATCGATCGAATAACCGAATATTCGAATATTCGGCACAGCCCTAATCTAAAGAAGGGTGCTGAACAACTAACCTGATGAAGCTTTAGCTGTATATTTCGACAAAAAAAACCCCAACATTCTAGGATCTCGATTTCAAATCAAAAGTTGCTGAATCATGTTTTGAATTGGGCCTGAATTCAGCGTCCGAAACACGTTCTCACTGAGCCGATTGCAGCTACATGTACGCGATGTGGCGCACTAATCCGACGAATTATAGCAACCGCGCGCGCATGTGCGTGTTGCCAATGCTTGCGCGCGCTTCGCCGAATAACCAAACGAACTACTAATTTGAATTTCCTATGGTGCTTCTTAAGAAGCACTGTTGGAAAGGCCTTCTTTTGGTGATTTCTTCAAAATGACAGCTTGCCAGAAAGAATAATTTCACAGGGAGTTAAGTCCCCTTACTATCTTTCAACCAAGTATGTTTTCCAACAATGATTACGCCAGTTACTTTTTGGATAGCTACAAATGATGGACTCTGGCTTTAAATTTAATTTCTATAATCAGATTTTGTGGGGAAAAGATGGTCAGAAAAATCGGAATTTTAAAACTTTTGAAAAAGTCGGATTAAAATCAGAAAACTTTGCATCTCTGCATGCCCTGGAAAACATGCAGAAAAGCAGACAAAATCTCAAACTGAGGGTGTGTGTGTGTGTCATTACCTCGTTGAGATCTTTCTGTGTTTGGTCTTCGATGGCCCGTATATCTTCCATGGTCAGACCCGCCCACTTGTCCATCCAGCAGTACACCTGGCGATGGAAGTTTGTGAAGACCTTTCTCTCCGCCTAGAGTAACAAGTGAACGAAGACAAACACTGGAATGTAAGGCATTAAATGTGGGACCTATTGGCACTTATGCAAGCGCCTCAATCAGCAAAACCTTGACTAATTGGGAGACTAAAGGCATAGGAATGGATGGCTCAGTTGAGTGCCATTGCAGTCTTCCAGTGGTCTGTGGATTGAATGCACACAGTAAATACTAACTAAGGTACGAGGCAACTAGCAAAACACTTGACAAAGTTAGACGCCTGCTCGCTTGTAAGACCTAGCGGGTCAAAACTTGTAAGGAACACAGTGGCCTCGTGGTCTGGAGCATTGAACTCGTAGTCTGCGGGTAATTCTGCAGGTTGTGGGTTCGAGTTCAGCCTGCGGTTACAGTGCATGTGCCCTTGGGCAAGGCACCTTGTCATTCATTGCTTCTCTCCACCCAAGAGTAGATGGGTACCTACGAGGGCAGAGATGGTTATTGTGATTGATTTTAGCTGCTTTGCGCCGAAATGGCAGCATCGAGCTGTATACTCTCCAGGGAGCTGAGTTTCTCTTTGAAATGTTTCATATGCCCGATGATCAGGAAAAATAATAATATAAATAGCTTTGATCTTAGTTAAAAGTGCTATTATAAGTATGTATTATTATTAAGGCCAAAACTATCTCATGGCCAGTGCTTACCAACTGCAACTGGATAAAATTCAAATCAAACTAAGTTTTTTTCCCTTCACCAACGTATAAACACTGTATACTCAGTGTGTTACATGTACCTCCCGAGTGAAAGTTGGAAAAAATCACTCGGGTGGGACGGGAACTCGAACCCACGACCTCCTGCTTTTTAGTGCAGATGTCTTACCACTCGACCATCGAGCTAACGGGATCGGTTGGCTGGTTCATATCTGATGTACATAGCAGCGGGTACCGCATAAACTATTATAAGATGGAATTTTGCGTCGGGGTGATATAAATCAAATTAGGTTTTTGCCCTTCACCAACGTATAAACACTGTATACTCAGTGTGTTACCTCCCGATCGTGGACAACCATTGGCCCTAAATAAGAGAGCTCACACACTGCTTTTTTCAGTTCTTACCGTTTGGACCCAGCTTTCCACCATCCCCTGCAGACCAAACCATATAAACTCGATGGTCACCAGCTTGTACGCACACATATGAGGTTCACAGGTTTTCTGCGAGAAGAAGCATTTTCAAAAATAACAGCGTTGCTGTTGAAACCCCTCAGCCAGAGTCAAGTTATCATCCGGAAACCATTAACCTTTAACTCACGTGGTGACCTTGACCTTTGGCCTTTGACCCCAGAACCAGTCCCAACATGCCTGTACCAATGGGAAACCCCCTACCGAAGTTAGACACCAACATTTCATTTCTAACTCAAGTTATCATTCGGAACCATTTACATTGAACTCACCACGGTGACCTTGACCTTTGACCTTTTGACCCCAAAACCAATCCCAACTTGCCTGTACCCAAGGGCAAACCCCTACCTCAGTCAGACACCAAAATCTCATTTCTAACTCAAGTTATCATCCGGAAACCATTTACCTTTAACTCACCATGCTGACCTTGACCTTTGACCTTTTGACCCCCAAACCAATCCCAACTTGCCTTCTCCCAAGGGGAACCCTCTTCCAAAGTTAGACACCAAAATTGCATTTCTAACTCAAGTTATCATCCGGAAACCATTTACCTTTAACTCACAATGGTGACCTTGACCTTTGACCTTTTGACCCAAAACCCAATCCCAACTTGCCTACTCCCAAGGGCAACCCTCTACCAAAGTTAGACACCAAAATCTCATTTCTAACTCAAGTTATCATCCGGAAACCATTTACATTTAACTCACCACGGTGACCTTGACCTTTGCCCTTTTGACCCCAAACCCAATCCCAACTTGCCTACTCCCAAGGGCAACCCCCTACCAAAGTTAGACACCAAAATCTCACTTCTAACTCAAGTTATCATCCGGAAACCATTTACATTTAACTCACCACGGTGACCTTGACCTTTGACCTTTTGACCTCAAAACCAATCCCAACTTGCCTACTCCCAAGGGCAACCCCCTACCAAAGTTAGACACCAAAATCTCATTTCTAACTCAAGTTATCATCCGGAAACCATTTACATTTAACTCACCACGGTGACCTTGACCTTTGACCTTTTGACCTCAAAACCAATCCCAACTTGCCTACTCCCAAGGGCAACCCCCTACCAAAGTTAGACACCAAAATCTCATTTCTAACTCAAGTTATCATCCGGAAACCATTTACATTTAACTCACCACGGTGACCTTGACCTTTGACTTTTTGACCCCAAAACCAATCCCAACTTGCCTACTCCCAAGGGCAACCCCCTACCAAAGTTAGACACCAAAATCTCATTTCTAACTCAAGTTATCATCCGGAAACCATTTACATTTAACTCACCACGGTGACCTTGACCTTTGACCTTTTGACCCCAAAACCAATCCCAACTTGCCTACTCCCAAGGGCAACCCCCTACCAAAGTTAGACACCAAAATCTCATTTCTAACTCAAGTTATCATCCGGAAACCATTTACATTTAACTCACCACGGTGACCTTGACCTTTGACCTTTTGACCTCAAAACCAATCCCAACTTGCCTACTCCCAAGGGCAACCCCCTACCGAAGTTACAACCCCAAACAACATTTCTAACTCAAGTTATCATCCGGAAACTAAGCTGCCCGGACGGACGGACGGACGGACGGACGGACAGACATACATACATCCGGACGGACGGACGCCCTAGGCGATGACAATACCCCTCGAGCCTCTCGGCTGAGGGGTAAAAACAGGAATCAGAAACAAAAATGTCTTGAGCAAAATTAGCAGACAGGTATAATCGTGTGATGGTGTAGACTAAGAGGTGCCTGACCGTGTACATACAGGGTGAGTAAAAAACCGAACCCCAGATGTCGGGACCATTGTTTTAGTGAAGTTCTGCATGTAGCACTTTCAAATTCTAGGATATAAAAGCCCAATTCATAAGCTTTCTTTTAGTACCAGAATCATTCGAATCACTCATGTACTTTTCAAGTTATGGAATTTTAAACACAACCACCGTTTTAAAGTTCTGTCCACGGATCGCAAAAAGGTAAGTGTTCTTTCAGCAAAACAAAAACAAACTACATAGGGATGAGTGTGAACCGTTTATGTTTTGCTGAAAGAACGCACATCTTTTTTTTTTGTGATCCGTGGACAGAACTTTAAAACAGTGGTTGTGTTTAAAATTCTGTAACTTAAAAAGTACATGAGTGATTTGAATGATTCTTGTACTAAAACAAAGCTTATAAATTTAGGCTTCCATATCCTAGATTATGAAAGTGCTACATGCAAGAACTTCAATCTTAAAAAAAAAATACAAATCCGACATATGGGTTTCATTTTTAAACTCACCCTGTACTCACTGAAGCTACAACACTGTTGAATTTATCATTGATGAACACACAAGACATTATACTATAGATTAACATGTACTTACTCGCCAGTTAGGGTCTGTAAGAGGCCCTCGATTCAGTTTGGCAGAAGCAACTTTCTTTGGATCAAATTCTGGTTTGTAGTCCTGTGGATTGGTTACAGGAGAAAACAAAATTAGCAAGATTAGTTACAAATAACATTTCCTCTGGTGAAGAATGCATTGCCTATACAGTGCTTTACATACAAAACACTTCACAGGTAGAGGCACTTGTAGTAAAGTGTCTTGCCTAAGAACAACAAGCACTGTGATCCAATGCTTAGATGCTCCCAATAGGCATGAAAGTTGTGAGGTTGTTTTGAAAAGTACTGGAAATATCACTGAAAGGGAATGGATTCGGTTGAACTTAAGATGTAATTTGCACAGGACATGGAAACTTCCCCATAATGTCGAAAACCACCCCAGAAATGTCAAACTTGGAATAGATTTAGATCTTGCAGTTGTTTTGCTACACTGTAATATTAACCCTAACTCCCTTGGCATTTTTGCTAGGATGTAACCTCAATCCTGCAAAATCCTCCCACTGCCTCCATGTAAAAAATGCATACAGCCATCAATCCTGCAAAATCCTCCTTTATTTCTTGAATGAGGTCCTTGGAGGGGTGACCACCGCCTCAATCCTGCAAAATCCACTGCGAAATCCGGCAATCACTGTCAATATGTTGAAGCAGAGCCAGTGACATCCTGGAGCAGTGCGGAGGATTTCAAGCATAATCCAGGCCTAAATTTATGCACGGCTGAGCATAAACACCACAAGGTCCGGCCCAAGACCTTGACACAGTGCATCCTCTGAAATCAGCCACGCATTTTTGCCATAGTCTTAATCCTGCAAAGTCCTCCATTTTGCAAAAAGGATTTTGGAGGGTTTGGGAAGGTTAGGTTTATAAGCTTCAGATGGTAACAACTTAACACAAAGGGCAGTTGGCCCAAATACACAACTGTCCGGCATCTGCCAATGTGTCTGCATATACTTACGCTATCTTTGATCTTGTCGTGTGCTATATCAATATTTATAACGTCTCGCTTCGCTAACTTTTCAGGGGGCAAATTGTGAACCTAGGGAAAAAAAAAAAATTGTTCAATTAATATCAAACATAAAGCTCATGAGAAACAGTCTGGTCAAAAAATTGTGGGATTTTTCAACCTCTTTTTTTTTTAAAGCAATGCTAAAATAAGGTGAAGGTTTTTAACATCCATTCATAAATACTAAGACAGTTTACCCATTTCTATTGGTCAAGAGCATGTCATGTGGGTGGTTTTAAACGGCAGATAAAATCAACGGCCGGTTTTAAACACTGCTGCGTTCTGCGCCACATCATGCAGCCTGAGCCTCTATCTCCATAAAAGGAGGTATTTAGCACTATGCACACAAGGCAAATACCATGAAAGCTTATGAATTGGGCTTTCACATCTTAGATCTGGAAAGTGCTACATGCAGAAATCCTTTACAAAATTTCTTCTTTACACAATGGGGGCGCTATTTGGGATTCTTTTTTTCTCTTTTTTTTTAAACTCTGTATACTTACATTGTGTAGCTCTCCTCTGTCTGGCTTGTGCCATGTTTCAATTGTCAGGGACATCTTTTCTTTTCCCATGTAATCAGGATTCTGTTGGGCAAAAAAAGAAAGAGGCGAAAGTGTTATTTTCGCACAAAGGCTATAACAAGTCATTTCGGGGTGGAATTTACCATTTTGTAGGATTCGAAGTTTTCAGAATATGCAACTATAAATTGACAAAAATCTCCAAAAATATGAATATAATCCATCAAGCGAAAGCATGTTTTTTTTTAAAGAGGTAACATTTCTACAAAAAGAATTTCAATTTGTGTGAATTGTAAAACAAAGTCTCTTAACCCCTTAGGGACGGGGTGTAATGGGGACATTTCTCCACACATAGAGCAAGTGGCCCGCATGACTGCACAGCCTTTGTGTGGTAGCGGGACTGCACAAAAGCAGCAGCTGTGGAACTACCCACTAGCCGTGTGCCACGGCATACCACAGCTGGCAACTGCATTCCAATGAGGATTAGCGGCCGCGGCCATGACCGCTTCCCGTACGCATGGGGTTAACCAGTTAATGTTGTAGGACGTGTAAACACGATCTGACAATGTATTTTTGTAGGGGTTGGTGACCGGTAAAATTGTCAAGCTTTCCGCGAGTCTCCAGCGGTGGACGTGTATACATGTCAGTGGCTCCCATTGGTTTTGTAAGCACCGTGTGTTGAACTTGAACTTGGCCAATGTACACAGCCTGTCGTCGTGGCAAATATCGCTCCGTGGCAGGGCCGTGAAGTGTTGCAAAATATGAAGTTACCGTGATAAAGTATCGTATAAACATCGACAAATGACTCTCACGAAGTTGGTATGTGCAGTGCTTGACTTTGGCCGATATATTTTGTCTTTTTCTAAACTGGTGTTTTTCGGCCAAAAATAATCCCGCCATGGTTCAAAGATACAATGAAATGTGCCTTTTTCTAAACTCCCTGATTGAAATTTTCAAAATTACATTTCAATGTGTGCAGTCATGTATAGCGTGCCTGTTAGCATGGTTAGGATGGGTGATAAGATCGTTTGGATGACAGGATCGTTTGAAAGCCGAGAAGCTCAGGACTGTGGACAATTCATCAACGTTGCCCAGGTTTTTGTGGGAGCTGGGGTACGTTCCACTGAAGCAAATGTCACCAAAGTTTGCCATCTTTTTGTGCATTGCCAGTGAGAAATTGGCCTCATTTGGTATGGTCAAGCTACTTACGGTAATGACTGTTTTGCAGTATGGATATGCATTCCAAGCCTCTTCTACCATCTCCAGAGCCCCCGCTGGTGCCAATGTTCTGATAAACACCGGAACTTTGCTGTTACAAAAAGAAAAAGGTAACCTTGTCAAACGTAACCCAGTGTCTCAGGTGTAAAACTCTGTGGGACCTTGCTGCATCCAGCCAATGAGCACAAGCGCGCATAAACGGCCAATTCTGAAACAAATAGCATGCAAATTTTATGCTACCCCACGTGCCAGCCAAGCGGAGTCGATTTCAGAAACTTTGATGTCGTTTCGATCGGAAACCATAGACTAAGCTGTTGATTGGTCAATTTGGCTGACATGTTTTTGTAAATTTAATAACTGGCTACGGTAGATCCGGAACAGGGGCCCGCTGAATGGTCAGAATTTCGAGGTCAAGACGCAGTCTCGTTTTGCATTATAAATCACTGAATCTGTTCGCACGTACAACACCCAGATGCTACAGTTAGACTCACTACTTTAGATGGTAGATTTTGTTTGTGTATTGGCCCTTCTCTCCCGACTCCGTCTCATAGGGATGGTTCTCCCTGACTTCAATGCCTTCCCCGCCCCCCGTTTCATTCTTGCTTGCTTCGGCAACAGCCCACAGCTGAGCAACCTGGTACTGCAAAACACAAATTTGTACAAAAGAGTTAATGGGGGGGGGGGGGACACTTTAGATTGTCTTTACACCCTTTGGCATCTTTTGGCGTTGACTTTGTCAAACCTGTATCAATTTGTGTCTAATTTTATAAAACACTTATAAGATTGTCACAGGATACACGTTTTACATGTGTGCACATTGTTGTTTGAGAGACACTCTCAAAAAAAAAAAAAATCTTCTATTTTCTTTTTCTTTCAGTAGCCCAGCTAGATAGTGAAAAAAAAAAGAGTTAAGGTCAAACCCTGCATACGCTGTAAATGGCTATTTTGGTGTTCCAGGCAACACACAAAGTCTTTGCACTGCCTTTTTTTGTTGAAGTTTAATTACAATACCCTAATCACACATCATGTCATATTATTTAAAAGTGTTGCCATAAGAAGATACATGTTTCCTAAACAGGAAACATGGCAGGCATGTTTCCAAAAATAGAAACAATCAGATGACTCCAATTATGGAAACATCAATAATGTTCCCAAATCAGGAAACATTTAAAGTGTTTCCAGAACTGGAGATGCCTTAACTGTTGCCTGAACAGGAAACAATTAGATATCTCCAAAATTGGAGACACTTTACAATGTTTCCCAAACAGGGAACATCCGTGATGTAAAAAAAAGAGTGCTTCCTGTTCAGGAAACATTAATTTAATTTCATCTGACTGTTTTGACCTGCCATTTTTAATGATCTATATCTTTATATAACGATATATAACGATAAATCAACAATATGGTATTTTTGTCTAATGAATGACTGAATAATTTCACAAAGTGCCTAAGCGGTGACGTGTTGCAGACTAAAAATATGAGAATTTGAAATGTTCTTTTTTGAAAAAAATATATGTAAAATTAATAATTAAAAAAAAATAGTTTTTTCATTTTGTTCAATAAGTGATATCGAAAATATTGTATCTTCAAAAATATTTTTTTCAATGTGCTTAAAAAGTTATGAGCAAAATATGATATTTGTGATTTGCATCCTTTTTTTTGGAAATGTGTTGCCTGATCTGGAGACAAATTAAATGTTCCCTGATTAGGCAATGTACCAGACTGTTAAAGGTAATATTCAACATTTGCAAAAATCAAAAAACAATTTAGATTCAGCACTTGAACCAAAAAAACACATGCTTTCTTTTCCATTACTCTTGGAGAAAAACAAAAATTGGATCCATATTTTCTAGGTATCGCAATAATGAATTTACACATTGACGAAACGCGTCACAGTGACTATTAGATCACTCAATGATCAATGAGGCCAAAATAAAAAAGACAATGTTTCCGTTAACCTGACCGGGCCTGAAAAAAAAACGTGGTCTAAGTATCACCCATTATCCACGGAGCCACGTCTCCTGTCTAGCATGTGTGATGTCATTTTCATTCCGAAATCAGGACTAAGATTGTGATTGGTCAATTGCGATGCCGCGTTTTTGTAATGACAACCTGTACAAACATGCTACTGATCGTGGGGTGATGTTTACGCACGCAGGGAGCTCAAATTACGCGCGTATACATTGTAGAAGGCGATGCTGATTGGTCAGTTTCTCGAGGTCTAGCTGCATAATTAATTGCCGAATCATTGCCGAAAAAACAAGAAAAACAAAAATGTTCAAGTAGTCTGGTTCCCCGACTCCACTAAAGATGAAAAGGATAAAAAATGCCGGAAAGTTATAAAGTAAGGGAACCAGTCTAGCTGGCCTGCACCCGTTCATGAACATGGAACCAATAGCAAACAAAATTTGGACTGGAAAAAATGGTAAATTTGGAGCACAGAGCAGTAGTTGAAAAATAGTTAGGTTTTTCCAACGGTGGTCGGCCGACCACCGTTGGAAATGTATACAAAAATACCACTTTTCTTGAAAATGACTTCACACCAGGTGCCATAATTTTACAGGATGCTTTAGACTGTCATTTACCAACATCCTAGTGAGGTATTTCATAACAACTTGGTAGTTTTATTTTTCGATGTTTGCAAATGTTGTATTTTCCCTTTAAAAAAATGTGGTATACTACGGTGTGCATTATACTTTATATTTGTTTTTTGTTTTAGAATTGAATTTTTTTTTTTTATTCAATTATGTGTATTTTTTAAGAGATGAAAAAATACCCCAACTTGAAGTCTTACATGTAAATACTTGTATGCCAAAAAATTTACCTTGATTGTACTGACAAGTACATGAAAGTCTACTTGCCCACTTATCCTCCAATATGCACACATGTATTCTTTACCAAATAATAAATTAAACATAAGAAAGGAAGAAATAAAAATACCTACCTACCGACCCTTTTTGGGGTAATGTTACCGGAAACACAACATTATTTTTGGGGGGCCTAATGACCAGCGTACATAATTACAGGTGTGCTGTCTGTCGCTGTCAGTTCAATTTAAGTGCCAGAATTAAATGCCGACCTTGTGCCCGAATAATTAATGAGTTCATTCATGTCTATTAAACGCAGTCATTTCTATTCCCAATCTCAAAATATTTCCTGTATACACGTACTGGAAGGCCTACCCACAGGACTACATACATTTTGTATGCAATACATTTGTACAAGTACATGTATTGCTATGACACAATAGACACATTTGCATACATAGAGCATTCAACGAGACTTACTGCATTCGGACCGTATTGAATCAATATTCTTTAAAGGGCATACACTTCCTTCTACATGTATTTGGGCAACAAAGGGTTCAATCTCACAATTTCAAGATATTGTACCTACCGGTATCAAATTTATTATTAAAAAAATTAAAAACATGACAAAAGAAAACAATTTTCTTTACACTATTCTTACAACTGATATTACTTATTTACATTTAAGGTGTCTGCAAAAAAAAACCAACAACACATATTTGAATTTTCGGAAAGCCAATGATGACAAGCCAAAAAAAAAATTCTTTCTGAATTTCTTGGGGATTTTCATTTTAAATTTATGGCATTAATTAAGTAGGAACTTTCATACCATTAAAATTTCAACAAGTTGTTGAAAATGATAACTTTAAGAACAGTGCCCCTTTAAATATTAAAAGGAGGAAACGCATGTATGGATATCATTATATGTCAGTGTGTAGACAGATGGTCAGGGGCACTGAACAAATCAAGCTAATTGTCAATCGCTGTCTGAATAATAAAACACAATCGTTAGCCATGGGTGTCAACAAAATAGGGCACCACAGTTAAAAATGCAAATTAAGCACAAACTATCGACTATCGTTAGTACAAACTCAACCAGACCTGGCCACAATGGTTGTTATGTAGGCCTATACATGTACCGATATATGAGAATTTTGTATTAAGATGAGTGTCTGTCCCATTGTTGTGCACTTGAATGCACCTTCGGGACCAAGGCCTTACATGTACATGTACATGTATGTTCACTGTAACCAGAATTTTTATTAATAGAGTTTGTATTAACGAGAGTTGACTGTATGTAAGTGTACACAAGAAAGTGAATGTTTAATGTGTAAAGTGTATACATGTGCATGTACATGTAACGCACACGTACATAAAAATATTGTAAACTATTTTTTAAGTTATCCCGTGAGCGCGAGTGCAACATGGAAAAATGTAGTGCGTCTGTGTCCTTCAGCCTCGTGGTATGTGGGACACAGACGCACTACATTTTCCGTGTTCCACGAACGCGAGCGTGCTAACGAATTTATCTTCAAGCAAGCTTGACGCACAGTTAAGATGGAACACACACGTTGTACAAAAAAAACCGCAGCGGTTATCCTATTGCACGTGCGCATGCTGCGTGTTGTACAGAATGGCGCTCGCAATTCAAAACCCGGGTCAAGACATATCTGTTCAATTTGTATAATTGTTGATTTCATGAGAGCGCATAGGGACCTCACGGTGATATGCGCTATATACGAATGTTTTTTATTATTATTATTTATCTTAGAAATGCGCAATACGCGGAGTGCGGTATGGACCAAGGCCGCGCTACATAGTTATATGTAGCACGGCTTGTTGCCATGGATCGACCAATCAGGATCGAGGATTCAGGTTTACTTGAAGATAATAAATTGTATATTTCAAAATTTTTCCAATCATCACAAAACTGTTGTCAAAATTTAGTTAGTTTGGGAGAGCGAGGGTCGTTGACAAGCTTAAGAAACGAAGTAAAAGACAAAACGGGCTCCGTGACCAAGTACCCCCTCAGCGGTGCGAAATGGAGAGTTCGGGGAGACCAGAGAGTGACGCACTGCTTACAACGCCCGATGCTCACGCGAAGACACTATCGTTTTTTTATGCATTGAGAATAGAATTGGTCGTGCGTACTTCGCGCCATACTCTCGCGAACCAGTACACACAGGCGGTGTGTCCCCCGCTGGCACTCCTAAATCAAATTAAATCGTAATTAAATCAGTGCAGTTTTCCGGCTAATTTCAAATTATCCTAGGTGGTTTTACAAGGACAAACAGTACTGCATTAAGTGCTTTATACATGCATACATTTGTACACATGCATGTACATGTATTCACACAAAATGTATACAGTACATCAGCAGAGTGAAGCAAAATACAGGGCGAGTCCAAAAAAGCGGAACCCAAACCCCAAAAATTATTTTTCATATTAAAAAAAATATGAAGCACCAAACATAATTATGACTGGAAAGCCAATTTCATTAGCTACTTTTACGTGAAAAAAACTACTGAAATTGCTCAATCCGTTCAAAGAATATCACCATTTAAACGCAATCATGGCAATGACCCTAAAACCTCTTTCATCCAAAAATGCGATTTCAAGAATCGTCGTCACAATTGTCTTCAAACATCACCAGCGATAAAACCTCAGTTTAAAAGTTAAAAATATTCAACAAAGTTCTTTTGAAGGCCCATCTTTTAAAAAGTGAATTTTATAAATCATAGGGCCTATTGTTTGCCTTACCAGGGTTGCTAATAAAGATATTGTGCATTCAGTCGTTGGCAGTTGTTGAAACAAGTATTCTGTGTCATTTTCTTTGTTGTTCCAAACAATCAGAATACACAATAAACTGTTTTTTGTTTTTTTTGGATGAAACAGGTTTTAGGGCCATTGTGTTTAAATGGTGATATCCTTTTAACGGATTGAGCAATTGCAGTAATTTTTCCATCTAAAAGTAGCTTATGAAATTGGCTTTCCAGTCATTATTATGTTTGGTGCTACATATATTTTTTAAATTATATCAAATATAATTTTTGGGGTTTGGGTTCCGCTTTTTTTTTACTCACACTGTACAAAATATACATTCAACATACACTGTACATGTACATGTACATTACATTGTACTGTATGTAAATCCTTGATTAAATGCTCCATATCATTAACACAGCTAAAGGCAGCCGGTAGCAACAAGATTAAGTTGAGTAATAATTATATGGAGTAGGCTAGTAATATATCAGGCAATCACGGTCAGGCATGTCAGGGAAGGGCTGATCAAAGTCCATGGCTGCAGACAAAAATATATGCGACCAGCTCGGACTGAAAGGGGACCCGAGTCGAATATGTACTATGAATGCACCATGTAAGGGGCCATTTAATTCAGAGAGGATGAAATCTTTAATAAGAAATTGTTAAAAAAACGTAGATTTTTTATCCTGTGATAAGATTATTTCCAGATTCAAATACACACTTATGATGAAAATATAACTGGGGAATACCGTGGGATAAACATTTTAAAATGACAGTTTTTACATACTTCAGTTGCTTACAACATGTACAATGGCCATTTTAATTAACTTACAATGTACAGTAGGTGTTCATTTTCTCATCATGAATGTCTTCGGATAACATACATTTTTACAAAGTTGAACAAAGAAATTGACTGGAGCGGGGCTTGAACCTGTGACCTCTGGATTGCCGTTCCGGTGCTCTACCAACTGAGCTATCCAGCCCTACATGTATGTCGGCGGTTCCCCAAATTGTCAATATCTTTGCTCAAGGGACGCCCCTTGAACACGGATATTGATAAACTGGGGAACCACCAACCTAGGGCCGAACATCGTCCTTGGCTCCCGATTTTTGTGTACAAAAAGTACCGAACATTGTTGTTGAAAATTGTCAACATACATGTACATGTAAGAGTGACAAGTGGCTATAAAAATTATTTTCCCAAGGAATAGAAGGGAAAAGCCACCCATTGCTGTAGCTAGTAAGCTCAGAAACTGTGTAATTACATGATTCAATAATAGTTGGCATGTGTTCAAAGTCGTCTTTCGGTATAAACTACCAGGCGTGCAGGGTAAAGTTCTGAAGGGCGCTATTTAACGAAAAGTGAGTACCGGACCACCGGCAGCTTAAAATCGCTATACCAAACGAGCGCTATTACGAACTATTTCTGTGGATCCTGCGATGCTCCTTATAGGAGCGTTTCACTGTAGTTGGGGCATAACAAGAGTACCAAGAATTACACTGTTGACAGCATGCATAGACTGGCACATGAAAACTAAAAGTCCAACACTTCTCTTGTAATGCTTGAGGCAAGTATACATCAAAAGCGATATCTGGTTCCTGGTCTCCATCTATGTACATTTTGTACACAGGCATGCAACCCAACCAGTACACAGTCCATTTTAAGAAACAGTTAAATCATTTGGCTTCACTGTCCGGTGCTAAATGTTGAAAAAAAAACTCCACCTTAAATTTGAATTTCAGGAGAGTTCAAACTAGCTGGGGAATACTTAATACCTCACCTTTGCCTTATGAAAACTAGCCTTCACCTTACCAACTCCATCAAAATCCATCCCACGATTTTGGCGGACATGGTCCTGCAGACTCCTGCTGGTTTGACTAAATTTTGATGGAGTGTGACAGACTTGGGCCAGGAGGCCTGAAGCACTGCCAGTGCTGGTGGAATCTGAAGGATTTGGTCAAGCAGCGTTGGAAGTATTGCTGTTGTCATTTAAGCCATGTGTACCAAATCCATCAAAATCCAACAAAATCCACCAAAATCCACCAGCACCACTGGTGGATTTCAACGGATTTTGTCCTGAAGCATTATGTGAAGCAGAGTGAGTGATGGATTTTGGCAGACATGGGCTTCTACTTCGTAAAAGTAAGTAGGGAGTTAATAGCTAAGGACATTTTTTTGGGATTCAGAATTACTAAAGTTGGCCTGTTTATTTTTCAACTTCCTAAACCCTGCAAAGTCCTCCAAAATGAATCTCTTAGTGGAATTTGAAGGAACAGGAAGGGGCAGGGTTACGGTTTGTTTTCATTTCAAGCACAAAACAATGATGAACAAAATTGAATTTGAACGAAAGAAAAAATGTCACCTACCTCTTCCACAGTCAATGGTAGAACAATCCGGCTGCATTAAAAAAATAGAAAATGATATCGTGTACATTAGAATCAGAAGTTTTAAGGTATCACATTATGATCTTTGCCAGTGATCTGGTAAATGTGAATTGCCAAATATGTTATGCAGAGGCTTTTCTAAATACATGCTGAAGAACATTTGAATAGCAATTGGCACGCGGTATAGATCTCTCTTGTAGGACGCCATCTTTGTAGGAAAATTACAACTGCGTGTTCGACACCATCACACTGTGAACATCTAATAAAAGAAAAATGGTGCACTAACAATGAACATCCATTGTTAGTGCAAAGTTTCATTTGTTAGATGTTTACTTCACAGACAGGTGTGAGTGCAAGCAGTGTGCAAACTGTTCTAAACACGCGCACGCATACGTGTTGCTCGAAATTTCTTCAAAATATGGCGCAGCTGATGTGCGTCACGAACATTTGACGCCCAAAATGCTGATGTACGTACATGTAACAATCTATAGGAAGTGAGACCTATTCTGCTCGGAAAAAAAATTGTGCTCCTTGGGTGTGTTCAAAGCCCATACTGTCGTACGGCGCGGCGCGGATCGGAGCACGTATTATTACACGAAACAGTCGTTGATAAAGCGCGACTTGTTTTTCTTCGCGATCGAGCCACGACGGTGACGTCACGTCAGACGCCCTCATTTGACAAGTCGATTCAAGAACTGAGCCTCCCTGCAAACACATTGAGCTGTAAGTTTTCAGACTATTTTGCTGTTTTTGTTTCAAATTTTTTCGCTGTTTGGGAACAATATAAGGGGTCTCATGGAATGTCAAGAATGTATAGATCAATCCAGGATAACTGTCTCTCTCATTTGTATTCTCTTTACCGGTTTTTTGGGGGTCTTTTTGTCCTCGCGTGGGTTTGTGACTATGCTACTGTGACGGTGTCACCAAAGTATGGCAAATCGGTGGAGCGTTGGTATGGAGGGGTACCCGTAATTCAACGCTCCACTCAGTAGAGCTAGGTTTGCCATAAAATCAAAATCAGGCATGTCACAAACATGACAAATTTGTTTACATTACTTTAATCATGTTAGGCCTAATTAACATGATTACAGATTAGCATGATTAGAAATAAGAGAATTTCTCTTATCTCAATATATCTGTTTCTGCCTTTGTTTACGTCTTTGCAAATACCATGACTCATAAGGGATCACGCAGCGCAGTGTGGAGGCGCAGGCAACGCAATCGTGTTGCGGTGATCTTCCCATAAATTTCATGCACTTTCTTATGACAACGTGCGTGGAATTGTTTTTACATCGATTTTGCCTCAGAATTATCCCCAGATCGTTAAATTCTTTTAATGTAATACACACATGATGGTTTACAAACGATCTATATACTCACAATTCTCTTCTTATAACCATGTTTGTGGTGATCGGAATTTTTAACAGCGTGTTTCAGGAATTTCTCGGACTTTTATGGGGTGTATTCTGCGGGATGTACCGGGTATGACGTCATTGTAACCTTAAGTCACGCAGTCAGGTTCCCAGAACCGTTTACCTTGTCAATTAACCTTGGGAGACAGGTATTATGACCAAAGTTTCCGGAAACTTAAATGGTCTCCTTTGATTTTGTGAATTTCCATATAGGATTGCGCCGGCTACCAGCTTACTCGGTACGGCTTGCTAGTTTCAAAAACTTGTTTGTTGGTATCAAATGCCAACACTTTATTCATCAATTTAACTGAAATAACAAAATCAGAGGGCCTAACGACTCGATCAGTTCGTAGCAAGACCTTTGTCAAAGGCAAAATATTCTGATATCATTTCGGAAAGAATTTCTAAAGTTTTACCATCCTGATTACATTCATATGTTTTTATGGGTGTCGGACGCTTCGCCCCATTTCCACGTCGCCCCATGTCACTTCGCCCCTAACCACTTCGCCCCATCCCCACTTCGCCCCATCCCCACATCGCCCCATCTCCGCTTCGCCCCATCCCCGCTTCGCCCCATCCCCGCTTCGCCCCATCCCCACTTCGCCCCATCCCCACTTCGCCCCATCCCCACTTCGCCCCATGCAGTATGAAAAAGGTGAAGGCTAGGGGTGCAGACCAAAACAAACTGCCAACTTAGACCCCAGATAATAAATGCTCCCAATTCTAGAAACTTAGGAAAATACAAACTCTCTGATGAGGTGCTCGAGACACAGATGAGAGAAATGATGGCTCTATCCCATTCAGAGACGCCTCTCCTATTGGCTTGTGAATAAAATCATCAGCCGCTGGATTCAAAAGAATCCGTAGGTATGGGAACTCACTGCCTTGAGGAAAATGTTCCGTCCAAATTTGTCTGATATGTGACACTTACAACTTCATTTAGATGAGATTGGTTCCTCCAAGAGTGAAATTAGGATGTCAAAGGTATTGTCGTTCTCAGATAAGTGGGAGACGGTCAAGGGCGTCGCGAGGTGGGGCAAGGGGGGGCAAACCCCCCCCCCCCCGGAAAAGCAAAAAAAAAGAAGAAGAAGAAGAAAAGAGAAAAAAAGAAAAGAAAAAGAGGCGCGAAGACAAAGTGGTGTAAATTTAATGAGCTGGGGGGGGGGGGGCAAATGTCCCTGCCCCCCTTTAAAACTGATAAATCGAGAATATGTTGAGAAATGCAAGCATTTTTGGCAAAAAAAATGTTTGCCCCCCTCTAGAGAAAATCCTGGCGACGCCCATGGAGACGGTGATAGCCGGGTTGGGAACAAAGTTGGATCTTTTACTTCAAGCTTTTTTCTCGGTAGAGGAGAGCCTAGCTTAAGAGGTTGGTTATGAATTGTTCATTTGGTGATTGCTAATTCTTTCCGTTGGTTAGCAATTAGTGAATCTGTTGAAATTGTTTTTTAAGCCAAAAAAATAGATGAGATTTTTTTTACATGTAATGGCTGGGGCGAAGTGGGGATGGGGCGAAGTGGGGATGGGGCGAAGTGGGAATGGGGCGAAGTGGGAATGGGGCGAAGTGGGAATGGGGCGATGTGGGAATGGGGCGAAGTGGGGATGGGGCGAAGTGGTTAGGGGCGAAGTGACATGGGGCGACGTGGAAATGGGGCGAAGTGTCCGACATTCGTTTTTATTCGTCAATGTTGTACAGTTTTCTCACTTGTTTTCTCAAAAATTGAATAACACACAAGAACTTACGCACATACCTAATTTTTTTTTTAAACAAAGACTATTTTCAGTTGGTTTCCTCACTCTGGCCTCATTACCTCACCTAGATGGCACTCGTCTCTATGCAATAGCTTGCTATTAGGTCATTCAATAAGTGCGTGGTTACCTCCCTCTAGCCTCATTACATCACCGAGATGGCACTCTAGCTTAGGTCATTCAATGAATGCGTCATTCGTTCAAAATTTACAAGGGGTCAACAAATCTCAGAAAACAAAATTCCAGTCAAGGTTGAACAAACTTAAAGGGAAAATACAACATTTGCAAACATCAAAAAATAAAACTACCAAATCATTTTGAAATACCTTGCTGGACTGTTAGTGAATGACAGTGTAAAGCATCCTGTAAAATCATGGCACCTGGTATACTGTCATTTTCAAGAAAAGTGGTATTTTTGTATCAATTTCCAACGCTGATCGGCCGATCAGCGTTGGAAAAAACTGGCTTTTTTTCAAATACCGGCCCCAATTGACCATCGCACTTGTTTGCAATCGATTACAAACCTATGAACGGGTACGAGCCAGCTAGACTGGTTCCCTGACCTTACAATTCCCCAATGTATGTAAACTGCTCTGTTTCTTCTTATATGGGGTCAGGGAACCAGACTACAGGAAAATGATTGTTTTTCTTGGTTTTTATAGCATTTTCGAACCCAAAACCTCAAAAAGTCAGTGTAACTATATTTGCTATATATTTCCAACCCCCCAATTCCATCCATTTCTGAAAATTACAGCAAAAGCAAATGATGTATATTCCCTTTAAATAGACCCCAAAGCATATCCATATACATGTATTATGATTTCTTGCATTACAAGATGGAGTGTGAGCACTGTGCAATGCTGAAAAAACATCACTTTCCCCCTTTTTGTTATGTTTTGAACTGCCGAGGGTTGTCACACACAAAAAAGGATTATAAAGATTACTCGATTCCGTTATTTAGCCAGTTTCTAATTGAATATCACATTGCAACTGAAACTCACGTCTAAAAAAAATATCCCGTAAAATCCTTGCCACCATACCCTTAATTAAGAAGAACACAAATAACAAATATTTATAAAACAAGTAAATAAAAGCTTCATATGGTGATATTCCATATTTATTACCTTTCTAAATTGTCTGCTTCATATATACATAATGATAACCTCAGGTATGTACATTATCATAATATTTACAAATGTTGCACACATTAATTAAAGTACTGTTCTATTAAAAAAACAACTTCAAAATTAGTACACACCCATGCCATATCTGAGGTGTAAGAACAACAACACAAAATATTTGGTAGAATATTACAACTGTTGGAGAACTAATGTAAACAAATTGATAATTCCACAGCAAATTCCACAGCATATAAGAATGGATGCTCAGTGCAAGAACGTTCCGCATCCCGTTATTTAAAGCTATAGTCCATCATTTGTAATTAGTGCATGTTGTTCGTTTGAAGCAACAAAAGTGTTCAAAATCTAATGAAGGATACTGAACAACTTACTTGATGAAGTTTCAGCTCAGCTTCAGCTTCATATTCCGAGAAAAACAGCATTCTAGGATCTCAATTTAAAATCAAAAGTTGCTAAATCATGTTTCGAATTGTTTTGAATTGCAGCTTTACACGATGTTGCGCACTGATCCAACGAATTATAGCAACCGCGCGCGCCTGTGCGTCGTTCCAATGCTTGTGCGCGCTGCGCCGAATAACAAAACGAACAACTAATTAAAATTTTCCTACGGTGCTTCTTAAGAAGCACCGTTGGAAATGCCTTCTTTCGTTGATTTCTTCAAAATGAGAGCTTGCCAGAAAAGATAATTTCACAGGGAGTTTAGTCCCCTTACTATCTTTCAACCAAGTATGTTTTTCAACAATAATTACGCCGGTTACTTTTTTGGATAGCTGCAAATGATGGACTTGGGCTTTAAGGCTTTGTTCAGGACACATATTCCTTACAGTCAAACCTATCCACTCAACCACTATTTTCAATTTCTGCACCTAGGCACGTGTACACCAGAGTTGTAATGAGTCACTGATTTTTGTGACTCGAGTCGAGTCGAGTCATTTTAAAGAAATGATTCAAGTCGAGTCGAGTCATTTTAAAGCAGTGACTCGAGTCGGGTCGAATCATTAGGTCGAGTCGAGTCAAATATTTAGCTCGAGTCAATTCGAGTCATGAATATTTGAACACTTCATACCAAAATTTGTAGAAGAAGGGCATAAATTAAGCCAGGGTTAAAATCCAAGAGCTGTAAAAGAAATCGCCCAAAGCCAATGATGAAACAACAAATTGGAAACATAAAACGAAACCCAAATGTCGGGACCATTGTTTAAGTGAAGTTCTGCATGTAGCACTTTCAAAATCTAGGATATGAAAGCCCAATTCATAAGCTTTCTTTTAGTACAAAAATCATTCAAATCACTTATGTACTTTTCAAGTTACGGAATTTTAAACACAACCGCCGTTTTAAGGTTCTGTCCACAGATCACAAAAAAAAGTTCAGTGTTCTTTCAGCAGAACAAAAACAAATCACATAAGGATGTGTGTGCATTGTTTTCGTTTTGCTGAAAAGAACGCACACCTTTTTTTGTGATCCGTAGACAGAACTTTAAAACGGTGGTTGTGTTTAAAACTCCGTAACTTCGCATATTTCCGGCCTCGCTCCCTGTGTGTTTATCTGTCATCCGTTCCAAATACCGCAAAACCTTTGCGTGTATACACGTCATTCGGCGCGAACTGGTTAAGTGATCTTCTTCAGGTACGACATCATGTGCCACCACCATTCCATGGGAAATTGCGTCTGTAAATAGTTTTTACTTTGCCAGTGAGGCATGTGCAGGCACAAGGCTGTCTAGCTCCCTCTTGTGTCCACTTTCTTCCAACCAAGCCTGTAAAACAATCGCGTTGTAAAATATAAACATGGTGACTGGACAGGAGACAAGAAAGAAATTTGTGTGGTTGACTCATATTATAATGAAATTAAATGGTCACTCCCAACAATCAATCTAAAGCATTGAAGCTTCACAGTTTATGATTTTTTATTCGTTGTACATTTGCTTATCATGGCTAACTTAAAATGCTTTAAAATTTTTCTTGTTTTGGCTAACTTAAAAATTCGCAGTATCGCGGTAGAATCGCATTAGAATTGCGTCAACGCAGCTTGTGAAATATTGTCCAATTTCATGATATACAAATGGACGCGGAATGCGCAAAATCTGAGACAAACAAAACTTAGTGTGCAAAAACTCCATAGGGTTGTCTATTAGGGGCGTGGCTAATTCGCAAACGGCGATAGGTCAATTTAACATACTTTTAAATATATATATTGTTTTAAAATGATTTCGAAGTGGGGGGGGTATTAAATTTGGGTGATCTCAAACTTTCACTTTTTGCGTGGTGTGGGAGTTAAAACCAAAACAAAAAAAATTAACAAAAAAGGTCAACGGTTACTATGGCAGCGGATAATTTTAGCTGGCTAACAATGAAGTTATGGATGAATACAAAGAAAATCTGATTGTTTTTTTTTTTCAAATCAAAAATATTTAGTGTTTGGGTCTTGGAGCTAAATTGCCAAACTTTTCAGTTTCATAAAAAAACCACTGTGTTCAAATAAATGGAAAGCTAAAAATCGCACATGATCAGCAGCAAGGCATTCTGGGAGCAGATGTAACAATCGACCAATCACCTGAAATCTGCTCTCCACCAGAGCTTGGAATTGTTTTCGTTTGGCCGAGGACAAGCCGGCTTCCTTCACCATCTGCTGCCAACTTTGGATCTGTCGGTTGCGTTCCGTCAGGGCCCGCTCAAATCTTGCTGGCAATCCACCAGGTATTTCCTGGCAGAGATTTAGTAAGAAAGTGACATACGTATTACAGTCATTTGTACATGGTGTGTTTCTTCTTTTTTTCATTGGGCATATTTTTATGGCGCTTCTGAGCACAGAAATTTGTTAAGACTGGAAAATACGTACATGTATTTGCTTTACAGCCATGTGATGCTTTAGCCTAGATATTAACTGACTTAAAAGCTGGCACAATAATTTGCTAAGCTATATTTTCTGATGGCATCTTCTTAAAATTGGGCTGATAATTTTTATGGTAATATACAACATTTGTTTTTGCTGTAATTTTCAGAAATTGATAGATTTGGGTGTTTGTATGTTGTAGCAAATAATTGTTACACTGACCTGTTTAAAGTTTTGTGTGCATAGAAAAAAATGCTGTTCTTGTAGTCTGGTTCCCTGACTCTACTTCAGAAGATTTAAAGACATTGGGGACTTATCAGGTCAGGGAACCAGACTAGCTAAAATGCGGACTAACTAAGGCCGTGTCCGAAACGGGCTTCCAGAGCTACAGCTACGTCTATTGTCAGCGCGTCCCCGCGTATTTTCAATGGGCGCGGACCTAGACCTAGCTCTAGACAGTTGATTCGGATGCAGCCTAAATTTGGTAAATTGGGGATGGTATGGTTTTTCGGCCGACCATTGTCAGAAATTGATACAAAAATTCCTCTCTTCTTGAAAATGACAGCACATCAGGTGCCCTGATTTCACAGGATGCTTGAGACTATCATTCAATAAATAATAAAGTCAGGTGTTTCATAATAATTTGGTAGTTTTGTGTTTTGATGTTTGCAAATGTTGTATATTCCCTTTAACACATGAATCTAAAAATATACCTCAAATCTTTTTGGTTGGGATGAAATGTCTGACATTTGCATAAAAAGTGAATTTTCACAGAAAATTGTGAACTTAAAACATTTGAGGTTAGTATTGTCACGGACAAGACTAAGCCACTGCTACCTGATTGTTTTACCTATACTCGTTGTGGAAACTAATTGTGCTTAAGATACATACTGTTGTTTCTCCTTGCATTTCAAAGGGAATCACAAAAGTGAAGAAGTCTTTTGGTTTCATCAGCTCATACACTGGGTTGTCTTCTTGGTGATCAGGTCCTAAGAATGCGTCAATAGAAAAAAAGGTAGTATACAAATAATGAATGTTTATGAGTGCAATGGTAAGAATAATTTCATGATGTGACAGATGGAGTGTTCCATTCCATGTGGCTTTGCTCATTTTCAGTACTGCTATGCAAAACGTTTTATTCAGTTTATGATCTTAATATCGTTAATATTTTGAGTGAGTTTCAATTAAATTTTTTTTTTTAAAGAGGTTGTGGAATGCTCGAAGACATTTCCGTCATTTTTCGGGTATATGTAGCCTAAGGTGTGATGAAATAAAAACGACTATTGAGTCTGTCATGAAATGAGTACATAAGGTACTTTTGGGAGCTGTTTTTCAGGTCCTGTTTCGACCCGAACGTGCAATTTGTGTAAAAGTTGTCGTTGGGGGCAGCAAACAAAACATGGTAAATCGTGACGTTATAAACAGGACTCGTTTATACTACGCTGCATCGGGAGTCCTGTTTATTACGTCATGATTTACTATGTTTTGTTTGCTGCCCCTATCGACGACTTTTACACAAATTGCACGTTCGGGTCGAAACAGGACCTGAAAAACAGCTCTCAAAAGTACCTTTTGTACTCATTTCATGACAGACACAATAGTCGTTTTTATTTCATCACACCTTAGGCTACATATACCCGAAAAATGACGGAAATGTCTTCGAGCATTCCACAACCTCTTTAAATCGTATTCAATGACGTTTTGATAACGTTATTTTTTTTCTCTTCTTCAGCTGAAAAATTAAAGTCATCATTCACGATTGGATTAAAAAAGGATGAATTGCTGAATGAGCCACGTGTCTGTGTGTGTATTTTGAAACAAAATTAACCATGTTTAAGTTGAACGAGAAAGACTGACTGGAGTTGGGTTTGAACCTGTGACCTCCGGATTGCCGTTCCAATGCTCTACCCTTTGCGGTTTATTTCAAAATTAACCATGAACAGGCAGCATTTGTAGGTTGCTGTCATTTCAAACTACACTGCTTTCACTGGTAAACTTGAAGCTTAAAGGGAATGTACATCATTGGCCTGTGCTGTAATTTTCAGAAATGAACTATTTGAGGGGTTAGTATAATAGATCAAATATTGTTACACTGACATTTTTGAAGTTTTGTGTTCGAAAAGGTTGGAAAAACCAAGAAAAGCACAAATGTTCAAGTAGTCTGGTTCCCTGACTCCCCAAAAGATAAAATGGATCAATTTATAGATGATGGAAAAGTGTAAGGCAAGGGAACCAGTCTAGCTGGCCTGCACCTGTTCATGAACATGTAGCCAATAGCAAACAAAATTTGGACTGAAAAAAAAATGGTAAATTTGGAGCAGTAGTTGAAAAATAGTTAGGTTTTTCCAACGCTGGTCGGCCGACCACCGTTGGAAATGTTTACAAAAAAAACATTTTCTTGAAAATGACTTCACACCAGGTACCATAATTTTACAAGATGCTTGAGACTGTCATTTACCAACATCCTAGTAAGGTATTTCGTAAAAACTTGGTAGTTTTATTTTTCGATGTTTGCAAATGTTGTATATTCCCTTTAAACCTTAGCTTGTGTGTATTAGTTACATGCTGGAATGCAATAACTCTCACTCAAAGGCTGAGTTGAAACTATGAGGCTACGGCTATATGGATCCACCACTTCCTAAAGGTGCATGTGTTACGGCTAGCCACAGCCACGTTATTCAAACATAGCCACAGCCACTCACTCACCAATGCACAGGGGTTGATCCCACACATTGGGATGCTCGCCGACCCCTACCTGGGCCATATCCTGTTGCATTGTGGGATAGTGGGTGTGGTAGGGGGCTAGGGTGATGGCATCGTTCCCACCCAGTAGGAGGGGCCGGGTGGGCGTCAGCAGGTGGAGGGTGCAGAGGGTCGAACCGCTGGAAAGCAAAATCATAAACAATCAACATACACAATAACCCACATTACCAAGGTGGTGTAGAGCTGAATTGTAGTTATAGCAGAAAAGCAGAATATCACTTGATCATACCCAAACGGACCTGAAACATTGTGGATGGACGATGGAAACATTATCCCATTTGTATCACAAACTGACCCAACCCCTTGGACTGTCAAGGCAAAAACTGACCTGAAGTGAACTGACCAAAAGTAACTCAAAGTGAATAAGGCCAAAAAAAAAAGTCTCCAGTTTCTTGTATGCACGTGCGTCGCCGTAGCCATGCGCGTCGGCAAAATTAAAAAGGTTTTTTTCAATGTAAGATGATGTCTCAAACCGCCAAGCTCCCTGGTTTGACTGAAATTTAATGTGTTTTTTTGATGGGGTTTCGATCGAGTTTAAGCTTTATGTGGCCACTCTGGGCTCCCATACATTTTGCACTAAATTCAGTCAGCCATCAGCTGACATTTGAAAAAAAGAAAAAGTAAAAAAAGAAAGAAAAAAAAAGCCGCGTCGCCGCACCACTTTTTGGGCAAGCTCCATACCAGAAACCGGAGACTTTTTTTTTTGGCCTAAGCTGAATGTATGTATCGGACTCAAACAAAATATCCTGTTGTTAACCCTCCTATGCAAACATACATTCTGTGCCAAGTGGTCCTTTCAGTCAAAGTCAATCAAGTGACTGTTTTCAACAGTTAAGAATGTCCAGCCTACATAAAGCAGGATTGACTGGCTGGGACTGTTTAAGTAACTTGATACAGCTAATGCTGTGACTCCGGGTGAGTGATAAAACAGCTGTGACCACAACTTGCCTGCTTCGTCTGTTGACCCAGTTTGACTAGTCACAGTGCTTGCCTGACATATGATCTGACTTTGTTAAAAGTCTAGCAGGTGAAGTGAAGTTTGACGGTCTGTGACTGCTTACATAGCAGGAGGGTGCATGTGTGCCATTCGGTGGAAATATATTGTAGCCTGATGTATTGTAGCCAACTTGAGTGTGGAACTCATGACGGGATATTTTCAGTGGGTGCGATTTTGTTCTTTTTATTCCCTTTTTCCCCAAGATTTCTCATACTATGGCTTAACTGAACCTATCTGAACTACAACTGACCAGACACAACTAAATCGACACTAACTGCAAACTGATCGAAAGAGGTCGGTTTGCAGTTATATCTTTTTAATTGATATCAGTTTCTGGCAGGGTTTGCACAACTTTATAACTCAATTTACCTGACACTACATCTTCGTGTCGCAGTGATGACTTTGGTGTCTTCACATCCACTCAGATGCACGGTGGTCTCCACTGCCCCGAGCACAATGGTGGAGTGACGACACTTCTCTATGCTCACAAATCTGCATCACAAGAATGATGGTATAAACCTCTAATAAATATTCATAAACTTGTGCCATTTTCTCATGGGTCAAATCTTCACAACGTATGTAAGATAGCCCTAATTCTGTCTAGAAAACTTTACTCCCAAACAATTTGAACACAGTGAAAAGAACCAATATTGGAATTCACATTACCATTTGCATAATTCCATTAAACTTGCTTTCCTAATGCAATTTTTGAGCAAGTACATTTAAAACCAGTTAGGGGCCTCGACACTGATAATACTCCAAGTCGATTTTCCGCATCCAGGCCCCTAGCTGGTTTTAAACGTACTTGTTTAATACCGGCCAAGCACATAATTTTTTTTTCCATTCATCAATACCTTTCGGTCAAAAAGTCAAAATATGTGTAAAGTGATAAATTTTGTAGACAATTTTGTTCAACAATTTTACTTTATGTTTCATGAAACACCCCTCTGGCTATGTTTATGGTATGTGCCTCGCGCGAGTAGTCTTAAAAATTTCCTTATAAGCATATTGGCATGTGCGTGGCACATACTGCGCGATGTGGCGCAGAATGCAGCGGTGCTGGTCTAGTGTGAATTTAGAACTCTATGAAATACTGTTGCTAATGGGTTAAAATACCATATTTCAGTATTATCTTTTGATAAGGTTTCGCCTTGCCCGCTTCGTGGGCGAGAGGCGGTGATGGGCATAGCGGTGATGGGTTATTTGTAACTTTCCTTTGTAACTTACTTGAGGGGCGACAATAGGTAGATGAAGGCGTGATGGCATCTGTGAACTTTGACCCGAGCATTGACAAGTGTTGCAGAGCTCTGCAGTAAAACCAAAACAGGGTTAAGCTTGAACAACAGAGCTGATGAGTTGCTTGAAAAGTAAAGAATGAATTTAGAACCTTTGCGTGGACGCCATCTTGGAGGTGAAGTGCTTTTTGTTTCATAGGGATACACATGAGTAGATCTTCTGTACTTTTATTTATATTCAGTGTTATTGCATTAAAGTAACACACTTCTGCCAAGGGTCTACAGCTCCATATATTAAAAGAAATCATTTGTTCTTCATTTTTTCAGCCATTTAACACAGCCATTTACCGGGTTCCCACAGAAATCTTTAAATGAAATTCCATGACATTTCCACGACAAAATTACGACTTTCTCTAACCAACTATTTTGGCAGCCTATTTACAATTCACTGGCCAGTCATCACACTGAGGCAAGGGATACCACTCCCTTTCAGCCTTCCAATTTGACACAAGACCACTGAACACCACAAAGGTATCACAATAATAACTGAACATGCAACAAGTATAGAGCATAAATGCATAAGTACAGTAAACTTGAATGCAAACTGGAAGACTACCATAGCCAAATATTACACATCATTACGTATGGGTTGTGCAGGATTCCATGATTTTTCCATGACTTTTGTTCTTGGAATATCAGCTTTTCCACGACTCCTTGTAAAATAACTAAATGTCATGACTTTTCATGAGAGATTTAGATTCCATGATTTCCCCATGGCTGTGGGAACCCTGCATTTATGTAGGTGTTAAAATGGGAGTCTTTGACAACATTGAGCCAGCCTACCTTGGCTAGGGTCTGCTTACAGATCTGCGATAATATCACCAACTTGCTTCTGAAAAAAAAAGAAGAAGATCATCATCACTCTTTAAGTTGTAAGGGAGTTGGTTAGCGAAAAACTGGAACATATTATTCTCATTATTTTTCCATGTATTTATCTTTGGGTTTGGAAAATAAGTACTTTTCCTCTTTCAATGGTGTGATTGGTGCTTACTTGGATGGAGCTTTCTGTGCGTTTGTTGCCATGCGACCCCTCTTTGCTGCATCTCCATCAGCACCTGCAAGAATTCAAAGAAAACGATCGGATAACCAATTTACAGCGCAAGTCTGACGGTGACAAGTGGTTCATTTCTGATATATTGTGCAGTTACAGTCTACTATTGAAATATTAAACATTGTTCATAAATACTTAAGACAGTTTAACCATTTCCATTGGTCGAGGGCCCGTCACGTGGTCGGTCTTAAACGGATGATAAAGACATGGCTGGCTGGTCTTAAACACTTATGCAGTGTCACATGAAATTTGGACTCCTATGAAATCCGGTGCCTTATACCGTATTATTGGTTGAATGTTCACAATCCTCACGTAGGCATGCGCACTACTACCAGGGAGTCGGTATTTCATAGTCCTAAATTCACAACGCACTCCCACAACTGCATCGGCGCGATACGCGCACGCGCATCAATCTCCATAAAGGTGTTGTTTACGTCTTACTCGCGAGCTGGACACTCAATTATATAGCTAGAGGGGTGTTTTGAAAAACTTGAAGTGAAACTGTTGAACAAAATAGTTGAACTTTAAATTTTTTGACTTGTTTTCACTTTTGAACCGAAAAGTTTAGATTTTTGTGACCAAAAAGGTATTTCGAATAGGAATAAATATGTGCTTGGTCGGTATTAAACACTATGTTTAAGACTGGTTGGAGTCTGGATGCTGATCTTAAACATAGTGTTTAACACCTCCCAGTCACACATTTATTCCCTTACTAATGTATGGCTATCGGTAGGCCTTACCATCATTGGGACAAAACATGTTTCTAAATAGTAGGCTAGACTAGACTAGCCATCGTTGATTAGCAAGTGCGTCTTACTCAGGTTATAAAATTGTGGTAATGGTCTAAAAGATGACAGTTACCTTGAAGATGCAATGATGGACAATTTCTTGAAATTGTAACGGTTTACAGTTTAGCTCACCTGCAGTAGGCCAAGAGAGTCTGTGCCCAGCCGAGATGCATGCAGCTACACCATATGGATTGGCAACCAGACTAGTCCTGATCCAAGACTCGAATGTGCGACATGTGAAGGCTAACGTGATCTGGAAATCCATATTTAAAATATATCATTGATAAATGGCTGACACTTGAAACTTTTGTGAACTGCTGTAAGCATCTGCAAATCAGTAAAGTAAAAAAGTAAAGTCTGTCACAAGCCAATGTGGCCCATCAGGCCGGTGTTCATCTCCGATTTCACTGGCGCGAAACGACTGAGAATATTTCTGTTCTCCCCTGGATGGGATGCCAGTCCATGGCAGGTTACTTCCCAGCTAATGCTGGTACCCATTTACACTCCTGGGTGGAGAGAGGCAAGTAGAGGTGAAGTGGCTTGCCCAAGGACACAACATATGACAGCAGCTGGTTTCGAACCCCTGACCCTCTGATCGTGAGTCACAATACAAACCCTAACCACTAGGCCACACTTCCCCTGCAAATCAGTACATGACCCATATTTCTATTTTCCGGGATGGGATGCCAGTCCATCGCAGGTTACTCCCCAGCTAATGCCGGTACCTTTTAAAACTCCTGGGTGGAGAGAGGCAAGTGGAGGTGAAGTGGCTTGCCCAAGGACACAACCTATGACCAGCAGCTGAATTTGAACCCCTGAACTTCTGAGAATAGAAATTTGCTAAGCACAGAACTATGTGCTTAACAACAGCTTGACACCCCGAATACCTTGTGATGCACAACACTTGTTAGTTGTCCTCAGCTTGCTTTAGCTTAGCATTAAAATTGGCTAGCGCTATGTTCTGCTTGGCTACTTCCTCCAACTGAATCCATATCATCAACTGGCCACCTATCAATCAAAAGGAAGTGACTTTCATGTACCTTTGAGTAGCCGCTCCTGAGCTGAAGACCCTGTGTTTTGGCCAGGTCATGGATAGGCTTCACTGTCCTGAGAAATGGATCAAACAAATTGAGATATTTGAAATATTAGTAACATATAGACCCCTCCCATACGACGGCATCTTCGTAGGAGATTACAGCTTCATATTCAACGTCATCAAGTACGTGCGCATGCAGTGTGCAAATGTTCTAAACGCACGAATGTTGCTCAAAATTTCTTCAAAATACGGCGCGGCACAGCCGATGCACGCCACAAAAAAGACAATGCACGTGCCAATCTGTAGGCAGCGATGTCATTTAAGAGAGACCTATTGTTCTGAATAAAGACTTTTCTCCTAGTACATTCATTATTTTCCCTAATTATAGATATTGTCTTATACTTAATCAAGAGACATGAAAAGGCAGGTAGTCACCTTTTTTGCGATCACAATATAACATATGAGTGCATGTGTACTGCTCTTACAACTACACAAAGATTTGGATACCTGCAAATCAACTACTCATGTTCCGTGCCAGATTTTGGTGACAATGAAGAGTTCACACACTTACTTATTACCATCCGCCGATCCTTCCAATATGAAGCTCATGGCCTGCACTGACTGAAGAGACATGAGAACATCGGTGGCTGAACCAGCATAGGGATCTGCAATTCCAAGCAATCCATCAGTGAAAAGTAATGCACAACATTTTTTAAACATTAAAAAAAATGAAACTACCACATTACTATGAAATACCTTACTTGACAGTAAGTAAATAATAGTCTGGAGCATCCTGTGAAATCATGGTGCCTGGTGTGCCGCATTTCCAAGAAAAGTGTAATTTGTATCATTTTCCAATGATGGGTAAGCCGAACCATCATTGGAAAAACCCCAGCTATTTTCAAATACTGCCCCCAATTGACCGAATTTAGTTCGTCCACATTCTGTTTGCAATCAGTTACATATTTCTGAACGAGCTTAGTCTGGTTTCTTTACATGACAATTACCTGACTTCTATAAATTGTTCCATTTCGTCTGAAATGTCAGTTCAGGGAACCAAACTACGAGCTTTCGAATTTTCAGTTGCTCAGTTGATTTTTGCTTCTTCTTCTTCTTAACAGCTCCATGTACACGAGCCCTGTTGTATTTAGTATCGTGAAGCCCTGTCACTGTAAGCGCCCATCTCAATTCACATGAGGGTTGAGTTTCAGGCAAGTTGCGAGTAGAATCATTCACTTTTCCCGGAAGAAGCTCTGCATTGGTGCCGTACATATTCCCGAACAATTCTCATTTAGTGACTGCTTGACTCACCAATACTGATAACTTGATTGCGGGAAGATTGCGGGGAAGTTGTTCAGAATCCTGCAACTTATACCTGATACAATGTCCGCAACTTGTCCCAAACATATTGTTTTGGCTCAGTATTGACTAAATAACATATCATGAGAATTAGAAAACGTGAAAAATACGTTTAAAAAAAACGTAAAAACTGCTGCAAACTGCTCCCTGACTGGATTGACCTGAAGTTTACAAATCAAAAAGTTAGAGAGGCCTGATATATTTCGTCTTTAGCAAAGACCTCTGAAGAAGTCTTCTTCTTCTTCTTCCAACTGAGTGCTAACTTCACAATTGAAGACTACAGCGCTTTTGGTGGGGTGTGATTAAGTCTTTGCTAAAGACCAAATATATCAGACCTCTCTAACTTTTTGAGAATTTAACTTTAAACAATATAAACTTTTATGTTAGTTTACCGGCTTCGACGAGCAGTGACAGCATGTCGCTGAGGTGAGTCTGTAGGAAGGTCATGTGGGTGTTTTCATCCAAACTCTGCGCAGAAAAACAATCACAAGTCAAATCAAATTCTCTTTCTCACGATATGCGATTGATAAGTCGTTTCACCTTCCAAAGGGAAAATCTCAAAATGTTGGTAGTAGTCAGAATCAGACATTTTGGGTGCAGGACTTTGAAATTGTTGGTCCGAGACCACGAGGCAGGCCACGGAAGACCTGCACCCGATTTCACGAAACTCATCATAACTTACGATGCATCGCAGCGCTGCGACGCTGCGACGCGTCTTGCGATCCACTTCACAAAACACATCATGCGACACGTCATAGGTGTATTTACAGCACAACTCGGTGACTGTTTTATGTATTTAGTCAGCGTACAGTAAATAGTTGTCTGATATTCAACAAAGAGTCGTCTGATCTCCGCTTGAAATTTTTTTAAAACGTAAAACAAAATGGCGGCCGTGTGATGCAAATTTAAAGGAAAACAAGCTCTCAGTGGACTGTATAGCTACTTAGAAATTTCAACTGCAATATTCCAGGCTAATTCATAATTACTCAATGAATTTTCTATTTACAACTTTACACACACTGCCTCGGTATAATAATCTTGTAATGTTTATGGCATAAAACTGGCTAAGAAAAGGACTCTTCTTTTTTGCGATGACCACTAGACGCGTCATAACTTGCGAAGTGTTTTAAGCCATTGTCAAGGAATTTATGATGCGTTCAACTCATCGCATGTTTCGTGAAATGGATTATACGACGCGTCGCGAGTTGCAACGTGTTACAAGTCCTAACTCGAGTTGCGACGCATCGCAGCGCTTCGTGAAATCCGGTGCTGGGATGAGACACAGGCAGAAAAACCTCAGACTGTCAAACCTCGCCAATGTGGATGTCAGAAATTGGATTGCGTGGAATAGGGCCATTAAAGGAAAGACAACGACCCACCCCACAGTGTGAGGAAAATGGATGTTAAATGGAAATGATGAATGATGATGACGACTGCGGAAAGGAAAAGAAAGTTAAATCAACTGTACACAAAGGAAGCTTTTAATACCAAAACTTCCATTGTTTTAGTCCGCAAAACGTTTGTGAGCAAAGTGTATTTTGCTTATTGATAGCTGTACCAACTACTGGATACTTGTACCATTGACAATGGCGTGCAGAAACAAAAGCACAGCATTCATAGGCTAAGATGCAACACTAACACCAATACCTTGGAGTTGATTGTTCCTCCCCTGCTGTCTACATCGGGTGATCGCGGTCGTGTTGGCCATCTGATAGTTTGATGTAAGGCTAATCAAATCACATTGAAAACTTTTCAAATGGTTAAATCTTGCTGGTTGGCAACGTTAACCTGGTTATCCAGAGTTTACAGCCTGAGTTAATGAGGGTTTACCTGAATAAACCAGGTACATGTAAGGCTGAGTTAACCAAGGTGAACCTGAGTTGACAAGGGTTAACCAGAGTCAACCAGGGTTAACCTGAGTCAACCAGGGTTAACCTGAGTTAACCAGGGTTGGGTTAAACAGAGTTAACCAGGGTTAAACAGAGCTACATGTAACCAGGGTTACACATAGTTAACCAGGGATAATTTAACGAGGAAAAACCTGAGTTAACCATGATTTAACCTGAGGTAACCAGGATTAATGTAAGTGAACCAGGGTTAAAAAATCACTATGATTTACACCAGTGTTGTAGGTCTCGAGACCGGTCTCGGTCTCGAGACCGGTCTCGAGACCACTTTTTGCTGGTCTCGGTCTCGGTCTCGGTCTCGGAAGCTGTGGTCTCGGTCTTGGTCTCGGTCTCGGTCCCCTTTGGTCTCGATATTTTGGCTGGTCTCGGGTCGAGACAGGCAATATGTAGCTTTTACAGCTCGATCGATTACTTTGTGTTCACTTCGTTCAGTACCCTTGTTATCTAAAACATTTGCTAGCCCGTAGATCAAGCTTGTTATATATCGCGGTCGCGGTTTGGACTCGACTGCACGTTGGAAAGTCCCCAAAGTACATGTTAAACTGCAGCAGTACAGTCACCTGAACGATTTGGAACAAGTTCGGCATTTATCTGTTGAGTCGGCCACATAAAGCAAAGTATAAACTTGTAACAATTTATGCAATAAGGGTCAACCATTTTCGGGGATTGTGTAGTTTAGCCCACCCCTGTGGGCGTAATCACTTGCATTTCGTATTCTGATAATAAATGAGGTGCTTCAAATTAGTTATATTTTTGACCCCACACAATGTTCTCTTTCATTTGGGACAGTATTTTGAAGAAAAAGTAAATTTTTCTACCTGATTTTCCAGCTTTGAACTCACACACTCTTACCAGTTACCACTCACTGTTGCCATGAGAGTGTATGATGAGACCCCATTTTCTGGCTGCTCATTTTAAAGTACCCCATTATTCCTCAAAAATTAAAAATCCCGTTCAGAAAAAAATTAAAAATCCATATCTGGCACATTATGGCTACCACCTCGCAACTTGTGGGTCTACATGTACAAGTCCACATTCTATGACAAAAATTTAAAAATTAATTCAACATTTTCTAGCTCCCATTTTTTTAAATCAAGTACACAAGTCTTGTTAGAAGTTAAGTCCTAAATTTATTTTATGAAAAAAGTAAGACTGCTGCAAACTGCTTACTGACTGGGTGGACCTGAAATATATAAATCTAAAAATTAATGTGGCCTGACGTTGCGAACTTAGCAAGTTCTTCTTCAGAGGCTAAAACAGAAATGACAGAGGTACATACATTAACATGGGGGTGCACACAAACATGCAGGGATGAAAGAAGAAACACAAAAGGAGGATTAGGTGGGAAAGGTGTGGAAAGATGCAGGGGAGGGTGGATGAGAGAACAAAGAAACAAAGGGAGATGGCAAACCACAAGGGGTCTGGTATGAACAGGGGAGGGACCAGAAAGGGGAAGGATCAAAGGTCACAGGGAGTGGGAACGGACAAAAGAGTGTGGGAGTGAAGGGGGATTATGCGGGGGGGGGGGGGGGGGGGAACAGTATGGAGGTGGAAAGGGATGAAAGATGGGGAAAGATGGGGAAACACAAACAATGAAGACCAGGTGGATTATCTGTAACAGAAGACAATGGAGGAAGAAAAATATTAATCATTTCCAAGTTGGATGTTGAGACCATGTGGTTGAATAGTTCGAAGACGATTCATCCACACTTTCTCTCTGCTGAGGCGAACTGAGTCCTTGCGATGGCCAAGAGATTCAATGCCCTGCAAAATCATATCAGAAATGGAGTGGTTAGGCAGGTTGAAGTGATGACCAACAGGGGTGTCTAGTTTCTTGGTGTTGACCGTTGACCGGTGGGCATAGAAACGCTTCTTGAGCGTATTCTTAGTCTCACCTACATACTGCACTCCAAATTATTTTAGGAAAAAAAAAGGCAATGTAAAATTAAAATTGCATCTTTAAATATCCCTTAGAAGTCATAGCTGAAACCAAGGGGGCGACTGTGGAGTTTAGGATCCGAGTTCCTATAACAGATGAAACATCTACCTTCAACCTTTCGTCAAGATTGGGTGCAGACAACATACCAAAGCCCATATTTCTTAAGTGTAACTACTTTTTGCTCAAGTAAGGTGTCATGTATCAATTTGTCAACATTGCCACTGGTCAAAATTTTGGTCTGTATTCTTTGTGAATAGAAAGGTTACATTTTTCAACTATAATAACGTGTCTTGTTTTTTTTATTTCGACTATTGTTATTTATTATCAGCGGTCTCGGTCTCGGTCTCGGTCTCGGACCATATTGGTCTCGGTCTCGGTCCGCCTTGAAGGGGCTGGTCTCGGTCTCGGTCTCGGTCTCGAATCTTCAGGTCTCGGTCTTGGTCTCGGTCTCGGACCATCCGGTCTCGACTACAACACTGATTTACACTGAAGGATACTCCTCTCCAGAGACTAGTGAGGAACGCAGCGATATCTTGTGGACTTGCTGAATGAACAAATAAATCAAGAACTCCAGGGTATCCACCGATGCCTGATTCTTGATAAATTCTATATAAATGAAAAAAAAAAGACAAAACACACTTCATTAATACAAACTTAATTTTTACACTCACATACAGAAATTGCTTCTCAAGATATTCAATTTGTAAAGAGGGTCAGAAGAAAATAACTTTGTGGTCTAAAAATTTGAAAAGGTAATAAATACCTTTCTCTTGAGGTGTTTTGCAACCTTGAAGCTTCTCAGCGAGCTTTAGTCTGGTCTCAGCTGGACACTCGCAAAGCAGGTCATAACCTTCAAAGAACCTAGCATTTGAAAAGGGAAACAAAAGCTTGAAAAGAATCTTTGAATTTCACTTTTTTATCTAAAGATCTCTTTCAAATGATGCGTAGCTCGAATAACAGTATCTGCTATGGCATGACAGACCTATGCATGTCATATATACAAATGCAGCTAAGATTTGGCTGAATCTTTTGCGGAGCATGTACTATTCAACCTTAACTCCCGCCTAGGCATTTTTGTTAGGATGAAACCTAATTGCTACAGCCGCAAAATCTGCAAAATCCTCCATTGTTTCTAGAATGAAATCCTTGAGGGGTGACCACTGCCTCAATCCTGCACAATCCTCCAGCAATCACTGTCCATATGTTGAGGCAGAGACAGTGACATATTGGAGCAGTGCGGAGGATTTCAAGCATAATCCACGCCTCTATTTATGCATGGCTAAGCAAAAACAACACAAGGACCGGCCCAAGACCTTCTAACAGTGCATCCTCCAAAATCAGCCACACATTTTTGCTATATAGCCTCAATCCTACAAAATCCTCCATTTTGCAAAGATGATTTTGGAGGATTTGGGAAGGTTAGGGTAAAGTTGCAGTGTACTACATATAAATGGACATACTGTTTGTCATACATTAGTCAAGGATACTGCCAATGACTTGCAAACGGATATAGTAAACGGATATAGTAACTGAGAACTTACATCCATGCTAGGTCTTCACATATGTTGAGTTTATTCAATGCAATATGTTTCCATACAGGGTAACTCAGATTGGGAAATCCTGCCTTGCCTTTCGTCTTTGCATACACAGCTATCTTCCGTAAGTACTGAAAAGAGACGAAAGTTGAAAGCTTCACATTTAATTGATAAAGTCAGATATGAATATATTTTTTTCCTGCCCTTCTCAGATCCTTCAAATTGTACCAAGACACTTTGGCGGATTTTACGTGATATATAGGAAGACAGAGCCGAGTTTCTTCAAATCATGCTAGATGCCCCCCCCCCCCTCCGTTTAAAGGTTTTGTACAACATTTGCAAACATCAACAACTAAAACTACCAAATTACTACGAGTTACCTTACTTGACTATTAGTGAATATTAGTCTCAAGCATCCTGTAAAAATCATGGCACCTGGTGTGCTGTCATATTAAAGGAAAGTGGAATATTTGTATCCATTCCAACGATGGTCGGCTGACCATCGTTGGAAAAAACACTGAAGTTTTTGAAATACTGCCCTCAATTCACGAAATTTTGGTAGTCCACATTTTGATTGCAATTGGTTACACATCCTTGAACGGGTGCAAGCCAGCTAGTCTGGTTCCCTGACCTGACAATTCCCAGACGTTTATAAATTGGGTGATCATAAATGGCTGTTTCATCTGAAGTAGGGTCAGGGAACCAGACTACAAGAACAGCATTTCTTTCTTGGTTTGTCCAGCATCTACGAACACAAAACTTAAAACAGGTCAGTGTAACAATATTTGCTGCAAAATACTAACCCCAAATCCATCCATTTCTGAAATTTACAGCAAAAGCAAATATTGTATATTACCGTTAAGCACAAATGAGTCAAATGGTTCCTACAGAAGGCTGTTTTATGGAGATTTCAGTAAGGTTTCTAGCAGAAAATTCCTGTTGGTTTAATTTTCCGAGCTGACATTTCAGCAAACATTACATATCACGTTGCTTAAATGTATTCCATATTGAATCGCATACTTACATGGACGGAGAGTTTTGGATGTGGCGACACTTGGAGTGCACCGATGTGGAACGGATCAAACTTGAGCCACAGGCTGGCATTGACAGCCATCCTGGTTCTAATGAGTTGCTACTTTGTGCAGAATGATCAGCTGGAAATTTTTTTAAAAGAAAACTTTGCTATGAGTATGAAACACTGACTCACAGATCACGTGTAAGGTTATATAAATCCATACATGTATTAATTAAAGAGACCACATTTTATAGGAGTAAAAGGACGCCAGAGGAACACTTCTTTGACAACTGATGGAAAAAGTCAGTAGTATAATATTTGATGGTTATGTACACAGTGATTAATTAAAGAAATGTGAAATTATAGAAGTGTGAAATTAAATGACAACATTTAGGTATAAGGTTTAGCAGAAAATTCAAGTATTATAATACATAAAAGTAAATATACATATAGACTCTGGCGATCGTGTAGTGTAGGGCCCCTGTTTTGTTTCGATCAAATGAGAATCAAGTCCAAGAACTTTTTTTATTTCAAAAAAATGACACTGTCAGCCTAAAGCAGACTTCTCTCAATGTTTTGACACCTTTTTGGTAATTTTTGAACAGTTTTTTAGGGTAGAAATTACGAGTTTTCCGATGTGGTTTACGGTCCGGTTGGTGCCGTGCAGCACGACTTGTGTGCTCACGGTACACAAAGTACATCGCGGTGATCGCCATCTAGTATTTTCCGAAAGATTCCCATACATGAAGAGTGTATCTGGCCATCACTTGTAACCCTGTGCACAAACCCTATGGGACTGGTCTGAAAATTTTTAAGTGTTTTCCCAGTAAAAATTCAAAATTTGTCGCTGCTAATTTTGACTTTTTAGGACATATTATCACTTTCTGATACCTGGTCATTTTAGGGATAAATTACTGATGGCCAGATATGGGAATCTTTCCTTATTTTCCAGTAGGCTTACTGTTAGTGTAGGCCTAGCTAGGCTAATTATGATTCGTCGTTGTCAATGACAATGTCATCGTCATTTTTACCCCCGAATTTCCCTCAAAATTTAATTTTCAAACCCTACCCTTTATCCATGACATACTTATATGTTCTTAAATGTCGCAAACTAGTTTGGTTGGTCAAATAATTTAAAAGTGGATTTTGTTGCCTGATGGGAAACGGTCCCTACACTACAAGATCGCCTAGACTATTAAACAACGTTGTGTCCGAAAACTGGGCACGATCATTTACTTCTTTATTTCAAATTTAATTAGTCTTCAGGCCCTTTTGAGGTATTATAATTTATTCTGCATATTAACATCAGTTTCCGGTGCGTGTTTGTGGGTCTTGTACCTACGTTATAAATACATTCTATGAGGAAAATGCGAACTTACAACTTCTTTGAGCTCAAAAAACCCCTCTCACAAGGCCGCTGCCATCTTGAATCTCAATTCACGCGCGATGCGAGACTTCAAGCTAGAGGTCACAAACGTTCCCAGTGCATTTTGCCGCGCACGGCTTGGGTAGGCTGCGAGTCTCCAACGAGGTTAATTGAATGCGTGGAACTTTTTCGTATTCTCGTGATTTACGAGATTCGGTTAAGTGCTTCATGTGGGCGATTGGTGATTTCCTTTTTGCGGACTTGCCTTCATTTTTATCAGCGTGGTTGATTAGATTGTGAAGTACCGAGCAGAGTAATGTGATATCAAGGTATGATGTGTTAAGTTAGTGCGTTTGATTAAGAGTACAGTAGATCACGGTTTAAATTAAGTTAAAATTTCATCAAATCAAAAGGCAGCGGCCACCGCGACCCGGCATGCCCGGCATATTATTATTAATCGTCATGTAGTGCATGTTGTGTGCGGTCATACTAAAGGTTTCGATCCAACTCGGACCCAAACCAACTCGGACCCAAGCCAACTCGGACCCATGCCAACTCGGACCCACTACCAACTCGGACCCATGCCAACTCGGACCCACTACCAACTCGGACCCACGACCAACTCGGAACCACTACCAACTCGGACCCACAACCAACTCGGACCCACTACCAACTCGGACCCATGCATGACCAACTCGGACCCATCGTTTTCAATCATTCGACATCGTTTCCAATCATTCATTTCATAAAGTTTGTCCACTTCTCATCTGTTATTACACTGATGCTGTTTAGTATAAATTTTCATTGTAATTGTAAGGTAAATTATCTCATATCTGTCATGTCTGTATTGCAGCAGTATAACATTTTTGTCGTTGTAAAGCGCATTAAAATGCTATTTTGAAATGCGCTTTAAAAGTGTAATTAATTATTTATTATTTTTATTTGTTTCCATTAAAACATATTATGCTTTAAAAGTTTAACCAATTATTTATTTTCATTCAAACATATTAATTTACATCGTTTACACCATCTTGCTAAATTTAACAGCAATTTATTTCTTTTTTACTCCAAACTTCAACATAACGAGTATACAAATTAAGAACAGATCTTCATAGAAAAATAAAATTGGAAAGTATGGCATTAAAACAAACACTTTCAAACATAACATTATTAACTCAATAAATATAAGTAAACATTAGAAATCAATAAATAAAATAAAGGTTCCATATTAAACAAAAAAGTTAAATCAAAAGAGTATAAAAAGTTACATTTGTAATCGGATTCGTAAAAAAAACCCACAAAATTCAAAGCCAGCATGTGAATTAAAAAATGATCAAGTTTAATCCCCTACAAATAGATGCAATGTCAATCATCAAAAAGGAGTATTGGAGCTCTGGGAAGATTATCCTTCAAGGCCTTACAGGTAGCTGCCTGTATGTTCCACTATGATGTTCCACGGGGGGGGGGGGGGGGGGGGGGGGGGGGGGGGAGTTAAATCAAAAAATTATTAAAAGTTAAACAGATTCATAAAAACCCCACAAAATTCAAAGCCAGCATGTGAATTAAAAAACCCCAAACAATTACATGAAATGAAAGGCCCAAATAGTTATTTTAAATTAATAACTTCCTCACTGAAACAAAATGTGCCACTTAAAACCACTTGTTACACGACACAAAGGCCTGCAAAAACAAACAAGTAATTTATATTTTACTGAAAATTATAATCCTTTGATTTTCGTTTGGAAAAGAAAATCGCGATTTTGAAAAAGCACGTATATATCAAGTTGTATAAATGACATACGATATGCCTAACCAATACTATACGCTATTAAAACCTCTTGGGTTAGCTTCACAGGTCACGGTTTCAAAAAGCTAAGCACGTTTTGTTTCATGACGTTCAAAACAATAAGCGTTTAGCAACAGTATTTACTGTACGCATCATAAAATACCGCTCCACACAGCGGCAATACAAGAAAACAACAAAACTAAAAGCCCCATTCTGCCCAATGTAGTTACAGAATATCTTCACTTTATAAGCACTAACATTAAGATCACCTAAAAAATATAATCTCTAAAACTAATGATTGAGTCATTGTTGGGTCCGAGTTGGTCGTGCTTGGGTCCGAGTTGGTAGTGGTACCGAGTTGGTCGTGGGTCCGAGTTGGTCGTGGGTCCGAGATGGTAGTGGGTCCGAGTTGGTAGTGGGTCCGAGTTGGTAGTGGGTCCGAGTTGGCGTGGGTCCGAGTTGGCATGGGTCCGACTTGGCATGGGTCCGACTTGGTTTGGGTCCGAGTTGACCTGATACCATACTAAACAGCGTCAACACAGCGTCAACACACTCCAAAGCGTCAACACAGCGTCAACACAGCGTCAACACATCCAAAATGCATTAAAATTGACAAAAGCAGTATTTAACCCATACAGTATGGACAGAAACAAGATTTGTGCTTAAAATCAATAGGTTAAACGTCTGAAAATCGCGATTTTTAGTTCAAGAAAATTGGCTCTCCGTGCCGCTCCGAAATCGGCTGCCGAACACCCGCCATGTTGCCTCAGTGGCAGCGCGGACCATACCATTATTCTAAAGGGTGATAGCGTTGTACAATAAACCAACAGAGAGAGACGCGGCCGGGGTCGCCAGTGTTAAAAATATCTGCAAAGACTAACAATTTAATGCTGTGTTTACGCTGCAATTGCCTTTGTTGTTTAATTTTCTTTACTTGCTCGTTGGTATTTACATTATTGTATAATATTGCAAGACAAGATAATGTCATTACCTACACACCCCTACTTGAAATGGTGTAGTCCAAGCTTTGTGCGAAGTCAAGATGGCGGACAACGGCCGTGCAAGTTAAGGTCATTTTTTTCGCGTGAAAATACGATATTTTTAACAACGAAATGGAAACTCAATCCAATGGAAATTCTCTTTTATTGTATGTTTCACAATTATATGCCCTTTTTGTCAATTCAGAATGTGTTTTGGATGTGTTGACGGTGTGTTGACGCTTCTGTCATGTGTTGACGCTGTGTTGACGCTGTGTTGACGCTGTTTAGTGCGACCCGTTGTGTGGGCGTAGCCCCATAAATGTGGATCAAATTCTGAACACGCAAATGTTGGTCAACTGGTACGCATATCGAAATTTGGAGTAATTGCAGAATACCCCGCCACTCGGAAATACACCCCTAAAATCACTGGCTACGAGGTTGGAATCACTGGAAAAGAAACAATTCAAGTCCATTGCCAGCTACGCGGATACTGAGTGGGGGTCCATTATTTGAGAACGAAGCAACACAAAATGAATGGGAGTTGCTGAAAAAAATTCTAAGTCCAAACCAACCACCCTGTTGGCGGCTACGAGGCTACGGAGTGGGAGTCCCCTTGAATATGCTTGAGAACGAAGCAACACAAAATGAATGGGAGTTGCTGAAAAAAATTGTAAGTACAAACCAACAACCCTGTTGGCGGCTACGAGGCTACGGAGTGGGAGTCCCCTTGAATATGCTTGAGAACGAAGCAACACAAAATGAATGGGAGTTGCTGAAAAATATTGTAAGTCCAAACCAACTACCCTGTTGGCGGCTACGCGGTCACGAAGTGGGAGTGCAATGGAGCATGACGCATAGTACATACAAGTAGCGCTGAGAATGTTTATTGAGGTCAACCAACCGTGACCTCGTAGCCGGCTACGAGGTGGATAGATCGAGTGGCGGGGTATTCTGCAATTGTGCCCAAAATTTTAATGTGCCTAATCAAAGCCCCCCCCCCCCCCCCCCCCCCGCAAATATGCGTACGAGTTGGCTTGCATGTGATTCTGTACGTACATTGTATACATGCATGGTATTATGGGGCTTGCTTGCGTACTTTTAGTTGATTCCGACGTCCGAGTTGGCTTGCGTACAAGTTGACCTGTTTCGCCTCACACCAGTGATAGCAAGTACAAGGAAAATATTTTTTAAGGAAATTGAAATTGGGACTTCCCCCCCCCCCCCCCCCTCAATTAGAGAGAAGATAGTTTAGTTACATGAACAGTGGAACGCCGCTATACCGAAAACCGCTTTACTGAACACCGCTATACCGAACACCGCTATACCGAATGTCATTCTTGGCTCCTGGTTCTAATGTACAAAACGTACCAAACATTGTTGTTGAAAAAGTCAACAGATTAACAAAAAATCTACCAGTTGTATTAAACGCTGTTTGAGCCACTTTTAATTCCCTAAGTTCAAATGACCCATAGTTACATTGGTTCGAATGTTGAAGAATGATACATGTAGATGCCTATTTTTTCCCCAAGGAATAGAAGGGAAAACCACATTGGCTGTGGGATGTGAGAAATGCCAGTTCACTATTGGTCAAAAGAAGGTACCAGCGGTTCAAAATCGCTACCGAACAATCATTGTTATGAACACTTTCTGTGGATCCCGCGATGATCGTTATAGCGGCGTTCCAAATAAATGCCAGAAATTTGTTCTGAAATATAATAGAATTAAAAGGACCAATTCACAGTCAGCACATTTTGTTGATCACATTTTGTTTTCATTAATTGCTTTGGCTATTTTGTCAACATTCTCGTTATTCTTGCCTCCTAGATTATAAATTGTCTCACCACGTCAGAACATTTCCAAGATAAAATAGCATCTACATGTACACTCAAGAAAATGTTTAAACTTGTGCGTTTGTAAGTTGTAGTTGTACTTCTGGATTACTGCTCACAAAACTATTTTCTTGTTTCTCCTGACCACAGTGGGCTGGCTTACAGAATCTCAGCCGAGCATGTGTCATTTCGATGGATGAGCCCGACTCATCCAGTCTGAGAGAAGCAATCCAGTGGAGGGGACAACCGAGGGAGAACCCAGGCGGATCCTTTGATGTCCTGGTGGCCTACGACTCGGACATACAGCTGCCGGAGTCGGTGAGCGACCGGACCAACAGGAGCGAGGAGACTTTGAGAGAGCTTGCTGGACTCTCTGAAATCAGTTTGCCTGCAGACACCTCAAGACAGGATTACCAAGAGGTATCCGTCGTAGAGAGTGGCGAAGTTGGTAACATTCGGGAAGTGCCAGTGAGAGACGTCGACAGTGATATTGGCGTCGGAGGAAACGCTCCTCTAAGTAGAGTACAAGTTCCTCTTGAAACTCAGCACCAGTTTGACCTGTTCTCATCAGCTTCTGTTCCATCGTCGCCTGATACGTTGACTTCCCCTGTGCGACCGACAGCTCCACTGCGCCTGAACTCGTCCGACCCTCTCGTCCAGGGGGACAGAAACTCCGCCCGGTATCTGCGGATACTCGTGCCGCAGCAGGACACTGGTTCCCAACCGCTCTTTTCCTCAGGTTTTGATCACACCAACCCCGTCTACAGCAGGAACACATCCCACAACTTTAGCGAGGGTGAATATTTTGATAGTCTGCCCAGCACCGCGGAGAATCTACTCCTTGAAAGCCCCTCGGATTCCCCGGCCCACTTCAGCCAACTCCGCCTGACCCTGAACAGTGTCGAATCCGACGGAGAGACCTTCCTCTCTCTGGATGACAGTACCAGTGAGCCACAGCCACAACCTTGCCTAAACAGCGGCTTACACGTACACAAACCACCATCCAGACAGCACAGCCGTCAGCCAAAAGTCCCCAATTGGCAGAGCAAAGCACCCGAGAAGGCACAACATTTGGAAAGTGGTTTAGAGAAGGAACTGCGAAGATTGGTGGTGGAGATCTATTCTGAGAAGGCCACAGAGTTTGTTCCTATCGCTGGGTTGCTGTCAGGCAGCCGTCCTTCAAAAAGTAGCACAAGTCAAGGTAAATTAGACGGCCAGTGTACAATTTCAGAGTGGTTCTCCAAAGTGGCATCGTGCCAAAATGTACTTAAGAGCAACTCAAGTTGACCCAATTACAATTCATTTTCAGATACAAGGCGAACGTAATGGACTTACTCTCAACTGACTGGACTTTGGAGTCAAATGACTGCAAAAGTCAATCGGTCAGATGATGTCACTGAGGACTGATTGTTTCAAACATTGAACTTCATTCTAATATTTGAAATAATCGAGCCCGACTCTTGAATGCCAGGCAAAAACAGGTGTTATTTTGACGAGTAAACCTGAAATGTGGCACGATGGATATAGATAAGGTGCGCATTTACGAATAATATGGGAAAAAGTACCCGATTGTAAGGCCAAAAAAAAAAATATTCGGTCTCTGGTCAGACCAAAGTTCCGGAATTGACGCGGCGACGTGGCTTCTTTTTTTTTCCTTCAAGCTTGGATTGGACAGACAAGGTGGGGTACTATTTTGCTTTTTTGGTGTCCTCATGTACATTGGTGTCCTCCATAATTTGCCTTGGTGCTTTCGATCATTTGCCTTGGTGCAATTTCCCATTCCTTGGTGCTCTTTGGTAAAAAAAATTGAGGAGGTGTGGCAATAGAGGGCGCTGTTGGAGCTACCGCGGAACATTTTGGAAAAAAAAAGATAGACGCGCATGATTAAAATCGACGCGCGCGCTGACCAGAGACCGACTTATTTTTTTTTTGGCCTAAACTGCAACTTTAATGAGCGTCATAAACGTGAAATATGTCCTATGTTTTGTTTTCCATGTAGCCTGGTTTTCATTTTTAAATTCCCCTCAAATGACATTCAAAACCTTTCTTTTACATTTTATGAGAAATTACAAAGTAATTTGTCAAGTTGGCTACGGGTACCTGATTCCGTAATCTGGAACCGGTTTCTGACAATAGCAGTCAGGTACTCATGGTACATGGTAGCCAAATTGACCAATCAACAGCTTAGTTCACCTTTCTGATCGAAAGACGTCACAATTTCTAAAGTTGACCCGATTGGTTGGTGCGTTGGTCGCATAAAATTAGCATGCAAGGATATATCAGACATTCGTTGTGTGGCCGCCTCTGTACACATGAATGTCTGATGTGGTGGCGCACCCAGGATTTGGCTGGGGGGGGGGCTCACAATTTTGTTTTTCAAATTTTTTATAAGTTTGAATTTTTTTTCAAAAAATGTTGCCCAAAATGTAGTTATTTTTTTATTTTTTTTATTTTTTTTTGGGGGGGGGACTATTTGACGTCAAAAATAGGCCACATACATATCACCAAGGGCAAATCATGGAAATTAATATCAAAAAAATTACCAAAAAAACCCCAAAAAACACCCACCCCTTTATGGGTGCGCCACTGGTCTGATACCCAGACTACAGGCTCTCTTGCATAGGCTGCAAAGTGCTATCTACATGTAGAAGTCCATACATTGATCATATTTAAATAGTACATGTATACTTATTTCCCGTATCAATTGCTTTCTTTTCCCGCATGAATAAACCCACGTTTTCCTTCTTCCTTGTTAGATAAGCCATCTGACACCATGGGAGACAGTCACCCAACTTTCGTTCACTACCAAGATGGAGTGCCACCATTAGAGGCCATGGTTTCTGGAACACCAGCCGATATTCCTCATATGGAAATGGAGGGTGATATACATGTAAATGGTACGCACACATGAAAACCTTGTTTAGAATTTTTGCTGCCAGGTAAACCTTGGAAGAAATTTGACTGTTCAGATTTTCAGTTGACCCTCATCAAGTACAAAATACTTGGTGCTTTCACAGATAAAATCCTATGCTGAATTTATACTTGACCTCATTTTTATGGAAGCTAACCCTAACCTCCAGAACTCCTTCAAAATCCATCCCCCCATTTTGGTGGATTTTGGGGGACTTGGTCCTGCAGGCCTGGTTTGACTAAATATTGATGGAGTATGATGGATTTGGGCCTGGAGGCCTAAAGCAAAGCATGCATTGGAAGCAGTGGTTGATGGATTTTGGCGGACTTGGTCCAGCACTTAGTAAAAGACAGTAGGGAGTTGGAGTTAAAAGTGGAAAATCTAAGATCTTCAGAACTACAGGCATCACACCGTCAAATGTGGTCTCAAATTAAAGGGGACAACAAGACCTTTCATTAGAGTGGTGTGCCTTTGAGATGGACTATGTATTTCTTTTATCAAAACCCATTTTTTTTTTAATTATGAAGTTGAAAAAAGAAAATTGACTTGATTGAGGCTTGAACCAGTGACCTCCGGATTACCGTTCCGGTGCTCTACCAACTGAGCTAGCCAGCCCTAAGCTTAGTTGGCGGTGGCCCATTTTGTCAATGTCTTTGTTCAATGGGGGCTAGTCAGAAGGCCCTAAACCTGTATATGCCATGTTACCATGGGTTATCTCAGTTGGTAGAGCACCAGAATGGCAATGTTTGAGAAGAATTGCAAATAATGCTATCCGGTTCGTTAGTGCCACTGATTACTCGCGCCCATTGGATAAACATTCGAGTTGCGTTAACTTCCGGTTCCATTCATGCTATGTGAAGTACGCATGATTGAATTGAGATGACGTCACACTAACAAACCGGATGGAGTTGTACATGTAGATGACCCGAAGACGGCATTGCTATTATTTTTGTCTTGCCTGAATAAAGTTCAGGAAAGAGACCATGCAATCACTACAATGTATGTCTTTACGTATATGTACAACATGTACAATGTATGTGGTGTTTTCGTTAAAGTTTCAAAAAATGGGTCTCATTTGAAAAGTTGAAGCCCAATTGAAACCAAATTTGGGTCATAGATGGGTCATTCCATGTCAGACCAACGCACTTTTTTACCTCATGTCTTCCGATTTTAATAAAAATTGCTGTGCTTGTAGGTCCTAATGAGCAATGAATGCACACCAATTTTTAGCCCGATCCGACCTACCATGTGGTCAGGGCAGAAGCCACAAAAAAATGGAATTTTTAGAGTAAAATACCACCCTTTTGGTATAAATATGTCGAAACTATTGCAATTTTCATCGAATATATGTGAATTTGGTATTAAAATAATGAGGATTGCATGCTCAAATCACTTCTTTTGTCAAAATTAAATTTTGTGAAAAGTAGGTCACGTACCTTTAATATGCTATTGTGACCTTTGACCCAATTTTTGTAATAATGTATCATTCCGAAAATCAACGAAATAAAAATAACTTGCTAGAGCATGTCTTCCTCTATCAGAATCTACTAAAAATCAGTTGGGGTCTTCAAAATTTATAACTTTATGACTATTTTTGTACAGTTGGTAGGTTACAAATGAGTCAATTTATAGACTTTACATAAGAAATACACCAACACAACTTACTATTCTGTTTCTTAAGTTAATAAAATTTATCTAGATTTTTATGTATAAAGTACAAAGCCAGGAAAAACAAAATTCTACCTTCTGATTCCAAAGAAACTGTCTAATCAGAATATTTGGACTCGGAAGTGTGCTAACCACTAACAGTAACCAGGCCTTCACCCAGTACAGCGGACTCACGTCCAGGTGAAATTCATCTCAAAGGAACAAAATGCCAAGTCTGTGAGAGTCATTAAAGTTCAAGAAGCACAGTGATGAATAAGTAAAGGTTACTTTGATTGTAATATTAAGTATTATCTTCAAGCAAACTTGAATCCTAGACCCTGATTAGTCCATCTATAGCAACAACTGTGTGATTTTATATAATATTGCACAGCTATATTGCACCCCAGATATTAAAAATGTACGTGTACATATGTTGTGTTATTTTTACAGAAATTTGAACCAAAAAAAATTTATGACGCCCCCCCCACCAAAAGCCAAATCCTGGGTGCGCCACTGCTGATAATTTACACTATGAGTCTGGTTAGACCTCATCAGCCCTCAGAATGAGAAATTCACAAACCAAGATATATTTTAGAAACTTTAGAAACAGAATAGTAAGTTGTGTTGGTGTATTTCTTATGTAAAGTCTATAAATTGACTCATTTGTAACCTACCAACTGTACAAAAATAGTCATAAAGTTGTAAATTTTGAAGACCCCAACTGATTTTTAGTAGATTTTGATAGAGGAAGACATGCTCTAGCAAGTTATTTTTATTTCGTTGATTTTCGGAATGATACATTATTACAAAAAATGGGTCAAAGGTCACGATAGCATATGAAAGGTCATGTGACCTACTTTTCACAAAATTTAATTTTGACAAAAGAAGTGCTTTGAGCATGCAATCCTCATTATTTTAATACCAAATTCACATATATTCGATGAAAATTGCCATAGTTTTGACATATTTATACCAAAAGGGTGGTATTTTACTCTAAAAATGTCATTTTTTTGTGGTTTCTGCCCTGACCACATGGTAGGTCGGATCGGGCTAAAAATTGGTGTGCATTCATTGCTCATCAGGACCTACAAGCACAGCAATTTTTATCAAAATCGGAAGACATGAGGTAAAAAAGTGCGTTGGTCTGACATGGAATGACCCAGATGCAACATGGTAACCTTCATATGATCATGATGATAAAGGTCACGTACCGAGGTCAAGGTAATCTGAGGTCAAATTGTAAAACAGGCTGACAATGTAAAATTGGTCTCATTTGAAAAGTTAAAGCCCATGTGGAACGAAACTTGATTCAAAGATGCAACACCAATGTGAGACGCGTAGTTCTAGAACCACCTTGTTTATTGTACATTTAGTTTTGCCAATATTTCAATTTGCAGAAAGTAAGTCAGGTGTCCCTGGAGGTGAGCACCAGCAGCCAAGTGGAGTCACGTTGACCTCCTTGTCCAGCCTCTCATCCACGGCCGATGCCTTGGCCTTACAACGCTCTGTTATTGGTAAATGGCCAAGTTTTACAAATCAGCTCTGTTCATGTTCATGAGGAGGAGAAGTCCTGTTGCTTGTTGTTTTTGAGTCATTATTATTACAAGATCTGGTAATTTGTGGAGGGTCAGCACTAAATTATAGCAAGCTGATTTTGAGGTCCTTTTAAAATCTTTCAAAAATACACGTTGTAAACAGTCCTTTATTATTATTATCATTATTAGTCTATCATTATTATCATTATTCATGGTTTATTGTATCAAACTTTCACTTCCAAAAGGCTGAATCCCAGTTTAATTTATAATAATGACTTTAAAAATGGTTATACATTAAAATTTTGTTCTGTACTGCCCCAAACCGCCCTGCTTAGTACTCCTGGTACCGCCCAAACCACCAAGCACTGTAGCGTATGGATATTTCAGGAAACATTTAGTAAAGTGCTTATATGTCACATTTAACTGTCTACAGTTGATGTTAACAAAATCACTGTTACTTTTGTGATGCCACTTTCAACAAAAAACTTTAGGATTACATACATGTACTTGTAAATTTTCACCGATATCATACAGATATTTGCTATGAAAACATGTACACGTACAAATTTCTGATTTGCTTTGCACATTTTAAAACTGCCATATTCAGGTTCGAGCCCAACGAAGCCAGCATCGATGGAAGAAATAGCAGCAGCAATTGCCGTAGCTGAGAAGCAGTACCGTCAGAGACTGCAGCACTACAAGCAGCAGCAACAGCAGCCACCCAACCAGGGTCCTGAACAACTTCCCAATGGCAGTCCGGCCTTTAACACGGTACGGAAACAGCCAAAAACATATTTACTTTTTTCTAGCTATTATCTGGCACACACTTCTTTAATCAGTAACAACTGGAAAATGGAACTCAGCTGTCCAGAGGAATTTTTCATCTTACTACATGTATATTCTCACCGTAACCCCCAGTACTTCCTCAGGACTAGCCTGCTAAAATCCAACAGAGTCCAACCGGACTTTCCTGTTCAATTCACTGTCTGCTGAATCCAACGGAGTCCAACAATGCGTTATAATGCGGTTCAGTTGCCTGCTGAATCCAACATTTTGCATGAGGAATGTACACAAGGGGTTAACTGCTCAATCCAACAGGCTCCATCCATCGGGTATGTGACATAGTTGGATCCTGTTGGATTCAGCAGGGTTAAGGTTAATACATTCCCAGTTCCTTCAGATTCCACAAGGGAGGTTCTGGAAGATTGTATAGGATTGAGAAAAGATCTAGAGCCTGGTCACTACTTCATTTCATGGTGCTTGATGCCTCGTAAATATACCCGGAATGGGCCATTGGATTTATAAATAGTTAGGGATTAGGATTAGGGAGGATTTGAGTTAATCCTTTAGCAGCACCATTAACATCTGATTCAATATTCAAATGACTTGATTTTTTTTTTTTTGATTTTTTTTTTCAGGACAACCTGGATGAAATGCCAACCCGCCTTCCAGCAACCCCACCAAGACAGGCATCGGACACTGAGGACAGCCTGAACCAAACAGATCCTAACATTGGACCCACCACCGCCTCCTCGCCAGGAGCACCTACAAAAACAAAATCCTTACCAGCTACTGCAAGGGTGCGTCCTGGCTCCCTTGTCGCACAGAACACAGGACTTGCCATCAGCAGTGCTGTGGGGGCGAGATTCGGGCTGCCGCCCTCCCTCAATGATCACAGCCCTGCCCCTGTTGAGACAGGCAACAAGGAGCGCGTACTGTTCCGCAGCCCTGTACAAGCCATCACGACCTCCCGAGGTGGGAGAATGGTAGCCGTTCACAAACCCAATCACCAGAACGTGGACACCAAGGCATCAAGGGGTACCCCCAAGAAGGTTGACAACCAAGTCTATGCCTCCCCAGCTGAGATAAAGACATCCATAGCTTCTAAGAGTGGTGAACCATTACTAGACGCGAAGCCAAACAAGCTTGCGCAGAGCTTTGTGGCTGTAACGGCGGCCGAGGATCACTTTCAGGTCCAGGAGGTAGGCATAGAACCAAACTCAGAGGTCATTGTTACGAGAGACCCTCAGAGCCTTGGAAAGAGACACCTCAGTGGTGACGACAATCAAACCGCCGGAGCACACACACAGCTGGAAAATGCTCATCAAGCTCCTGAAATTGGATCAGTTCGAGTAAGCGAGGAAGACAAACCTAAACAGTCCTTTTTAGGATCTTTCTTCCATTGGGGTAAGAAGCAGGAAGCAGAACCCCAATCCCAATATGACTCTAGCCTTTCGGGTGTCTCACCTTCCAGCCCTGAATCCTCAGGCACTGCAGCGTTGCAGAACAATGCTGCGGATCGCGGTAAATCTCCATATGCAGGCATTGGGCAGCAGGCAGCTGCAGAAAGCCACGACTCTGGGATAGACTTAGTGCCGGCTGGAAGCAATGCTGGAGAGGTCTTTCATGCCGAGTTCGAACCAGTTCATGCCTCCACACCTGTCAAGTACAGACGTGGAAGTAATGAATCTGTTCCACGACAAGAGGTCACAACACCAGATGCTCCTAATAACCGCTTAATGAACTCTCAGCCTAAAGAAGTGGATTCTGATGATGAGACGGACTCTAGGATTCGAGCATCACTTCCAAGACCATTGAGAGAGACTTCCAGCCAGCATCACCCTATTATCCCTAGGGATAGTTCCCAGAGACCCAGTAAGCCTTTAGTCACCAGATCCAATCATGTGGGAAACAGCCTACCCGTGACCAATGTCCGGCGGAGAGACTTACACAAAATGCCCATGACATCACTTACGTCAGTTTATGGGTCTTTGAAAACTACAAGTCCTCAGTATGGTGTCACACCGGTTGATCCAGCGGATCTAGATAGTGTGTTACGTGAGAAGGCTAACCTGGAGGGGCGGCTGGAGACACTGGCAGCAGAGACAGAATCAGCTCTGCAGCAAAGAGCTGAGATGCAGACCCAGGTTGCCTCGCTCCAGGCTCAGCTCAAGGCACATGCCTCTGCTGCCGACACAGCCCAACAGCAGCTGTCTGCAATGAGCAATGACATGGTTACTGCCCAACAAAATCAGGCCCAGCTGGAGCAAGCCCTGGCAACACTGCAGACAAGCTTAGAGAACAAAGAGGAAGATTTGGACTCCTTACAGAGGGAGCTGGAAGCCTCGGAAGCTACCAGTCAGAGGCTGAATGGCAAGATGGAAGAGGTCAAAGAAGCCATGGAAACAAAGGAAGTCACCATCGCTGCATTGAAAGCCAAGATTGCTGCCGTGCAAAAGGAGGCTGAAAAGGCCCATCAAGAACGGACACATCATTTGGCTGAACTCAAGACACTGCAAGGAGACGTGGAATCACTGACTAGTGCCAAGGAATGGTTTCAAGAACAGTTGCAGACAGCTCAAGAAACGCGTAATAAGCTCCAGAAGGAGCTCACTGAGACGCAGATTCAGACCAAGAAGCAAGGGGCAGCCGTGGAGACCCTCAAAGCTGAGAAGGCACAGCTCCAGCACCAACTATCTGAGACGCAGCAGCAGGCACTCAAGGAGAAAGAGCTGATTGCCAAGCACCTGGAGACCATTGAGGCAGACTTCCTGGCTCGCGAGGCTGCCTTCCAAGACCTCCAAAAGGAGAAAGTGGCTGTTCAGGAAGCCGTTGCCTCCAGAATGGACCAAATGAATGAAGAGAGGACCAAACTTTCTAACTTGATCGCAAACTGCGTTGAGCTGGAAAGACAGTTGGATAGGACTCAAAAGGAGTTGGCAGATAAACAAGCCGATGTTCATAATCTTGATGCTGAAAAGAAAGAATTGGTCAAGAGACTTGCTCTGGTGCAGGTAAGAAATGAAATCCAATTTCAACAAAAATTTAAATTTCAAAAAATGAGTACCAATGACATGTGTATTAAGTTAAGTATTAATTTTTGTCAACTGAGCTTTATATTTTACTCTTTTATTTTAAAAGGAGTCACTCCTTTCTCGAGATAAGGAGTTAGAGGCGCTTCAAGAAAAGTGTATTGACGCTGAGGCAAAAGTGCATGAACTCCAAAGCAATGCATTGGAACAACAGGAGTCTTTGCAGAACCACCGGGCTGAGAAGGCTGCCCTGGAAGCTGCCCTGGCAAAAGCCAACCAGGAGAAGAGGGCCTTCGACGAGGCCCTCCAAAACCTGAGGCAAGACATGGGAAAGGTGGAGAACGGTTTCAAACAGATGAAGCAGGATTTGAGCCAGAAGGATGCTCAGATGGAGTCCTCACTGCGGGACAAGGAGGAGCTCCAAATGTACCTGAGAGATGCTGAGGAGCAGCTGAAGTACAATCAGCAGAGCATGGACAACTACCAGGAAGACATGAGCAGCAAGGAGGACGTTCTTGCGGAGCTGAGCAGAGTCAAGAAAGCCTTGGAAGACGAAGTTGCATTGCTGAGTCAGCACCTGGAATCCTCCAAGAAGGCCAACCAGAAGTCCCAAGCTGTCAGGGCTGGCCTCCAGGAGGAGCTCTCTGAGAGCCGGGATGAGCTGAAAGAGCTGGAGACCCAACTGGAGTCAGCGATGACGGAGAATGCCCACCTGGAGGGTCAGCTGGAGATGATGGCCGATGAGCAGCAGCGCTTCTCCAACCTCCTCGACGAGAACGCCAAGCTAAAACAAAAGCTGGCCGAGACGCAGAGTTTGTCTCACAGGGAGCTGGCCGATGAACGGGCGAAGGCATTGCGTCTTGGATCCGACCTGGCTGCCACCCAGAAGGAGTTGAAGGAGAAGCAGCGCGTCTATGAGTCTGCTGCAAGTGCCTTGACCAAGAAGCTGAAGGAAGCCATGGATGCCAAAGAAGTTGCTGAGGCAGACCTCCAATCACTACGTCGGGATGAAGCAGCCAGCAACTTAGAGTTGCAAAATAGACTTGCCAGTCAGCTGGAAGCTGCCAAAAAAGATCTTTCAGCTGCGCTGCGAGAAAGAGATGACCTGATGAGGCAGCTTGAAGGGCTGAAACAACACATGGAGGAGGAAACGGCAGCATACAAAGAGAAGGTGGCAGAGCTGGAAAACCAACTTCAGGTACAATGTTGTCTGTGAATGGACCGATCCAGTAAGCCCCTCCCACTGCGCACGTGGGCAAATTAACATGTGCTCCTCTCCAATGCCGCACGCATGTCGGACATAAATCACGGCTGTGATTGGTCAGAATACCATGGGGCGGTGCTTACTGGATTGGTCCATTTGTGGAGGGTCAGCATCAAATTATAGCAATCTGCTTACTGGATCGGTCCCTTGCACTTCTGTTTTTGTGTTTGTTGAAAATGGAATTTAAGGCAGACATGTGGCAAGTCACTATTATGAAACACTTTTTGAAGTCTCTCTCTAACTGCATGCATTTTTTAACAACGTTTGTGTATTAAAGGGAATGAACAACATTTGCTTTTGCTGCAATTTTCAGAAATAAATGGATTTGGAGGATTAGTATGTTATAGCAAATATTGTTAAACTGACTTGTTTCACGTTTTGGGCTTGTTGATGCTGGAAAAACCAAAAAAACAATCATGTTCTTGTAATCTGGTTTCCTGACCTTAATTAAGATGAAACGGAGCAATTTATAGACTTTGGGGAATTGTAAGGTCATGTAATCAGTCTCGCAGGCTTGTACCCCTTCACAGGTGTGTAATCAATTGCAAAGAAAATGCGGAATAACTAAATATGACAAGGAAAAAGCCAGTTTTCTCAAATGTGGTCGGCCAACCAGTGTTTGAAAAGTACAATTTTTCTTGAAAATGTCAGCATACCAGGAGCCACGATTTTACAGGATGCTTTAGACTGTCATTCCCTAACAATCCAGTAATGTATTTCGTGATAATTTTTATCATTTCATGGTCTGATGTTTGCGAACGTTGTATCTTCCATTTAACCTGATAGTGCTCCAGTAAATTTTCACAGAAAGAAAGGTAAACCTTAAAATAGTGCAGAAATATTTTGATTGACGATTCATTTAATGACATTTGCCCCATTCCAGGCTCTGAAGGCTTTGTGTGAGCAACAACAGAGAAACGACGATGCCAATCGCAGGATGGCTCTTGACCTTGAAAGGGAAAGAGGAAGGCTGGCAGGTGGGTGTAAAGAAAATAGCAAACTTTGCTGATGAAAGTGATATCATTTTCTGTCTAGACCATATCATTTGGTCACAGTATTGAGTTTTATAAATTAAAGTAGGTTTCCAAGTGGTAAAATTGAATAAGATTATTGCATACTTTCGAAAGAGTACCCGGATGACTTTACTATTGTTTTATTGCAAAGACATCTGGGCATTTTATGGTATCAACACGCATTTTGCTGGTGTGCAAACAAAATTGAGACTGACTAAATATGGTAAATTGCGGGCAGTATTTGAAAAAGCCAGGTTTTTTTTCCAACGCTGGTCGGCCGACCAGCGTTGGAAATTGATACAAATATACCAGCACACTATAAAACACCATACCAGCCACCATAAAAATGTCAGCAAACCAGGTGCCATGATGTTACAGGATGCTTTAGACTGTCATTCACTAACAGTCCAGAAAGGTATTTCATAATAAAATATGGTAGTTGCGATTGTTGATGTTTGCAAATTTTGTATGTTCCCTTAAATACTTTTGACTGGTTCTCTGCTGATTTTTATAAAGTACATATATTTTCTACTCAGCAATATTTTCTGCTCAACAGCTTTATGAAATTGGTCCCTGGTCAAAGACTTGTTATCCCCTGAGCTATCACGGATCCTCTTTTGAAACATTGCACATTCCCCATATCTAGAATATTGATTTGGACAATCTGCTTCATGATCTCCTTCGCAGGTGTCCAGCAGAGTCACTCAGCCCTGAAGCAGCACGCCAACCTCCTGGAGGCAGCCCTGGGTCGCCGGGAGACAACGCTGGCTGAGATGGCTGCCCAGATGACCTCCAACAGCCAGGAGAATGCGGCCGAGGTGGACCGACTCAAGGCCAAGCTGCGGGAGGAAAGCCAGGCACTCAAGAGAGAGAAGGGAGCCGGTAAAGATCTTCAAAAGCAGGTAAAGACTTGCCTTCTGAAAGGATCAAGCGCAGAGCTAAGAAGCAGGTTAGGCCTGTCTTTTGGAAAAGAAGCAAGCAAGGAACATGAGACGCAGGGTTTACCACAGGGAAAGTTTCAAGCCGAGAAGTCAAAAGCAGGGTTACTTGTCCAAGGAAACTTCAGTAAAAGTTTTACTCGTCTTCAGTAAAGAAGAAAACAAAACGTCGGAAGTAAGTTGCTTGTGTTGGGGAAGGAAGCGAACGTAGACAAATCAAAAGTAGGGTTCCTTGTCTGGGGGGAAGAAACAAGTAGAAAACGGCAAGGGCGGATCGGGGGGGGGGGGGAAACAGGGGCCATGAGCCCTTCCCAAAACGAACCCAATTGGTTTTTTTTTAAGTGACGTCGCAATACAGGCAGGCACTGTGTATACCACCATCTTTTTCTCAAAAACAAATTTTGTTAAAGTGGTCAGAAATTGCCTCAGATCGCACCACAGAGCATCTACAAAACAAAAACAAAAAAAATTTGGCCCCCCTCCCCAAATTTTGTTCAAGTGGTCAGAAATTGCCTCAGATCGCACCACAGAGCATCTACAAAAAAAAAAATTTGGCCCCCCCCAAAAAAATTTTGTTCCAGATCCGCCCTTGGAAAACAGTTGCTTTTTATGGGAAATTTATATATTTTAACCAAAGATTGGTAGAAGTAGGCATTGTTCACAACGGATAATTATCAATGATAGCAATACAATCCTTAGATAAAGTCAGTAAAGAGTACAACCCTTTGTTAAAACTTTATGATGAGATTTGTTGGATTAAATATTTCAGGTTGCATCAGGGAGGGCAGAGATTGGTAGACTACAGCGCGACATCCAGGACCAAGGGGCAGTACTGGAAGAAACAAGAACACTACAAGACAAACAGGCTGAGGAGCTACAGGCAGTCCAGCAAGAACTGAATCGGAGCATCCAGGTGAGATATATAGTTAGTGCTGTAGGAACGCAGTTGAAGTACTCAGGTTTATAGCTTCATTCAGTAAAACGTGATTCGAGCGAGCTTTAGTCACGGCATCAGGAAATCAATGAGTGGCCCAAAAAAGTTTACACTTTTTCAGATGAAGATTTCTTGGACTCGGGGAGACATGGTAAAATTGTTTTAAGATATTCCTGAACTGCAGTATCTTTGTGGTATATCGTGAAAATGGATTGCAAAAAATACAACCTAAATTAAGAAATGGTGATGGTTTAACGAAAGATGGTCAAAAACCAGTTTGTCCACACGCACCTCTATATGGTCAACACAATAGCACTGTGTCGTGCTCAAAGAACTGCAAAGAGACCTTTTTACATTATTTTAATTGGAGTATTCAGGTGACCATTATTAACGGGTGAATTTTTCATAGGAACATATTTTGTGCAACTTTCTACTCCTCTTAAATGTATGGAAACTATTTGACATCCCCTTTTTGATTTATTTTGTTGAAAAGTGCATTTCTTCAAACATTGGCAATTGTCCATGCTTTTTCGGACATCTGAGGGCGCTGTTGCTATGATGTCATTTCAGGAAGACACTGTTCAGATAAGGGGTTTCCTGTTCAATTTGTGAACCCAAAAATGTGCTCATTGAAAACATTTGTGAGAAACGTTTGCTCACTGGCTTACTGCCATGTACTGACACTACAATAAATCACCACAGAAAAGAAAATTTATGACACCAAAATATCAAAAATTGGGCCAGACATTGAGGTTTCTGCCTGAAATGACACTACACTTTTGCTCATGAATATTGATATTTGCATTACCACAAAAATAAAAAAAGCACCAATATACCCTTGAAAGCGGCAAAACAATAATTGAAAATAAGGTTAAATGGGACGCAAAGGTGCATTTTCATTGATTGCATTAAAAAAATTACATTGCATGGGCCCTTTATAACAAGAACTCTAGCGTATGAGACACGGCATGCATGCTTTTGGTTCCCTTGTTCCTTTTAAGATCTCACAACTACAGAGCATTTCCCTTTTTTTGGGAACTGATTTCTACAGACTTATTGGACTATACCCCTAACCCCCTAGAGTGATTTACTGGGAACCTTTTTTACTCCTAAAAATTCCAACACGATATGATAAACTGTACACAAAAAGTGTTGCCCTCTGATTATTGGTGGTACGCCTGACCCAATGTATAGCATAATCAGTTTACTAGTGCAGTACTCACTCTAACAGATTCCAACAAACCCTGGTGTTGGAGTTCGACTGGATGGGAATTGTTAGGAAAATACTACTTTTAATCTGAATGCACATAAAGGCATTTTGTCGTCAAATGGGTGCTTGGCGCACTGCCGCAGTGGCTTTCCAGTGTATGTTGTGTCTGTCTCTCAGTCAAGCTTGAAATTAATACTATCTATGTTTTTATTTCAATGCAAATAGTCGGAGGAGGAACTAAAGGCTGAGACGGATGAGGTCAGAGGTCAGCTGGAGGAGGCCAAAGGTCAACTAGGGCAATTGAAGCGACAACTCCTAGAGAAACACTCTAGGGATCCTGTAGTAGCCGAGCAAATCAAGGCAAGGAATGATCAGAGATGCAATTATTTCCAACTGCTATTTTACCTGTGACAGAATTTTTAGAGTTGCCGCACGATTCTGAAGAAAGTCGGACGAAACTATTACCAAAATGGTGGGCGGAGGTGATGCAATGACTGTTTTGTGACTGAACAAAATCACACACAAATAGCCGTCGAAAAAGGCTGTTATTATCCTTGGCCAAGGTGTTTAGATTACTTAAAACATTGTGCAGCTACGCCAACTGTTGTGAAATCAATCGTTAGCTTATTGTGCAGCTGCGCAACAAAAATTGTAGCGTAAGTCCTATGCATGGCGTAAGCTGCGCACTGTTTTGCGAAAATCGGCTGCTTATCCATTCCAATTTCTCTACCCTTTATGACACATACAACAGAGAGAGAGAGTGTGTCAGCATTTTCCAAAAGAAAGCAGACACTCTTGTTTTACTATACTCCCGAGGACAATGCCTTGTGTTTCCCTTTGTCCCTGTAATATAACACTCTCCCATAGACTAAGCACACGAACCTACCACAGAGGACCGTTTTGAACAAAAGACCCAACTCCCGAGGACTGAAAGTTCTCCCTTTGTTCTCCCTTTGTGTGTGGGTCCTCGGAGGGTTATGTAGAACACGTACAGGCATTCACTGTCGATAAACCCAACCCGAGTTACGTATTTCTTGAATGCTGATGACGAGAATGTGTGTGTATTGTGCTAATCTCGGCAGGCCTTGGAATGGGAGAGTGAGCAGCGAGGGCGTGAAGCGCAAGCCTTGAAGGAGCAGCTGGAGCTGGCCGAGCACCGACAGAAGATAGAGATGGACAACGCCCAGGCTACCATGCAGGTACATGGTCATGATTGTAATGGCTGGATACACAACGTAATTTAACTGGACATCATGCATAAACATAATTTTACACCATGCAGCCAACCCGTCAGAGCCATTTAAGGATAAATCGTGTGTACGCATTGTTTTGCTCATGCGAAAGCACGTGTAAGTTAATCCGTATCCGAAAGTACGGGCTTCCAGAGCTACGGCTACGTTTATTGTCAGCGCGTCCCCGCGTATTTTCAATGGGTGCAGACCTAGACCTAGCTTCAGATTTGGATCCTGATTTGGATGCAGCCTTACACAGATTGCATACAACTAATTTGTAATTGTGATGTGGGATAAGCTCAAAGAAGAATGTCCAACTTGGAATAAAATCGCTGAAAATTAGAGTACCCCAAAGTCACAATATCAAGATTCCAAAATACTTCTAGGGGCCAAGCATTGCCTGGAGTTGTGCATATCAATGCTCTAAATACCTTATCAAAACTTCATGCTAAAAATTATTGATTCATGCTTTAAATTCCTACACAAATAAATTTAATGGAAAACACAAGGATTCGGTTTTTGTGAGTTGTATACAAAAACTGACAGTTGAAAAAAAATCATAGCTTGCGATCAACTTTTTGGGTCACAGCTTTTGCAGTTGTCTTTGTCATTTTTAAACAAAAATATGCTCTGTATTTCAGATGGGACGAAAGGAGCTGGAGGCGTTGAAGGCGGAGCTTGCCGCCACACGGAAGGAGAAGTTTGCTTACCAAGGAAAGCTGAGTCAGTTCAAGTCAGCTCTCAAGGCCACGCTGCAACAAAACAAGGTTAGTAGACTAAGCCAGTGATAAGACAAGTACAAGTCATCACTTGAGGTGGAACCATGCTTGGTCATATGTGTTCTTAAAGCAAGGCACGTGTCCCATTTTGGTAATCATTTTGACGCAAGGGTGGTTGGACCGCTCTAATCGACTATTTGGAACCAGAGCATGATTTCCATCGGTGATTAAGCACAACGGCTAGCCAGGAGTTTTGACCATCGATGACTAGAAACTAGATTGTGGGTACGTGTGGTCTAGCGGTGGAGCACAGGATTCATGATTGTGAGGTTGTGGGTTCGAGCCCCGCCGTGGCCATGCATGTTGTGCCCTTGAGTAAGGCACTTTACCTCAATTACTCCTCTCATTCCAGGTGTTAAATGGGTACCGGCATTATTCAATGCTGGGAAGGTTTTTTTTTGACTACATGACCTGAACATGAGTATGGTTCCACCTCAGTAACGGCTTCGATTGAGGCCACCCAATTAGTCTGTAGTGTTGTTACGTAACCCTAACCCGCTTCCTCAGGACTACCCTGCTAAATCCAACAGAGTCCAACTGGACTTTCCTGCTCAATCCACTGTGCCTCATTTTCAGTTGTCTGCTGAATCCAACAGAGTCCAACATGGCGTTACAATTTGGTTCAGTTGCCAGCTGAATCCAACATTTTGCATGAGGAATGTACACAAGTGGTTAACTGCTCAATCCAACAGGCTCCATCGGGTATGTGACATAGTTGGATCCTGTTGGATTCAGCAGGGTTAGGGTTAAAGGCTTCATGAAATGAGTTTTGCACTGGAACATATTTATAGCAAATATCCATTCCTTTGAAATGTTTAAAAACTACGAGACATCCCTTGTTGGTAATTTGTTTTGCAAAGTGTACTGTTTCATGCTTTTCCTGACAACTGAGGGCGCTGTTGCTGTGATGTCACTTCAGGAACACACTCTTCAGATTAGGCTTTTTCTCTTCAAATTGTAAACCCCCAAATTCTGCTTATTGAAAACATCTGTGCCTAATGTGTTATCATTGTCTTACTGTCATATACTGAAACAAAAAAATGAAGGTTTTTAAAGTCATTTGTGGGGAATTTTCAAAATGAAAACCAGGCTATATGGAAAAACAATACAGATTCATGTTTATGAATCTTGGGAAAAAAATACAATTTACACCATAAAACTATAGAGCTGACTGTACACACTTGTATTTTGCTGTATGGATGCATTGAAGTGCTAGTATTATGGTGTGGACCTTTATGAACAATATAAACATTACTTCCGAGATTTAAATTTTGGGGCTGGGTTTCTTTAACTGGTACCCGGGTACCCGGTACGTACCCGTGTATTTTTTTCACTCGGGTGCCCGATTCCAGTACTACCCATGAATGCACAGCCCTACGTTCGTTACAGCATTTACATCTAGGTTTTCCTTTATTTGCTTGTACGTCATCAGTGTTTACGTTTTCTTGTCCCCAGCTTCTGAAGGCCAAGTTGAGATCCCGACAGAAGGACAAGAGTGCCACGCCCAACCCCAAGACGGCCTCCGGGCTGGCTGCCAGCGGCGACGTTACCATGGTACCGGATGACATCATGGTGCCGGAGATCAGCGTGGACGTCGAGGCGTTGCTGAGTAGTGACGACAAGGACGGGATCACCGCGGCCAGCAACAAGTAAGTATGGGACTGGCTGGCAATGCTCATGCATAAATGAGTTGATACGCTTATTTTGTTGGTCACTAGTCCTTGGAGTATGGGAGGGGAAAATGTGACCTGCTCCACAAAAAAGTGTAATATGTCGCAAAAATAGTGAAATTGAGTTAATAATTTGGGAGGCTAATCATCCTTATCGGCAGCTGGTATGCTCAATTGCTCCATGAGTACTTTCTTCTTTCTTCTTTGAACCCTCACCTGCAGTGTAGTTTTTGTACCATTGATGTGTCAACCAGTGTGTGGCAAACATTCATAAAATTCATAAGATAATTTTTCATGAGGTATTTTTTCCTAAGATAATTTGTCACTGTAAATCACCATCCAGACCCCTCTCTGCGTTACGAGGCTGCCTCCAGTCGGTGAAAGATCAGATGGGCGGTCTACAACAACAGATGGATGAACACACCTCCGCAGTCAACAACTCCTCCAAAGCATGGAAGTAAGCTGACAATCCATTCATTATATTACTTCATGGGTATGGGCTCTGTGCACAAGTACCCCTTCAATGGCCAGAAAAGGAGAGTTGGGGGAGACCTAGACTGGTTCCCAGTCCCTCCACTTTGTATTTTGAATGATTCAAAGTTATTGGGGGCTGGGATTAGTCTGGGAGACCATCGCAAGTTAAATTTGAACGTATTCACGCGCCGACGACGCCTGACCCTTGCGTGCAAAGATGCTATGTCTTTGCTCTGTGCACATTCAGGATAAATAAGTTGTGCCTGCTCCGTGCTTGAACCAGTACAGAACGCTTGAGTCCTAACCAAAGGGCTCTCAAAAGTTGTAAAAATGTGCCCTCTTTTGACGGCGCACTGAGCCTATAGTCTCCAAATAGGCCCATCCATTGAGCCAGGGTCATTAAAAAACTGTGAAAATACCCTTACAGGATTAGTCCTATATAAGCCCCATGTAAATGTCCGTGAAACATCTCTATAAAGTTCTTTTCACAGAGAAATGGACTTTTAATGAATTTTAAACGGATGAAGATGTTCATAGTGTAAGCCAAGTTATTCTTTCATTTAGGAGTGACAATTCGGTAAAGGGGTCATTGCCACAATGGTCAGGGGTAGCAGTACTCGATGGTACGTGTGCACCACTTAAAACCTTTCAACACCATTTTTGTATCACAGGGATGTGGAGTCCAAAGTTCGCGACCTGCGCAAGTCCTGCATGACCCCAATAGACGAGTCGTCGACCCCGCCCGCCGGCACCTCAAGACGTTCCTCACCAGCCACGCCCTCGACCACACCCTCGACCACACCTGCGACCACACCCAGAATGACACAAGCCACGCCCACAAACAACTCATCTCGGACAACTCCGGCCTCAATGACCTTCTCCAGCTTGCCCAATGTCTATGACATTTAACCTTTGAACTCTGACATTATGTGAATCGACTACCGCCAGTAAGTTTTATTTTTATATTTTTTAATTTTTTTTTCTTCATTTTTTGGTTTCGTTTTTAAGTTCAGATAACCAAGAAGGTGTGTACATGTACTTCTACATGTAACACCAGAAGTCTGTTATTTTTTTGTTAACTGTAAAGCCAAATGTCATAGTTGCCCAGAATACTTGATCAAACTTTCACATATGAATGATAGACTGTTTCCTCTGGAGCCATCTTGGAGGCACAGTGCTTTTGTTTCATTAATAAAAAAAATTTAAAAGGAAAAAAAAGATTAGACTGACATGAAATTAAAAAAAAAATTCCATTTGAAAATGTTTGGGTATTAACAAGACATTTTTATTCAATTTTAGGTGAAAACATTTTTAGACTTTTTTTTTTTTTAGTTTTGTTACTTTTATAGTGTATTTCATACCAACATAGTTGTAGTCAGTTCAAGTTGCTTAATTTGCAGGAGTTAATGTATTTTACCTTTTTTTTTTTTAATTTCATGAATTCTTCAACTATAGAATTAATTGCCTTGATTAGACGAAATCAGATCATTGGGCATTAAGCGTAATAGTGCGTTTTCTTGACCAGCGGCCATTTTGTGCCAGTACATTGGTTTGCCGCGCACGACAAGTCAAATAAGTGGTTGATCCATTGTATTTATTTATTTTTTAAGAATTCTTTTTAATTCTTAATTGATATCTGTAGCACCTAGGCTCTGGTTTGTAAGTTTAAAGTAGTAAAGTCTGTCCCGAGCCAATGTGGCTTATCAGGCCGGCGTTTATCTCCGGTTTCAGTAGCATGAAACGACTGAGAATATTTCTACTCCCCCTGGATGCGATGCTAGTCCATCGCAGGTTACTCCCCAGCTAATGCCGGTACCCATTTATACTCCTGGGTGGAGAGGGGCAAGTGGGAGTGAAGTGCCTTGCCCAAGGACACAATATATGACCAGCGACTGGATTCGAACCCCGGACCCTTATCATGAGTCACGAATCCTAACCACTAGGCCACACACTCCCCCGGTTTGTAAGTTTAGTCTAAAATAATTACATAAAAATGAGTAGAAAACATAACAAACTCTGCTGCAGTAAAAGGAAAAAAGTAAAAATTTAAAATAAAAAATAATTTGTTTGCATGAAATTAGTTATAAAATATATTACAAAATGTTATGAGTCTTAATGGTGCTGGTACCTACAATGTATGAACTTAGATGAACATTACATTAGGCTGAAATCATATATATCCACCAATGCAGAATACAAACAAATCTGATATTTTTTTACGCGTTTTGTTTCGAGAATGTATTTCATTTCTTTAGCTAACTACAAGTAGTTTCAGACCATTTCTTTGGAACCCTGAAATATGTCTAGAAAAAAAAAGGCTTTTTCTTGGAATTGTATAAAATACAAAATCTGTATATAGGAGCGAAATCTCTTCACTGTTGCCTGTTTTCATACCGTTATCTTCTGTCATGAAAAAACCCTTTCCAAATCAACTTATTTAGAGCCTTATAAATTTATACGTACGTTAAGAAATCGTTGTCGTAATAACAAGCTCATTTTGATGTGAGTAATTACGAATAGAATTGGATTAACTCGATCCCTTGCTTTAACCAGATTTAAAGTGAACAAAAGTAATCTATTGTTCCAAATGTTGGAATCTTTAGGTTTTAGTTTGATCATGTTTGGTTCAGCAGTGTGCTTAAAGATAGAGTTGACTGTTTGCAGCTATCCGAAAAGTAATCGACCAAATTATTGTTAGAAAGCTTACTTGGTTTAACGATAGTTAAGGCACTAAACTTCCTGCGAAACTATTCCTTCTTGCATGCTGTCACTTTGAAGAAATCTACTAAAGAAGGTCATTTCCAAAGATGTGTCAAGTGACGCATATTTGGAAGTTTCTATTTGTAGTTTGTTTGTAATTGGGCGAATCCTAAATGGGTGTAAGTGTCAACACAACATGCAGTTGCTATGATCTGTCGGTTCAGTGTGTGACATCACGTGCTACAATCGGCTGAATAACAATCATGTTCCGCATGCCGATTTCGGGACTGTGTTACCAGAGGGCGCTATTCTAAATATGACTAGGCAACTTTTGGATAAAAAAATCAAGATCCAGAATATTGTGTTTTCTCGAAATAAATACAGCATTCACGGAGCTAAACAGCTCATCGGGTTACTTGTTAAGCCCCCGTCTTTAGATTTTGAGCACTTTTGTTGCTTCAAAAGAAAAAAAAAAATGCACAAATGACAAACGGTCCATTCTACCTTTAAAAGGCACTCGAAGGGATGTAAATACATGTACTGTTGAGTTAATCTCCATCATGTATCATAGTTACATGTAGTTAAGAGTCGTAATAAGATTCCAACAAGTAACAATTTTAAAAGCATTGGAATACCCATAAAGCTTCCCACAAAAAATATCTGAGAATGAGGGATAAGAATGTTTTTGAGTTTTTTGCCCAAATATCACATTTTTGTTTTAAGAACAGGAACCAGTTTCTGAACCCAAAGTTGCTAAGCCTACACCATTGTTGTCTTGGTTAAAAAATGTGACCCGTCACCACGAAATGAGCGTCAAGTCGGAAATTGCCATTTTGCAGTACAGTGGGGCAAAGCCAAAATTTGAAGGGGCGGTCGATTTTTGGTTTTCAAGTAAACCATAATCTTTAAGTCCTGTTTGACCTTTCTCTAATTTTTTTTTTTTTTTTTTTTTGCTCTGTTAAACATCTTTTAACCTTTTTTATCCTGTTTACTATAATTTGACTGTTCATTCACTGTTACACAACTGCAGGATTTTCAATGCCATTTTCTCACAAATCCGTTTTACCACTTCAAGTAGGTCGGTGGTCTGTATTTCTGTTACTGACCTCGGTACCCGTTAATGTTGTATATCACTGGAAAGCTCTTGATCTGCAGCATCAAGATATATAGATAAAAAAAAATCCTCCCGCGATTTTCCAAGATATCAGCATTATGTATCAAAATAGCAGCACCGACCCTGTTTTTATAAGAATGGGGCTCAAAAGTGCTTCAATTAACATTTTGCGCATGCGCAATCCACACTTTTGTGTGTTCTCAAAACGCAAAAAATCTCAGCGAAACGTTCCAAAGCCCCGGCCTCAATTTCAGAGATCTTGGGAAGTATCCCAAGGAGTGGCCAGACTTGACCTGGGTTGCTCTAGATACTTTTTCTGGGATCTGCACCATTCTGGAACTTCAGTCTCAAACAGGTGTTCATTAATTCGCTCGTACCCCCCGCCCTGCAAACAGGACGCTGGGATACTCTGGATGAGCTTCACAGAATCTTGTGAAGGAAGTGGCCTATGACCTATGTATAAAGCATCTGGCTGCAGCTGTTCAAGACCGCAGTTAGACAGTGTGTGCGCAAATGCTATCCAAAAATTTCACATAGAATTGCGCACATTCCATACCGGATGGGATTTCTGTTTCATTGCGGACCATGTGGACAAAATTTTGAGCGTCGCATAATGCAATCCGACCGTTCGTGATTCGAAACGGAGCCTGAGCGAGTGACGGGAATTGTAAATTTACAACACAGATAAGTTTTACAGAATTTCCGTACATTATTACGCTTTTTCAACGAGACAAAAACATCTCTAAACTGGAATAAAAGAGTAATGAATCAGTCTCAACGGCCGTTTCAAACCTTGCAGAGTCATGACCTTGCAGAGTCATGACCTTGATGACGCGCAGGTCACTGGTCACGCAAAATCCAACCAATCAGAGCGTGAATTCATCGGAGTATCCCAGCGTCCTGTTTGCAGGGCGGGGGGTACGAGCGAAGTGTTCACTAATTGATTCTAGCTCCCACCATGCTTACCTACAAGTCTGTAAATCACGTCTTCCAGCTATAAAATGATGAAGGGTTGGGCATAACTGGTTGTGTGCATAATCTATGTAGGATTATTTATAAGGTATTTATTTAATTGAATGAAATAGCTTAATACTTATTTGAAAGCAATAATTATTTTAAAAATAAATACTTCAATTGCATGTAACTAGTAGGACCATTTATGTTAATCTAAAATTATTTTACGAGATCAATTGTAGTCAAATTATTAACATTCTTTAATTAATCTAAGTTCTCAATGCATGATAGAGGAGGTATACAGTGTCTTACATGTTTTGTCTTTAAATTTACTAAGTCAATTCTGGTCGTTAAACAAATTATGACAAAAGCTTAGACAATGCAAAACTAATTACATGTCGCCATAAGTGGGAGGGACTAAGAATTTGATTGGCTGTTGGGAACCTTTGGCCCCTCCCCTTATGCCATCATATGGCATGTTACATGTCTTAGTTAACTTTTCCTCTTGTTTTTTCCTTCAAATATACAGGGTACAAAGGTTGCAATTCTTAAACTGTATTTGATTGAACACTGCTTCAAGTCTGCTGTATACAGTTGCTGTGTAATTTTGATGTGTCAAATTTTTGAAGGGAAACTCTACTGTTTTGATCGTAAACCACATAGACAATTGTAAAGTAATCCAATGTCCAAAGTGGCACCAAGCTTAAGCTAGCTGTTGTACAAAAGAAGTGTGTCTTGCACACAAGGGCATGTCTTGCCCGCGAGGTGCGCGCCTTTCCCACGAGGTGTGCGCATTGCCCAAGAGGAGCGCGCCTTGCCCACAAGGTGTGGGCCTTGCCCACGAGTCTACATTGTCTGCTTCACTCAACCAACAAGGCCAAGTTCAGGCAAGGACCATTAGTCAACTAGTGGAGGATTTGTGATGTACCTTACGCCTGCGCAACGTGCGAACGTCTCTAGTCAAACGCTGGTCAAAATGTCATCGCAAAACTTCTGGATCCTGGCTCTCTGCTAGCGTTATGAATGCGCAAGGCTATTGGTTACCAGCGATGCAACCAGCCCCAGTAGGTTGGTTCCAAATAGTCGACTAGTGTAGTCAACCACCATCGACTAGACCGAGTTCGGGCAAGCGTTAGTCGAACTATGGTTAACCATTAGTCCTTGCGCGAACTTGGCCTTAACCTGTAGAGCCACTACATTTGCATATTCCCTTACCGGCAGGTTCCGTTCGCTGAGAGTTTATACAACAGCGCCCCCTCCATACTGCCCTGCGTCACGAATGCCATATTGGGTTCCTCTTTTCTTTTAGCGGCAGGGCAGATAAGACTTATTTACGAAGTACCTCCACAGATCTGTTTTTTCCCCAAAAATTTTGTCAAGAGTTGTAATAAATAAAAGATAAGTTGTCACAGAACACCTTGTTGTATTGTCTGGTTGTTTGTCGTGCAGTGAAAGCTAATAAAAACGAGAAAAGTGTGTCGCATCAGAAGGGCGTAGTTGCCGCGAGATCGTCTGCATCTTGAGCGCGTGGCTCGGCCGTCGAATACGTCTCGCCGTCCCGCCAGACTGGAGACCCTGCATGTTAGTTGAGTATGTATGGGGGACCCCCCGTGCACCCCCCCCCCCCCGGACTAACTTTCACCAATTTTTTGGGGTGCCTTTTAGGGTCCTAAAACACATTTTGGATGTTAACTGGGAAAAAATCCGATGCGAAGGAGATATCCAAGATGGCGGCCAATATGGCCGCCAAAAATGGTAAAAACTGGGAAAAAAGGCATAAATCAGCCAAATTTTGTGATAAAAGCATAAATAAAATGGTTAGTTATATGTTTTAGACCCTCAAAAACTCATTTCTGGTATCCGTTTTTTGCTATCATGCTTCAATTCAAGATGGCGGCCAATTCGGTGGCCAATATGGCCGCCATATTGGTAAAAAAAATGGAAAAAGTCACATATCAGCATTGAATAGTATGATAAAATCATAAAGAAAATGGTAAAATATGATTTTGACCCTCTCAAATTCATTTCAGGTATCACTTCTTTGCTTCATGCTTCAAAATGTTATATTTTTCACGGGCCATTACTTAAATAACAAAGGAAGAGATATAATAAAACTGTAAGTAAATGGGTTAAGACTAGATATAAACACACAAAAAATTGAAAGCGAAAACGCGAAATTCAGTAAAATTGTTACAAAGCTAATTTTAGAAATTAAAAAAACAAAACAAAGATAAACAAAATATAATTTTCAGTTTTAACATTAAAATATAAATAATACATGTAAGCAAACAAATAAGAATTAAAATACTGGAAACTAAAAATAAAATTAAAATAAAACTAAAAAGGGAGAATATTTTATACTATTTCACTTTGAATCATAATCGTCACCGAAAAAAATACAATATCAGAGCGGCAAATTGAAAAAGGCAAAGAGAACATTCAATTGTGTAGACACAATTCAAGAAATAACCAAAATGCTCACAGGCAATATTAACATAGTACGCTGTAAAAAAAAAAATCCTTCAATTGAGACGAAAACTTATTACTCTGTAAATTGTGCAGTTTTCGGAGAGGTATTTAGCTTTAGCTGTATTTTGTTCAAAGTTCTTTGAATTCTCTGTTTTTGTCATGGCAAGCACAAAGATACATTATTACTTTACATGTACTGTAAAAGATTCCTTAAATTTATAGCGAAAATTTGTGTTGTTATTAATGTCAGAAACCTTATTTTCAAAATGCCCAAAACTTGAACATTTTACAAACCATTTCTTTTCCAATTTATGCATGGAATTGTTTGCAGGGGCCATTCACAACAAAGCCTGTAGATTTACAACTTATCTTCAGTTGACTGTGCAAGTTTAAGAATGTACAGTTAACGGTACATTAACGGTGGGGGGGGGGGGCGATTGATCTACATGACGCCATGGGCGTCAATCCTGGGGGGACAGGGGGACTGGTCCCTCCCCCTACTTTTTGAAGGGTGGAGGACACAATATCAAATGTCCCCCCCCGGGACCACGATTTTTGAACTCGTGTCTCATTTACAGGGCCCTATTATGTACTACAATGTATCTTTTGCTTAGAAAATATTGGTTAAAGTGGTCAGAAATTGCCTCAGATAGCACCACAGAGCATTTAGAATCCAAAATTTTTCGGGGCCCTTAAGCGGGCCCCGAACCCCACGCCTATAGCTCAGAATTCTGGTAGCTGGTTCAATGACTCCAACCTCGAAAACAATGTTCAAAAAATTTTCTTATGCCTTTAGCTGAGAAAACCTCGAAAATTATGTTTAAATTATTATCTTTTGTGCTAAGATAATTATTGGTTAAAGTGGTAAGAAATTGCCTCAGATCACACCACCGAGCATCGAAAATCCAAATTTTTTTTGAACCCCACGCCTATAGCTCAGAATACCGATAGCTGATTCAATGACTCCAACCTCGAAAACGATGTTCAAATAATTATCTTTTGCTTAGAAAATATTAGTTAAAGCATGGAGGAAAGTGGTAAGAAATTGCTTCAGATCCAAGGGCGGATCCGGGGGGGGGCCAAAGGGGGCCATGCCCCCCCCCCCCCCAAAACGAGACCAATTTTTTTTTTTTTTTTAAGTGACATCGCAATAAAGTCACGCAATGAGTACACCACCATCTTTTCCTCAAAAAAAACATCGGTTAAAGTGGTCAGAAATTGCCTCAGATCGCACCACAGAGCATCTAGAATCCAAAAATTTTTCGGGGCCCTTAAAGCGGGCCCCGAACCCCACGCCGTAATTTTTTTGACCCACTTTTTGGGGGGTCCAAAAAATTTTTGGGCCCCCAAAAATAATTGTGTTCTGGATCCGCCCTTGTGCAGATCACACCACAGAACGTCTAGAATCCAAATTTTTTTCGGGGCCCTTAAGCGGGCCCCGAACCCCCACGCCGTAAGGGCTTCGCGCTTCGCATCAGTTCTGATCAAGGTATGTCCCCCCCCCCCCCACTTTTGAGAAGCGATTGACGCCCCTACATGACGCCCCCCATGAAGCGGGCCCCGAACCCCCACGCCGTAAGGGCTTCGCGCTTCGCATCAGTTCTGATCAAGGTATGTTCCCCCCCCCCCCCACTTTTGAGAAGCGATTGACGCCCCTACATGACGCCCCCCATGAAGCGGGCCCCGAACCCCCACGCCGTAAGGGCTTCGCGCTTCGCATCAGTTCTGATCAAGGTATGTCCCCCCCCCCCCCCCCCCCCCCACTTTTGAGAAGCGATTGACGCCCCTACATGACGCCCTCCATGAAATGTTCCAGCCCCCCCCCCCCCCCCAGCAGCCCCCCCACTGAAAAATTCCTGGCTACGCCACTGGTAGTACGGTATACAGACTAGAGCTTGCGATAGTACTGTACGGGCAGACTAGACGCAGTCGGGCTAGTCCTAAATACACTTCCGTAAAATACACTTCCGTAAAATACACTTCCGTACATAGCGCCAATAGCTCATCCAGGCGCGCACATGCTGGCTGGTTGTTGTGATGGCACTGGGTGTGGCAGCTTTACCGACTAAAGTTTAAGTCCGATAAATTAACTTGAGTCAAATCTACTGATCACTGTTTGGACCTCTCTATTAGTATTGATGTAGATTCTACACATCACATCAATTCACACAATTGCGTACCTCGAATATAGTGAGTCTCGGAAGTACGAAAATGCGATCTAGCGAGTCTGACTTGGATGGCGGCATCCATGGGTGGGTTGGAGTCCTTGGGACTTTTGCCTCGTGGTTTACTTGGATGGGCACTGTGAAATGTTTGGCTGTGATGCTCCCTGCGCTACAAGACCAGTTTAACAGTCACACGTGGCTGGTTGGATGGGTGATCGCTATCTTTGATGGCAGCGTCGATTTAACAGGTATGCGTGCTGCAGTATTGGTGGATTATGCATCGCATCCCCTAGCAAGGGCGGATCCAGGGGGGCCAAAGGGGGTCATGCCCCCCCCCCCAAACGAGACCAATATTTTTTTTTTTATGTGACATCGCAATAAAGGCAGGCAATGAGTACACCACCATCTTTTCCTCAAAAAAACATTGGTTAAAGTGGTCAGAAATTGCCTCAGATCGCACCACAGAGCATCTAGAATAAAAAAAAAACCATTTGGCCCCCCCCAAAAAAATTGTGTTCTGGATCCACCCTTGTCCCCTGTTTTTATAGGTTAATTTTCACAGTTACTTTAGCACTTGTAATATTTACATTCCACCGAAAAAAATACTCGCATTTCGTCCCAGATTGTGCTCCATTTTTAATTCCCATTTCGAATTCATACCAATACATTTTTTCTCTTTTTTTTAGGTCTAGTGTAATTCGCGAAAATATATTATTCTGATTTGTCAAAGTTTCGGAAAAATTTGTCTCGTGACCATAGCATAGCCATAGCAATAACTACAGAAGTGGTTTCTTTTGATGTTAAAGGTCCCATCGCACCTGCTATAAAAAGACGCTTTGGTGTTAGACTGGTCGTGGTGGTGAGTGGTTTGCTGGTTGGTTTTTCACTCATCCTGTCATCCTTTGTGTCCAGTCTAGTTCAGATGACATGTATCCTGGCCTTTTGTACAGGTAAATTAATTACCATTGGTTTAAACATGTGAATTAAAAGGGCCGGGTTATTTTGACCATCTCTCAGAGGGGGGGGGGGGGCATTCCGCCCCTCACAAAAAAAATCTTGGCCATCGAGTGACGAAAAATTTTGAAACTCGGTACATGCATAGAGCAACTCATCATGAACATACCCAAGAAATTTCATGGGTCAAAGGGTTTTGGAATTATGGCTAATTAATTATTCATATGTATGAATGGTAATTGTGCTCTGTGTAAACGACGTATAATGAAAAAGTTCAGTTTTCACGACGCGTAGCGTAGCTGCGCAGCAACCCGTTGTCCGATTTTTATGTTTTTGGTATCAAAAGATGCGCAAGGATCGAGGCTAAAAGTCATAACAGCTCGGGTCGCGAAAAAAAAAATTTCAAGGCTATCACGAAAAAAGTTGAGGGGGTGGATTCCGCCCTTTTAGGGTTAAAGGGAATGTACATCATTGGATTTTGCTGTAATTTTCAGAAATGAACTATTTGAGGGGTTAGTATAATAGATCAAACATTGTTTCACAGACAAGTTTGAAGTTTTGTGTTCGAAAATGCTGGAAAAACCAAGAAAAAACAAAAGTTTTCAAGTAGTCTGGTTCCTTGACTCCACTAAAGATAAAATGGATCAATTTATAGATGCCGGAAAATTGTAAGGTAAGGGAACCGGTCTAGCTGGCCTGCACCCGTTCACGAACATGTAACCAATAGCAAACAAAACTTGGATTGAAAAATGTGTAAAGTTGGAGCAATAGTTGAAAAATAGTTAGGTTTTTCCAACGGTGGTCGGCCGACCACCGTTGGAAATGTATACAAAAATACCATTGTCTTGAAAATGACTTCACACCAGGTGCCATAATTTTACAGGATGCTTTAGACTGTCATTTACCAACATCCTTGTAAGGTTTTTCAAAAAAACTTGGTAGTTTTATTTTTCGATGTTTGCAAATGTTGTATAGGCTATTCCCTTTAATAGTGGGGTACCTTAGTGATAAAATCGTGACACAGTGGACAAAAGCACAAATTTTTTCATCAAAGCATCTCCATGGTATACCTTTTCGAAAAAAAGACGGATGCACAAAATTGGATGATGGGAAGGACATGTATGACGTCATTATGACGTCATCAGCTAATTATTACATGAAAAAATATAAATTGATAATAATCTTCAGAACTATCAAATTAAAGGGGACAGCAAGATCTTTCATTTAAGTGGTATGTCAATGGGATGGAATATAGTTAAGGGTGATTTTGTGGGTCAAAAAAACCTTTTTTGGTCAAAAGACATGTTTTTTAGGCTAAAATCATGGATTTTGGGTAGTCACATTGACACTTTGTAACATGCAAACAGTATGTGGTATTGTGAGATGTTGTTTTTAAGTTAGAGAGAAAAGTTCAAATTCTATGCCAAAAGAGTTTTTGTAATTGATTATGAGTATCATAAATATGTTTAAACTTGTTCCAAAGATAAGCAGAAAAGTGAGGCATCTTATAGCGAGCTACATTAGTAACAAAAATGCTAAGGATCGTTACATGGTATTTAAAAGCACCATTTTTTTCACCAAAGCTTTGCCAATGTGTTACGATCAAAAATAGGGTAGGATGCAAAAAATCAGATGACAGGAAGGGTACTTTATGACGTAATAATGACGTCACAATATACTACCGAGCTCGTACAGTAATTAATTGTAGAAAATAAGGTCGTGAAGCGTTGTGTTGAGATTCCAAGTGATTAATTTGACATTTTGAGGGTCGGGGAATTGAAAAGTGATATAATCAGTGACATTTAAGTAACAATGATTTGCTGTTGCAGTGACGTCACTATTTTCAAATTTTCTTGAAAAATCTAAGCATTTTTGATTATGGACAAAAGTGCTACAATGACGGTATTTGTCACGCAGAAGATAAATTGTGTGAAATTGTGCGGCTCCTTGAATTTGGTCTTTACCACATCAATTTGTTTTCGACCATTTACTATAGCTGGAAGACGTAAATTTTTTATATGTGTTGTATATTACGGGTAATGAGGTATGGGTTAGAAGCCAGACAGAAAGGAACGTGGTAACCTGAAATGGATTAACAGAGTGGCCGGAAATGGTGATGGTACGTCCTTTAACAATGTATTAAAAACGGGGGCCGCCCGATAGTCCGAAGGTCCAATAGTCCGAAGGTTCTTTAGTCCGAAGGTTCGATAGTTCAAATGCACAAAATTTCCATAAGAGGGGGTTCGTTAGTCCGAAAATGAAATAAGTTTCGTTAATCCGAACATTTGATGCAATAGTCCGAAGGTTCATTAATCCGAAGGTTCATTAGTCTGAAGGTTTATTTATCCGAAGGTTCGATAGTCCGAATTGAGAATAAGGTTAATCAGTCCGAAGGTTCAATAGTCCGAAACGAAAATAACAAGCCCGCGGGAACGGGGGGTGCTGTGGGTGCTGCAGCACCCCCAACTTGTTGGATTGGGGTGCTGAAATATGCTTCTACGACGTTGAAATTGCGCCGCTGCGCTATACATTATACTTGCTCTACAAATATCTCCTTCGTTTTGTTCGTTTCTAGTTTTGCCGCTGCTAAGCGCGGCGCTTCGAACGTCTAGCACAAAGTAACACTGTAAAATATCAGGAGGAGGTATTTTCTAAATCTTCAGGCAGTGCAAAATCGATATTTCTCTCCAGCGGCGACGGAACGGGTTTGAAACTGGGGGGGGGGGGGCACAACCAAAAAGGGGCACTTGCAAATCCGTGCTAAAAAATGTCGACAGGTTTTTTTCAGCGGACACTTGGCCTCCGTAAAATCAAATAGTGGGGGGGGGGGGACCATCTTCCAACATAGGGAGCGCTCTTCAAAACCAATGATTATATATATGCTAAATATGCATTATGTGCCCATTTTCAGGCCGTATTGTATGGGTTTTGGGACTTGGTTTTCATATACTTTCAGATACTTTAAAGGCATTTTTGTTGTATCTTTAGGGGGGCACTTTACTGTTCCAGGGGCACATTTATGGCCCCCCAGCCCCCCCCCCCCCCCCCCCCCCCGGTCTGCCGCCCCTGTTTTTCTCAATGAATCTAAAATCATGACTTGTCTATGATATTTCCGCCTTGATGGAAGCTTTGACCCGAAAAAAATAACCTCGGCCATGACAATGGTGGCAAAGTTGATTATGCTTGCCACGATTTTTTGCATTCGATCTTTCAATAGGGGCAAAGTTCATACCTTTCCCCCGAAGGTTTTTCTTTTCATTTAAAAGTTTCATTGGCATTGCTAGCATTCTGTACTCAACCTTAACAAATAGAAAGGTTCACACACATCCCAACCTAATAGGAGTGGGACGGGCTTCCATTGAAACTAATTCCAGTGTAGTTTCGTTTTAATAAAAAAGCTACTCATGTGTTACCCTCTGCAAATTTTTTCTTATAAAAACTCAGTAGACCGATAAATCTTTGCCTAGCCGCAAACTTGCCACCTACCAATCATAAACATAAAGATGCATTTGTTCTGTTAGTCTTTTATATTTGCCATTCCCTGTAACAAACAAATAACACTGCAAATATATCAAGAGCTACATCGTTTAGGCCTATATGAATATTTTTATGAACAGAAATTCACCCGCTTCCAGTGGAACCATTTTGTTTTAACTTGAACCAAAAAACATCCTTTCAGGTTTTATAAGTTTAAGTATATACTTCAGTATATTTCATCACAGTGCATCCAGAATCCAACATTTTCAGGGGCCTTAAAGCAGGCCCCTGGCCCTGTGGCCCCACGCCGTAAGAGCTCGAAAAATAAAACAAAACATACACGACGGAATTTACTAAATGTAAGAAAGCAGCCTAGCAACAATAATATTTACATGCGATGTCATGCATAATGATACAATTCTTTTTCCAGAATTAAATGGAACAAAGAATGGAGATAAAAAATACAGGGTTTTCGACTTTTCAGTACAGTAGAAACGTTATAAGAGCAACAGTATATTCTAAACAAAAAAGTGAAATAAAGTGTCTTTATAATCTCAAAAAACGTTTGCTAAAAAAGTCATATGAAAGTGGCCAGGAATCGCCTCATATTGCACCACAGAGCATCCATATTCCAAAACTGTTAGGGGCCCTTTAAGCCACGCCGTAAGGGCTTTGCGCTCCGCGTTCACATTAATTTTGTCCGTCCTTTAGAAATTCCAGCACCCCCTGGCAAAAGTTTGTTCCAGCGGGCTTGAAAATAAGGTTCAATAGTCCGAAGGTTCGATAGTCCGTATTGACAATAAGGTTCGAAAGTCCGAAAAGACTCTATGATGGTCCGATAGTCCGAATCAACAGTAAGGTCCGATAGTCCGAATCGACAATAAGGTCCGATAGTCCGAATCAACAGTAAGGTCCGATAGTCGGAAGAGTCATACTGACAAACCGTATTGCCCATTCGGACAATCGAACCTTATTCTCAATTCGGGCTATCGAACCTTTTTCTCAATTCGGACTATCGAACCCTATCGTCTATTCGGACTATCGAACCTTTGGATTAATTAACCGTATTCTATTTTCGTACTAATGGGACCTTCGGACTATCGAGCCTTCGGATGATCAAACCTTCGGACTATTGAACCTTCGGACTAACGAACCTTTGGACTAATGACCCTTCGGACTAGAGAACCTTCGTACTATCGGGCTGTAACCATTACAAACACAATACCAGTGCAGCAAGTCATGTCCTGCAGTTTGTAAAGGTTTTTAGTTTGGGACTTGAAAAAGACAAACAATTATCCATGATACACAAGCACAAGTGTGTTTCTCGATTAAATGCACCATCCTTGTCGTTGATGGACCGTCTATCCTATTGAAGTATCCATCAGACATCATCTTCTGTGTGACACGAGCAGAACATTTCTGAAGGTCCACTGTGTGAGTAGTTTATCCTTTCTTGTTATTTTCCACAAAACTGGATTGCGACTGAGATCGTGCAAATAAATAATCTTAAAAAAAGCTTCATCTGTAGTCTTGTTTATTAATTATTAGAGATTTTGGTAAAAATGAAAAGAAGTCTTTGTAGAAATTGTAGATATAATTCATCTTGCGTAAAATATACCTTTGCAAGTTTACAAACTTCCACAAAACGTATTATTTTGGAACATTGGAACGTATAATTGGTTTGAACATTCTACCTTTTTATTGCTTATGTGAACTGTTTTGGACTGCTTGTATTATCTGCATGCAAACTACACCAGAAAAACTACGTTGTCCACAAAAAGGTTTGAATTGTAACGCCGGAGAAGTATATGCTCAATTCCTGGCTAATGTTGAAGGGTTTAGGGCAATAAATGCATTGCCAGTTGATGTAGAATACGGAGCCGAAGGGACAGTAGAAACTTTTGTGGAAAATAATGCCTCGTGGCATCATTCCTGAGGTAATCATTTATGAGATAATCATGACGTAAGACATTGCATTTTAACGAATCATTGATCACAACAGGGGATAGGAGCGAGGGTCAAATGTACATGTACATACATGTTTAATTTAATACATTAAAATATGAAACATCCCTCATTTTATCAAACTATTTGTATTTAAATCTTTTAAAGATAGCCTAAGAACAAAATTGGCAACTGCACTGATTTCCTTGATCTCAGAAACGTATATTAAATGTAAAAAAAAGATCCATGGCTTATTCCTAACTAATATCTCAATTTTAATGTATAAGTGTGTAATAATTAGCCGATGACGTCATAATGATGTCATAATTGGCCCTTCCCATCATCCAATTTTTTGCATCCTACCTTTTTTTCGAAAAGGTTAACAATGGAGATGCTTTGGTGTGAAAATGGTGCTTTTGTTCACCCGTGTCACGATTTTATCACTAAGGTACCTCACTTTTCCGCTTATCTTTGGAACAAGTTTAAACATTTAAGATACTAATAATCAATTACAAAAACCCTTTAAGCATAGAATTTGAGCCTTTCTCTCTGACTTAAAAACAACATCTCACAATACCACATACTGTTTGCATGTTAAAACAAGGTGTCAAAGAGACTACCCAAAATCCATGATTTTAGCCAAAAAAAAACCCAGGTCTTTTGACCAAAAAGGTTTTTTTGACCCACAAGATCACCCTCAACTATATTCCATCCCAATGACATACCACTCAAATGAAAGATCTTGTTGTCCCCTTTAATTTGATAACAAATTTGTTGTTGAGATGCTTGCAGTTCTGAAGATTATTATTAATTTAAATTTTTTCATGTAATAATTAGCTGATGACGTCATAATGACGTCATACATGCCCTTTCCATCATCCAATTGTTTGCGTCCGTCTTTTTTTCGAAAAGGTATACCATGGAGATGATTTGGTGAAAAAAATGGTGCTTTTGTCCACTGTTAAACGATCCTTAGCATTTTTGTTACTAATGTACCTCACTATAAGACAGTGTCAGAGCTTGATTATACACGGTCGTTCCATTGGCATTTGTTTAACTACACTCAACCAAAAAAGAAAGTCCCCCCTTAAAGGGAAAATACAACATTTGCAAACATCAAAAAATAAATCTACCAAATTTTTAGGAAATATCTTGCTGGACTGTTAGTGAATGACAGTCTAAAGCATCCTGTAAAATCATGGCACCTGGTGTACTGTCATTTTCAAGAAAAGTGGTATTTTGTATCAATTTCCAACGCTGGTCGGCCGACCAGCGTTGGAAAAACCTGGCTTTTTTCAAATACATGTACTTGCCCCAATTGACCATATTTAGTTCTAAGTCTGCATTTGTTTGCCAGCGATTACACACCTATGCACGGGTACAAGCCAGCCAGACTGGTTCCCTGACCTTACAATTCCCCAACGTCTATATATTGCTCAGTTTCATCTTAATGGAGTCAGGGAACCAGACTACAGGAAAATGATTGTTTTTATTGGTTTTTATAGCATCTACGAACCCACAACGTCAAAAAAGTCAGTGTAACAATATTTGCTATAAAATACTAACCTCCCAAATCCATCCATTTCTGAAAATTACAACAAAAGCAAATGATGTACATGTATATTCCCTTTAATACTTTTTTGTCTAACTCAAAAACTACTGGGCACATCTTGCTCAAATTACGACTGATCAGTACAGAAATTCCTTAGCAATCCAGCTATGCTCTTTGTTTGGCCCAAAACAGTGATGATGTGTACAAAATTAAACAACTTATGACAAATGGTACATGTACCTAAAAAAAAGTTGCACTTTTTCCGTATCATTTGTCATAAATTGCATACATTCGTACACATTATCACTCTTTTTGGCCAAACGATTAGTCGTTATTTGAGCGAGAGGAGCTCAGTAGTTATTGAGTTCGACAAAAAAGTATTGGAAGGGGGGACTTTCTTTTTGGTTGAGTGTATGAGGCAATGAGCCAGATGTATGTCTTTTTACCTGTATGTGCTAATGTTAATCGCGAAAAAAATCAATTTTAAAAATGTCCTGTTACTAGCAATTTTAAGCACTTAGTCGCATTTTTATGAATGAAAATTAAGCAAACGCTTTTACTGAAAACCATTTTGCTAAAATCTGAAAATAATTACTTTTGACCTTTTAGGATTTGCTATACTATAAGTGTTTACTTCGTTTCATATGAATAAAAAGGAGTAAATGCTTCATATTTCAAATATTTGCTTATTATATTTCATGGCTGGGTTCGGGCAACATCGAAAATATAAAAGCAAAAATAATTCCGCGCAAAAAACTTACATTTATTAATGTTAATCGCGAAAAATTAATATAAAACAGTTCATAAAAGTACCCAAAATTACCATAGTTTGTATGACTAAAACCGGGCATTTTCATTGAATTTTTAAGCATTATTTTACTCGAATCTGTATGAATAGAAAATTAAGCAAACGTTTTCACTGAAAACCATTAATTTTGCTCTTGAATAAGTGGCCTGATGTGAAGGTTTACAAATTAAGTTTGCAAAGCGGCACGCACGCCAACGTGTGTGCGCAGCGCGTACTAAATAGACTCGTTTCCATGGGAACGATCTTGCTGCGTCATGTTGTTTCCCATCTTGCCTTGCGCGAGGAACGCGCACGCGCATGGAGTCGAGGCTGTACTTCTGGTTCCAACGTTTTGCGGTTGCAATAGATGCTACTTCATGTGCAAGTCTAATTAGTTTTCGTTTATTTATTAAACAGGGCCTGCTGTGGGTGTGTGCAACATTGTTATGAGGGAACTTGTCGGTGAATGTTTCCCCAGGTCACATACAAGAGCATTTGCGATTGGTGGAATCGGCGCGTCTTTGTCTTTCGTCATCCTTGCGCCGTTAACGCAGTTCTTTATGGATGTGTATGGTTGGCGAGGAGCCCTAATGCTTATCGGATCCATACACTTACATCTCGCGGTGTGCGGGGCACTGCTTAAGAAACACCCGGAGACAAACCAACGCAATGGGGACTATGAGATGGTCACCAGCACTTCATCAGAAGACAAGACGGCACGAGAAGAGTTTAGGTGTCTCTCTGTCTTGACATCCATGAAAAACGCTGTCAATATTGATCTCTTTGCCTTTGCTGGATACTGGCTGGTCGTGTTGATGGCATTATTTACCACGGTAGCAGCCACGGCATGGATTGTGTACTTCGCAGCTCACACCAACCAATACAAAGGTTTTCTCCCTGGCCGATGTCGCCGCCTTTGTCTCTGTGTTTGGTGTAGGGAAGATCTTTGGAAATTTAGTCACCGCTTTCATTGGCGGCTATCAATTCATTGGAACGAACATGTGGATGGGACTAGCAGTGACTGGCAGTTCGGCTTGCTTCCTCGTCGACCTGTTGTTGGAATCTTACTGGCCGATCATGGCGTACGCCTTTATCTACGGCGCTTTTCAGGCTTTCATTTACACTCTGATAGATGTCGTGACCAAGGAAACGGTGGGCGTGGAACGTTTAGGAAGCGCCCTCGGATGGATCGGATTGAAATGTGGTTTCGCCAGGGCACTCTTCCTGTTTTTGCCTGGTATGATTCACTTACTATCTTTGGGTTTTTGTTTTGTTATTTTTTTTTTTGGGGGGGGGGGACTTGAATCAAACGAGAAATCATAGCCCTGTTCGATAGGTAGGCCTACTATTGTTGATGTACTCTCTCCCTTCCAAAGAGTGAAACTAGGGACTAGACGTTTTAGAGTGAAAATCACTCTCATTTTCGATTGAAATAGTCTGAAAAATGAACCACTTCTGTCGAAGCTCGAGTGAAAACTCGATCTTTATATGATTTAAGAAATCTCACTCTAAAACGTCTAGTCCCTAGTTTCCGACTGGGGGAGTGAATCTCCACTCGAATGGATTGAATTACCTAACGTGGCGCGGCCCCTAAGGTGGCGCACTTTGATTTTTCGCCTGCGCGCCCAGCTAGAACAAAAGTTTTAACTGAAATTTCACAGAAAGTGAAATTTTATCAAGTTCTAAACACTCCCGTTTATAAAATTACGAGTTTATCTACCCGTTACATAGTTAGAAGAAAGATTTATTTTGGCGTGATTTTTTTTATTTTATTTCGAAGTGCACAGTGAACCTTTTAAAAATAATTGTCCCCAAAAAATAAACTAGAAGACAAACTTCTATTAGTCTAGTGGACATGTGAAAAAATGGTGCACTTTTGCATAAAAACGTGAAACTTGGCACAGATGTTTACATGTATATTCATGCGAGAAAATGTTTTAGATGTGGAGCCATCGCAAATTTACCCTGTTAGGGGCGTCGCAGCCATTCAAAAAAAGGGGGGGGGGACTCATCATGCCCGCAGTAAAAATGGTTGTTCCCACTTGTCGCAAAAGCAGGAAACTTCACAAAGACTTAATTATATAGATTATAAGTGTTTTTTAGATGTGGAGCTACCACAAAAGCACCTTTTTGGGGGCATGGCAGCCATTTAAAAAAAGGGGGGAGTAATTATTATGCCCACCTTGGGAAAAATTGTACCCATATTTCATGAACAAATAAAACGTCCCACAGACATTTATATTCATGGGAAAAAATTCCAGATATGGAGCCATCTCGAACACACCCTTTTAGGGGCATGGCACCCATATTAGAAAAAAGGGCGGGGTTTTCATTATGTCCACCATTAAAAAATTGTTCCCACATTCATAGAGAAATGGAACTTTCCACAGACATTGACATTCATGAGACAAAAAATTCCAGATGTGGAGCCATCGCAAACACACCCTTTTTAGGGGCGTGGCAGCCATATTGAAAAAAGGGGGCGGGGTTCTCATTATGCCCACCATGAAAAAATGTGCCCACATCTCATAAACGAATGAAGCTAATTCCCACAGACATTAATATTCACGAGAAGAAATTCAGACGTGGACCCATCGCACCCTTTTAGGGGCGTGGCAGTCATAGTAAAATAGGGGGTAGTCATGATGCCCCTTGAAAAAATTGTGCCTACCTTTCATAAACGGATAAAACTCCACACAGACAATATATTCATGAAAATCTTCCTTTTTTCGAATGTGAAGCCACAAACTTACCCTTTTAGAGGCGCGGCATGCATTTTTAAAATGGGGGGGGGGGGGGTACTGAATATGCCCACCATAGAAAATTTTGACCGCTTTTCATATAATAAAATCAGATCAGATAGCTCTTATAATAGGACCGCCTTTATAGTTGGAAGTGACTGTTAGCAAACCCTTTTTTCTTACACTATGCATTCTTGCCTCATCTATATTAAAGGGAAAATACAACATTTGCAAATATCAAAAAATAAAACTACCAATTCATTTTGAAATACCTTGCTGGACTGTTAGTGAATGACAGTGTAAAGCATCCTGTAAAAATCATAGCACCTGGTATACTGTCATTTTCAAGAAAAGTGGTATTTTTGTATCAATTTCCAATGCTGGTCGGCCGACCAGCGTTGGGAAAAAACTGGCTTTTTTTTCAAATACTGGCCCCATTTGACCATCGCACTTGTTTGCAATCGATTACACACCTATGAACGGGTACAGGCCAGCTAGACTGGTTCCCTGACCTTACAATTCCCCAATGTATGTAAACTGCTCTGTTTCTTCTTATATGGAGTCAGGGAACCAGACTACAGGAAAACGCTTGTTTTTCTTGCTTTTTATAGCATTTTCGAACCCAAAACCTCAAAAAAGTCAGTGTGACTATATTTGCTATATATTTCCAACCCCCCAATTCCATTCATTTCTGAAAATTACAGCAAAAGCAAATGATGTATATTCCCTTTAACCCAGTTACTGGTTCTGTCGTCTGTAAAATTATTGTTAACCTCTCAACTGCAGCAATTTCTGAATTGGGGTATTAACTGGGGTACTTCAGTTAGTCTTAAGACTATTCTTCTTCAAGTACATTATGTGTTTCCCATGCCTTTTTTTTTCTGACAGACCCAAAGGCATATGCAGTGTGGCAACATGTATAGGTATAAAATGTTGTCAGGGCTAATGATTTGTTTTGATGGATTTGGTTGGGGTAAAACACTCATCAGAGATATTGATATACCATTTTTTCGTGAACTAAGGGGGTGTATGGTGGGGGTACACAGATTGATTGAAGGTGAAGTCATAGTGGACGTGTCCACCACTTTGTGAGGAGAGTACATCGTGTTGTGACCCTATCTGCTGTCAATGCGGCACAACGGGTAGGGGGTAGTGGGATTTTAACACCCCCCCCCCCCAGGAGAAAAAGACAACAGATAAAGAAAAAAAAATGGACTGAAAGTCAATATTTTACTTCACATTTAACGTATATTGAAGAATTTTGAAATGGCCATAAAATGTGATTATAAATTCTTTTAAAAAGCGCCCCAAGTGTCATATGACATCCCCCTCCCCCCCCCCCCCCCTTTAAAAAAGGATTTCCTTGGTCCTTAAATAATAAATGTTAGAGTTTGGGGCAGCCATTGTGTGCTGTGTATTTGTAATTATGAAATCACTCTGGAATTTAGATGTGCATGATAACATAGGTGCATGTACACACGAACGTTGAACCCTATAACTGGTTAGCCTACCGGTACTTACCCATGCTCTTTGGTGTAAGTCATAGTGTTACCAAATAATGACATAGAGGCTATGGGCCAATCAACATTATAAGAAATTAGCCACAAAATATACAAATTGCAATTGTGGGCACAGTGAGTATAGCCCCTAACGCCTCTAAAAAGGTCGAGTTTGCGGCGGCTCCACATCTTAATTTATTTTCTTTCACCAAGTTTGTGTGAAGTTTATTCATTTATGAAAGGTAGGCACAAGTTTTGATGGTGGGCAAATGATTAGTAGCACCCCCCATTTTTTTAAATGGGTGCCACGCCTCTAAAAGGGTAAGTTTGTGATGGCTTTACATTCGAGAAAAAAAAAGATTCTCATGAATATATTATCTGTGTGGAGTTTAATCCGTGTATGAAAGGTAGGCACAACATTTTTATAGGGGTATTTTGACTAAACCCCCCCCCCATTTTACGATAATGGCTGTCACGCCCCTAAAAGGGTGTGTTTGAGATGGCTCCACTTCTGATTTTTTTTCTCGTGAATGTCAATGTCTGTGGAAAGTTTTATTTCTCTATGAACGTGGGAACAACTTTTTCCATGGTGGGCATAATGAAAACCCCGCCCTTTTTTCTAATATGGTTGCCACGCCCTAAAAGGGTGTGTTCGAGATGGCTCCACATCTGAATTTTGTTTCCCTCATGAATATAAATGTCTGTGGGACGTTTTATTTGTTCATGAGATGTGGGCACATTTTTTCCCATGGTGGGCATAATGAGAACCCCGCCCCCCCTTTCAAATGGCTGCCACGCCCCTAAAAGGGTGTTCGCGATGGCTCCACACCTGGAATTTTTTTCTCATGAATGTCAATGTCTGTGGAAAGTTTCATTTCTCTATGAACGTGGGAACAAATTTTTCCATGGTGGCCATAATGAAATTAACCCCGCCCTTTTTTCTAATATGGTTGCCACGCCCCTAAAAGGGTGTGTTCGAGATGGCTCCACATCTGAATTTTGTTTCCCTCATGAATATAAATGTCTGTGAGACGTTTTATTTGTTCATGAAATGTGGGCACAATTTTTCCCAAGGTGGGCATAATAATTACCCCCCCCTTTTTTTTTTAAATGGCTGCCACGCCCTCAAAAAGGTACTTTTGTGCCGGCTCCGAATCTGGAAAACACTTTTAATCTATATAATTAAGTCTTTGTGAAGTTTCCTGCTTTTGTGACAAGTGGGGCCGGGAACAACCGTTTTCACTGCGGGCATGATGAGTCCCGCCCCTTTTTAAAATGGATGCCACGCCCCTAAAAGGGTGAATTTGCGATGGCTCCACATCTAAAACATTTTCTGGCATGAATAATACATCTGTGCCAGGTTTCACGCTGCATTGTGCAAAAGTGCACAATTCATCAATATTTTGTCACATATCCGCTGGACTATATAGAGATAATCGATTTGAGGCAAATGGAATTGCAGCTTCAAATAATTTATCACCGCTGGACCGTTGACAGGGCTGGTTGGAAGGTTAGCCATTCCAGGTCACTCCCCTTGTGGCCACAATGATTGAAGTGCATGAACAAGTTCACTGTAATTGAAATGTAACTGAAAGTTCGAGCACACGGTCACTTTTGCTTGAGCAGCCGCGCAGTCAGGTCTGGCAAGTTTGGCGGGAATTGCATTCCAAGACCGCAAATAGGCCTCAGATATTGGCCAATTTATTCATTATTTATGATGCTTCAGGGATATGGGGGGCAAAGCACTTGACCCCTGCCTTTGTCGGTAATTCAGGCACAAGATGTTTAAGGGATTAATCGCAAAAGGCATGCAGTCTGTATTCTCTTACCTATTTTGCTGATTGATATATTCATAAGTTACACTTGAAGTTAATATGTCATTATTTGAACAATATCGCTAGCAAGCTTAGGCCGAAACACGCCCACATAAATATTGCTTTTGGTATTAAGATATTGCTTTTAATAGTTGGCCCTTGCGATATGGTTTAATTGACTATTAATTGCTTCTTATTATATTGCTCGTGGTAATTGTATACCTAATGACGGTTGCATTGTGTATCATTGTTGATGATGGTATTTGCATATTAATTTTGTTGCTCATGGCTAATTGCAGAGTTCGGCGTCACCAGCTTTGGACAGGAACTAACAGTGTCAGTACTGTATTGCTTATAGTTGCGGTTCTGCTATCAAGCTTTGGAGGGGAGCTGACTTTGACAAGATTGTTTAACGATACTTGCTAAGTATAATTGCAGTTCTGCGCTATCAGCTTCGGGCGGGAACAATCTTTGATACTATTGCTAATTGCAGTTCTGCGCTATCAGCTTCGGGCGGGAACATTCTGTGATAGTATTGCTAAACAATCTGTGTTATTATTGCTAAGTATAATTGCAGTTCTGCGCTATCAGCTTCGGGCGGGAACAATCTGTGATTATATTGCTGAACAATCTGCGATAATATTGCTATGCATAATTGCAGTTCTGCGCTATCAGCTTCGGGCGGGAACATTTGTGATAACATTGCTGAACAATCTGTGATAATATTGCTATATATAATTGCAGTTCTGTGCTATCAGCTTCGGGCGGGAACAATCTGTGATAATATTGTTGAACAATCTGTGATAATATTGCTAAATATTGCAGTTCTGCGCTATCAGCTTCGGGCGGGAACAAGAAGTTTGGCATATTGAATAGGCTGCTCAGGCCACAGGTAACAAAAGAATGGCGAGTGCGCAGCCTCTGATTCCGGTCTCTCGAGTCTTTGGTAGCATGCGGGGATAATAAAGGTTATTCAAAATTTCAACCGTTTTTGATTTTCGGATTAAATTTCGTCACACCGAAATTGTTCACAGAGGTAGTGGCAAGCATTAATAAGGTAAAAGTGCGAGTATTTCACCGAATGAATTAGAAGTTTGTCATCAAAGAAGTTTGGCAACTCTACATGAGGAAAGTCGGGGTAAACGTCGAAGTGCGCCACGTTAAGAAACACCACCATACTAAGCGTTTATAATTAATGCCATGCGGCAGACATGATCGAACTTTGGATGTTGTTTGTGTGGTGCAGCACGTATGATGAAGCGCGGGTACGGTGAAATACGGACCTATGAAATCGGCTAATTAACCCGCACACGGCTGTCACTGTCCCTGACACTGTCTGGATCATTGTTCTATCTCATCTTGTAATCCTATATCTGATATACAGGGTGAGTAAAAAAAAAAAAAACGAAACCCAAATGTCGGGAATACTGTTTTATTGAAGTTCTGCATGTAGCACTTTCAAAATCTAGGATATGAAAGCCCAATTCATCAGCTTTCTTTTAGGACAAGAATCATTCAAATCACTCATGTACTTTTCAAGTTCACAAAAAAAGGTGTGCCTTCTTTCAGCAAAACGGAAACAATTCACACACATCCCTATATGATTTCTTTTCGTTTTGTTGAAAGAACATCACTGATCTTGTTTTGTGATCCGTGGACAGAACCTTACTAAACGGTGGTTGTGTTTAAAATTCTGTAACTTGAAAAGTACATGAGTGATTTGAATGATTCTTGTACTAAAAGAAAGCTTAAGAATTGGGCTTTAATATCCTATATTTTGAAAATGCCACATGCAGAACTTCTCTAAAACAATGGTCCCAACATTTGGGTTTCGGGTTTTTTTTACTCGCCCTGTATTTGTACTTTTTCAGGATTGATCTACGACACACTTGGCAGTTACGCGGTGGCGTTCGTCTTGATGGCATTTCTCAACGCGTTAGCCCTGCCTGTTTTGCTCGTGCTTACGAGACTCCAAAGGCGAAAGTAGTTGTCTGAAATTATGTAATTATGCTTAAAACAGGACTGTAGATAATTGCTTACTTAAACGAGTTTCCTTGTTTCACATACAACTGCGGAAACGATTTTCAGGCACACACACAAATCTCGCCAACATTAATGCAAAAATGATATCAAATAGCAATTGCCCCTTTTAAATACCCAATTGGCGCTCCATACTTCAAGCGCCAATTGTCAGTGTCGAAACCTGCACTGGGCCAGGTTTTTTAGCTGTTCCCAATTTCAATTGGAAACAGTTTTTGTTTTCGTTAAAGTTTTTTTTCCCTTTTTAAGCTTTTTAGCGCATACCAGAAACCGGAGCCCTTTTTTTGGCCTAATAATCGTTTACTTGGTTTCGTATGAATAAAAAGGAGTAAATGCTTCAGTTTTCAAAAATGCACTTGTCATTTACAAGGCTGGGTTGGGGCAACCTTGAAATTATAAAGCAAAATAATTCTGCGCAAAAATTACTGCATTTATTAGTGTGAATCGCGAAAAATTAATATTAACAATGTTCATAAAGTACAAATGATACCATGCTCGTATGAATAAAACATGTCATTTGATTTAACTACCAATTTTGAAGCATTTACTCGCATCTGTATGAATGACAATTAAGCAAACACTTTTACTAAAAACTGTTTGCTAAAATCTGAAAATAATTACTTTTTACCTTTTAGCTTTTGGTACACTGTAAGCGTTTACTTCGTTTCATATGAATATAAAAGGAGTAAATGCTTCAGATTTCAAATATTTACTTGTCATATTTAAAGGTTGGGTTGGGGCTACCCTTGAAAATATAAAAGCACATAATTTTGCGCAAAAATTACTGCATTTATTAATGTTAATCGCGAAAAAAATTAATATTAACAAAGTTCATAATAAGTACAAATAATACCATACGGTAGTTCGTATGAATAAAAACTGGCATTTGCATTACTACCAATTTTTTTTAGCATTTACTCCCATCTGTATGAATAATTATTAAGCAAAGGCTGTTACTGAAAACCATTTGCTCTTGAGTAAATGGCCTGCACAATGTAAAGGTTTACACGTTTAGGCATATAAGTTTGCAGAAAATAAATTATCGTAACCGAAACGCGAAACGGTAAGCGGCACGTGTATGCGCAGCGCGTACATACTCGGTGCGCATTTTTCTAATTTTAACCCCCCCCCCCCTGAGATTTTGAGTCTCTAAAAAAAATATCATTGATCTACATGACGCCCCCCCCCCCATAAAATGTTCCAGCGCCCCCCCCCCCCCCCCCCCCAACTGAAAAATTCCTGGCTACGCCACTGGCCCCGGTTGACCATGCACACCATGGCTCGAACCGTAGTGTGATCCGGTACACTCGCTGGCCCCGTCCAGCTGTTGCTTCCCCGTCACTGTAGCGGTCCGCTCCCGCTTCAGTCCGGCCGTCTCTGCGAAGCGATAGCTCGTACCGTGCCCACTCGGTTCAGCTACAATCTTTGGCTTACTTGGTTCCCCCAGTTAGTGTTGTGAGACTCGGACACCGGTGTTGAAACCAAGGAAAAGCCTGACGTTGGAGCAGGCGCGGTTCTAGAACCAATATTTTTGGGGGGCTAGCACGGTGGATCCAGAATTTTTTCAGGGAGGCGTGCTGAAATGTTGACCGGTTATTTTTTCCAGACACTTAGGCCTCCGAAAATCAATGGTGGGGGGGGGGGGGGGGGGGGGGGGGCTCATGCCATATTTTCAATGGGGAGCGCCAATAAAATCCTAAAATCATTCACACTATATTAACTAATGCACCCTTGTCACGGCTATTTCTTCTTTAGGGGGAGACCGTTCGCATGTACATCACAATCCTTCTTTTTGCTATTATGCAATTTTTTTTTTAAGGAATTTTTTTGGGGGGGCTAGACAAAATTCTGGGGGGGGGGGGGGTCACAGCCCCCTAGCCCCCCCCCCCCCCCCCCCCCCGTAGAACCGCGCATGCGTTGGAGGAATCCCCACAAAGTTAAATAAACTAGTAAAGTCACTGTGTGAAAGCTCTGTTTCCCGACAAATTCGTTATCATAGATAATAATGTTGGTTCTAATATAAAGTTAATGAACTAATAGGGAATGCAACAATGATTTCAGGAATGAATTGCAGGGCTGCAGCTCCGTCGCACAGCCTTTAACGTGTCACCACTTGAAACTTAGAACTGATAGACACATGGATTACAAGATACGAAACTGTTCGATTGCCTCATTGATGTTCCCCGAAGTCACCGTGTTAAAATTAGAAGAAAAAAAACTATGGAAGGTTGTGAATCTTTTCTTTCAAAACTGAGGGAGGAATTATTGCAGTCATATTTATTTTATCGTCAATGTAAAATTGTGTCTTATTTCATTTTGTTCCCGGGTATTTTCTTGTTGTTTCTTTAGTGTGTGTATTTAATGTGAGTGTAGACCTATGTATGTCAACTAGGTTGTTTGTTTTTATGGTTTGCATTTTTCTCTCTGGGGAATGGGATTGCTTTTATTTCTCGGTTTTGTTTTGTTTTGTTTGTAATAATCTTTTTAGCCCGTTTGTCATTCATTCCCGTTATTGAGTCTGGTTGTTTGTTTTGTTTGTTTGTTTGTTTGTTTGTTGGGTTGTAAGAGTATTATTTATTAGTTCGTTTTTATATTTTTGTATCTCTCTGGTTTGTCTAATGTTTCACTCTATGATTTTTTTGCAGAGTCTTGTCTCATCTCCCCGTCTTGTCTCCTCTCGTCATGTCTCGTCATGTCTCGTCTCGTGTGGTTTCGTATGATTTGTACAATTTACTTTTCAATAGTACTTTAATTTTTATGAATGGAATTTTAAATCTGTTTTATTGGCAGGGTTTGGATAATCGTCTGATGACAAATTTTTTTTTACTTTTACATATCCGTGGCAGCCTGTCCAACTTTTAGCTTTTATTTTATGTTATAAGATTTAAAATATAACAATGGAATCAAATAAATCAAATAAAGTTTCTTCAAGTCTTTATTACGCTGGAGATTTCCCGATCGCAGTACATATGAGAGGCAGCCCAAATAGGCGCGACCTAATCCGGCCAAATTACGATTTGTATACTAGTTTATCTGTAATAATAAAGAATTTTGGCCCCTGCACTTGAGGGTCTGTATTTGTAGAAGTGAAGGGTCCATGTCCCTGAATTTGGATTTCTGAACAAAACATTTGAATGGAATCTATATTGATATGGAGTGTTAACAATATTTCTTGCTGTGGGTCTGAACATGAAAATTGTCGGTTTGTGTATTATGAATATGATCAAGTGAAATTATTTATGCAGTATTTTGCCCATTTCCCTTAAAATTGCATGTTGTAATATTGTACATTTTTATCATTTTGCTAGAATATATGATACTTCACCAACAAGTATCTTTTAACGAAATTCAATAAGAATATGTATCAATTTTTAAAATTTTTTTAGTTGTTTTGTTACTTGGTGGTGTCCCTGCCACACTGTACGATGGTGTAGCCGTGTGTTATGAACGTGGATTGTTTACTTTCGTTTTGACGGGGACTTTACTGAATAGAGTCTGGTGACTGTACATAGAAATTTCTTTGAATAAAAGTCGAATCGTTCATTCGTGTGCACTTGTTATGCAAGGGAGGGGCAGTGGTTCAAGGATATCTATGTCGACTTGCAGAAAGTGTGCAAGAACGCGACTTGAATGCTTTTATGTGTTCACAATACAACGACGCTGTTTAGTTATTTCACTGTGTGACACGGTGAGAAATTTTGGAATCATAATGGCGTCAGCGATACTTGCTGGGGAGCTCTTGCGTACGACTTTCTGTACTTTGGTACTGTTGTCTCCAGGACAATTGTGTGTACGGTTACCCGACGTACCCAGATTTTTAAAGACGAAATTGCCGACCTCAAACTTGTTAGTGCCATATTTGGCAACTATATGTGCGTTATTAGTTTAATTAAACAAATGATCAGGTTAATTAAACATAGTACCATTGAAGGTACCTAAAAGCAAACATAACAGCATAGAAGACCGACAGACGAACATAAAATGTTACAAAATAAACATATTTGTCTGGATATTTTTTTAGGGCGTTACCGGCAAGTTAACACAAACTTGGTGTCAAAAAGATCATGGGAGTTACTTTTCTTTGACTTTTCATACAAGTTTACATAAACTTTAACTGTATGACCTGCAGTGGCGTAGCCACGGGGGGGGGGGGGGGGGGGGGACGTGGGGGGGGACATGTCTAACTTCGGTGTAGGGGGTTGCCCATTGGTACAGGCATGTTGGGATTGGTTCTGGGGTCAACGGTCAAAGGTCAAGGTCACCATGTTAAGTTAAAGGTTATAATGGTTTCCCGATGATAACTTGACTCTGGCTGAGGGGTTTCAACAGCAACGCTGTTATTTTTTACTTTTGTGCTGAGGAGTTAATATTTCAATAACCTGAAATAAAACGTGTTTAATTGTTGCTTAATAAACACTTCAATTTTGAATCGTTGACTTCTCTGTTTGATTTCTTTGATAGCTTGAGAAAATGTTGATTTATTGAGTTGAAATTCGGTCTGGTTAATTGTTTGTGATATATAACACAAGTCCTGTTGATTTTTGAGAGAAATTGTCAAACAATAAAAATATTATAACCCGAACAATCCGGTGTGTTCATTGCGAAAAATACAATCCGAAAGAAAGTCAACTTTTATGGGGGAAAAAACAATACACTCGTTTTACGAACCATAACTTGAGAAAATGTTGATATATTGTTGAGTTGAAATTTGGTCTAGTTATTTGTTTGTGATAAATAACTCAAGTCTGGTGCTTTTTGAGAGAAATTGTCAAACAATAAAAGTATTATAACCCGTACAATCCAGTGTGTTCACCGCGAAAATAACAGTTCGAACGCGTTCATTCCTAAAAAAAAAAATCGGATACCTTTGTCCATAGCTACAAAATGTTCAAACATTTTCTTATGGAATGATGGTGCTCTTGCCTTTCGAATGAAATTCTGCGTTGTTTGCAGAAATTCAATTTTGGCCAAATTTGATTAAAAATGTAAGGTTAACCCCTTGCATTTTTTTAAATACTTTTGATCGAAAAATGAGACTGCCTTGCGAGGAAGACGCCTAAGGGATCTCAGAACACATTCCTACTCGCTTTCTGGATAGTTGTGCCATTCACAGGGAGAAATTGTACAGAAAAATTGGGTAAAATCAGTCGAAAATGTTAATTCATTCGTAAGAAAGAATCGGATATTTTTGCCCAAATCTTCAAAATGTTGAAAAAAGTCAATTTCTCTGCTAAGGAATTGATGTCAATAATATCATGGCAATACATATGATATAAAATAAACTTCAATGTTATGTGTTTATCTAGAGTTTCCGTCTATACAATAACTTTGTTGACATAGTCGGCGCGCGGTGTGCAGTGTGTGTGTAGCGCGCCCTCTTTTGGAAGAAATGATGCATGACGATCAAATACGGAGTGTCCTTTCTCACTGCAATTTCTTTAAATTATATTACATTCATTTGTTTCACGGTTTCTGTCAATTTCCACGATTCTTGTGTCAAATATCATGGTAAAATAGTGGAGGAAATTTCATTTCAATGCAATGTGTTTATCTTGAGTTTCTGTGATTACAATAACTTTGTTGACATCGCGAAAGGACAGAAGTCGGCGCGCGGTGAGCAGTGTTTGTGTAGCGCGCCCTCTTTTGGAAGAAATGATGCATGACGATCAAATACGGAGTGTCCTTTCTCACTGCAATTTCTTTAAATTATATTAAATCATCGTTTCACGGTTCCTGTCAATTTCCACGATTCTTGTGTCAAATATCGTGGTAAAATATTGGACGAAATTTCCTTTCAATGCAATGTGTTTATCTTGAGTTATCGTCGCTAAGCCGCGCATCTGTCCACGAAGGGAATAAGATACGTCCCAGCCAACAGTGGTGGCGCTACCCCCTGCCCCCTCCCTCAACCCCTCCCCCACCCCCATCCCCACCCATTCGTCTCCCTGTCTGTGTATCATTACATTTCTTGACGGTTAGCTAGGCGGCATTGTGATATCTCTCCCATCTCTTAACAAATAGCTTTATACAAACCCATTAAAATCTTGGTCCAACTGATGACACTGTTATCATGCACATGCAATTATTGAATATCCACAATACAGATATCATCCAAACAAGACCATTGCTGATGTCAATTCTTGCACCACAGCGGAAAATTGTGTGGTTTCTCAAGCAATGAAATTAAAAAGCTTACAAAAATTATGGTCTAGGATATAAAGAGTGATATGCCTTTATTTGCCTCCACACTCAACGACATCAAGTACAATTTGGTTTTAAGTGAGTGAATCATGTTTCTCCAAAAGGAAATGAACCAAGAGTTGATTCATTTCAAAACTAGATCACATGGGACACGGGAAGGTTTAGTACAGTTGTACCACACAATCACCATAAGGTATACAATTTACGGCATGTTGGACTGGGTTCATATAGCAAAATGCAGGTCATGAATTAAAAACCAAGTAAGTGATGCCGGCCGGCCATTATGCCCGACACACGTAAGTTTCAGCCAAATAACTTCAGGTTATCAAGCGACAGAGATAGCTCCTTATTCAGTTCACTTCGACCTATTTCAAGACGCTGCCTCGCACAAGATTTTCTGCCTCTAGAAAATGCCTCTATCACATCACAGAGACCATATTACAGCAGAAAGCAGCAGAGACCGCGCAAATTGCACAATTTTGAAGATTTGGACAAAAATCATCAAGTTTGAAGAAAAAAGTGATTTCATTTTTTGGCCAAAATTGAAAAAAATGCAAGGGTGCACTTTTTAATCAAAATCGGCCAAAAATTAACTTTTCTCAAAACAAGCAGAAATTCATCTGGATGCAAGAGGAACATCAATCAATACTCTAACACACGTAATTTGAAGATTTGGGCAAAACTCCTCAATTTTTGGAGAAAACAAAGTAATTTTTCGAGCGATTTTACCTTAAATTCTCGAGAGAATTTCCCCCTTAATGGCACATCTGTCCAGCAATCCATTTGGAATGCGTTCTAGGGCCCTTAGGCATCTTTCTAGCAACTTTCAAAAAAATTTATTTTTTGGCCAAAATTGAAAAAAATGCAAGGGCCAGTTGCTCTATGTGTGAAAAAAAAAAAAAAATGTGTGAAAAAAAAAAAAATGTAAGGCTAACGCCTTACATTTTTAGTCAAAATCGGCCAAAAATTGACTTTTCTCAAAACAAGGCAGAAATTCATCTGGATGCAAGAGGAACATCAATCAATACTCTAACACACGTAATTTTGAAGATTTGGGCAAAACTCCTCAATTTTTGGAGGAAAAAAAGTAATTTTTCGAGGGATTTTACCTTAAATTCTCGACAGAATTTCCCCCTTAATGGCACATCTGTCCAGCAATCCATTTGGAATGCGTTCTAGGGCCCTTAAGGCATCTTTCTAGCAACTTTCAAGAAATTTCATTTTTGGACAAAATTGAAAAAAATGCAAGGGGTTAGCCTTACATTTTTAGTCAAAATCGGCCAAAAATTGACTTTTCTCAAAACAAGGCAGAAATTCATCTGGATGCAAGAGGAACATCAATCAATACTCTAACACACGTAATTTTGAAGATTTGGGCAAAACTCCTCAATTTTTGGAGAAAACAAAGTAACTTATCAATTAATTTTTCGACAGAATTTCCTCTTTAATGGCACATCTGTCCAGCAATC